GGCTCTGGCTCTGGCTCTTCCGGCTCTGGCTCTGGCTCTTCCGGTTCTGGCTCGTCTGGTTCCGGCTCCGGCTCCGGCTCCAGCTCGGCAGGTGCTTACCCCACTGGCTCCTCAGGCTCGGGATCGTCTGGCTCTGGCTCGTCTGGCTCTGGCTCTTCCGGCTCCGGCTCCGGCTCCGGCTCTTCATCTTCGCCAAAGTACACGTCTTCGAACGATGCTGTAACTGCCAGCGCCAAGCCCTCTACTCTTTCCACACTCGCCACTGCATCTGGCTACCCCACTGGCTCTTCTGGCTCGGGTTCCGGCTCGGGCAATGGTGCCCAGTCTGGCTACCCCACTGTGACTGGCAGCCACAGCGGCTCGAACTCGACAGCCAGTGCCAGCGCAAAGGCAACCTCGACCTACCCCGTCACAGCTGGCTCTTCCGCCCTCAAGGCCGCATCTGCTCTCCTCGGCTTTGTCGGTCTCTCGATTGCCATGATCCTGTAAGAAAGGCAGTATCAAACGCACACATTAGTTGGCTACTCAAAAGGCCGACCGCATCTATATGAACCTACAAGCGATGATTCATCGGGTATGAACAAGGAAAAAAGGTTATCGGTTGATTTACACACCTCATATCGGGGTCATGGGAGGGAGTTCTTCTGCAAATGCATCGACTCTTTAGTAGTCATTTCCCCCTTTTCACGGGGCTTAATACAATGGACAAAATTATAAAATTCAGTGCATCATTTATTGAATGTGAGCTTAATTGTGCATGTATTCTGGGGAAAGAATAATTATATCACATCTTATGAGCTGATTTGAAGTTCCTAGCAAAGCTATCGATAGATCAGGGAATTGCAATTTGAACTTTGAGGCTCTGCCACGGTGGCGCTAGCTTTAGTGGAAGCACACTCTCAGTCGAGGATTTATAACATTTAGCCAAAGTCTTTGCACAAGGGATTTCAATAAGATGTATACCCAGTGATTATTGTAAAGTATTATCACAAGGAATGAATATTATTCCATTAAATCTAATCCCTTTGGATAGATAGATATGTAAAAGATTGTGCCTGAGAACGGACTGAATCATGATCCACGACGACAAACCTCATGAATGCATAACGCTAAATGATGCTAGAATGCTTTGCAAAGCCAGTCAAGAATTGTAATTGACTGAATTAAAAATAAAATCATACAAAAAAATGGCGACACTGCTCTACGAGTCGTAGACGTAGCAGAGATAGCCACCCTGCGTGTCCAAAACGTCACTGACTTTGACTTCTGGTCGCAATCCTTGGGAGGAAAGCACATAGTCGGCGGTGAGCTGGCTAGAGCATGCCGAGTCGGTGCAACCATTGACTTGATTTAATCTGTTTGTGAGGTCCGCATTCTGCCAGAGGACGTAGCTGTGATCGACGAAGCCGTGGTGCATGAAGAAAACGGGGTCACCGGGCGATATCGACACAAAGGACATGACTGCGCCGATGCCATTGTGTCCGTACCCGTGAGGGCTTTTTTTGCTCAGGTTAGCAGGAAGCTTCTGTCAAGTAATGATGAAGACGACTTACCCAAACTCGGAGCAGCTCTCCATGTCAGAATACTTGTTGTTTGAATTGCAGCTGTTTACAAAGTCGGTGCTGCACTGCGTTGTTGCGGTCTCGTCTACAGCACGTGAGAGGCAGCGCTCGCCACCAATATGTAAGGTCAAGTTTGAAAAGGCCTTAAAAGTAGGAGTCAGTTTCCACAAATACACGAAATATGAGACATCATCGTCATCATCATCATTAGACTTACCCCATCGTCTATACACGTTCCTTGGTTATCGGACGTCTTGAGAGGAGCAGAACCAAACGTGTCGGCCCCAAAGACGGGCGAGGTCGAAAAGTGGCCGGCATCCAGCGGCTCGTTCCACCAGGTCATGGGCCCGGCATACGAGCACTCGTCGCGCAGCATGGACTCAAAGACGTGCACGTAGTAGCGGTGCCAGGGCAGGAACTGGGCGACCATGTGGATCGAGTCCGTCATGATGGAGTGCACGGCCACGAGGTCCTCGTAGCGGCTCGTGGACCCGGCGCTCGAGTAGGCGCCCGAGGGCGGGAGGTTCATGAGGCACTTGATGGCACCGACAAAGGCCAGCTTGTCGGCGTCCGAGAGGGACCGCCACTCGACGCGCGTGGCCGGAGAAGTGCAGTTGCCCGCCGCCGCCGCCTTGACGGCCGTGGCGTTGTTTCCCGAGTCTGTCGAAGCAGCCGTGTTGTGGACGACCGTGTTGGCCGCCTTGCTGTTGGACCCCGTTATGCCGCTGAGGAGGCCGGCATGTTCGGCATTGTTCTTGGCGGCATTGGCCTTTGCTTCTTCCAAGGTGATGGTGTGAAAGCCTTCTCCGAATTGGGCCAGGTCAACAAGTTTCAGTCGCTTGTATAGAGGCTTCTTGTATATAGAGTTGTGGACTGGTGAGGCCGACACCGTGGCGGCGCCCCATAGGAAGAGCTGAACGATGAGTGACGACTTCATCGTTTGGTATTACTACACATTAATTTAATAATAAGGGTAGTTATGTGGCATGTAGATGCAGTAAATAGAAAGATATATGATGGTAGATTTGCTGCAGGTGCGAATCTACTACAAAACGGGAATGATATGGGTATTTCAACAGGTCGCATATCGGTCAAATTCTAAAGGGGACCCTGTCCACATGGTCCACGGGGAAGGGGAGGGGGGATGATCAAACGAACAACGAAAATGAAGAACGATCGTCGTTTTCGTCGTATCAAGCAAGAAAAAGATCGCTGACTGCGTTTTTTTGCGCCATGCGTAAGTGCGCTGTATGTGATCTGACCCGAGCGAGAGAGAGACTTGAGCAGAGCCGGAACCAACCCCTGGCCCTGGAAACTTGTAAGTTGCCTTAGGAGCCAGGGCTCCCGACGATCACTGCGATCGTACTGGGGCCAGAGAAATGGGGAAACCTGGACCATGGACATCCCAATCCATGCTGGCGCCGTTGGAAAAGGACGGGACAAGCTTTTTGGTGGCTGAATGTCACATCCAATGTCTATTACCGTGAGTTTTTGCCTTACCACCCACTGGTAAACTACTGCCAACTACTTGCTTGGCTATTACCACTTCACAAGTACGGCCCAGAGAGCTGAAGTAGAGAGTTTGCACCGTCTCTCCAATCAGTTGGTGACTCGCGCGCGACTATGCATTCTCTCCCCCAACGGGCGAGGTATAGGCGTGAAGTCATCATGCATGGTTAGGTTGTCGCTTATTGCTACCCTCTTTTTTTTTCCCCCTTCTTGTGCCGCAAATGCCTAGCAACAAGTTCAGTGCAGCCCAGCCACAACATCCAAGAGAGTGAGAGAGGAGAGGGTAGCCATTGATGATGATACCTTTTCCGGTAAAAATACGAGTCTCACTGCTTCTTGGGCTGGATGGGCGCTTGAGCACAGCAGGACGCTACTAGAGTGTCGATCACCAGTCCAGGGGGGTGGTTTGCAATCTTGATATTGATGATGCCAATATGCCTACTAACCTAGGCGCTGTAAATAAAGATGTGATTTGTTTCCCCGCTCTTTGAGATGGGATCCCATTTTTGCCCTGAATGATCGAATTTTACTGTTGTATGTGAGCACCGACGGTACTTACTTGGCAACCGCCATGCAAAATGCGATGCGATGCGCTGCGCTGTGCTGTGCTGTGGCTGCAATTCGGTTGGCGCAAAGTATCGGCATTGTCGGCGCCGCCCACGTGGAGATTGCCGTTTCTTTTTTCTTCTTTTCCCTCATTCAATCCTGCTCTCGATATTTAACCATATATTCAAGAATTTCACCATTCGTACAAACTACCCATTCCCATGACTACGAAACGAGAAATAAGCTTTGTGCTTCTAAATAAAGAGGCTGTCCCAATTGAGAATTGAGAGCTCTTTCAGCCGCCCTAAACACTAAACTGACTGATGGTAGCAATGTCTTGGCGTCATTATGGCGCTCAGCTCTCTGCTCACACCAAAAAAACATATGGCCACCCACCACTACCAGCTCGCTGCTACATTAGGTACCACACCTCGACCCCAGATTTTACAGTTTTTCTCCTTGGGGAAAATAACATTTCCGGAAGTCATCGGAAAGGCTGATTGGCGGGGTACCAGGGCGTATACTGCAAGACCTTTCGGCTAGCATCTGTTGGCCATCCACCCTGCAGCGGACAAGAAACAGGCAGAATATTGCTTGCCCTTCTTTGCTGACTGCTGATTTTAACCATACATACATGCCAAAATAAGCAGCCACACGCACGGGTATTGGTCGCATCAAACGACAAGACCAAGCTTCTATATCTTGGACAGCGTTTCTCTTGTGGCTCCCGCACATGGACCATGACAATTGAATTATGTCACTGCACGGCCAGCAACAATTTGCAGTCGTGCCACTCGGCGCACGATGCGTGAGCGTTACGTGATATTTAGAAGGCGGCTGCATATGTATGTACGGATTACTTGGGCTGGTGTAACATGTGCCAAAGCAAAGACTTCCGAAATAATACGTACGAACAGGCGCGTGACCAGCTAGAATTATGCCAATTATCACTATTGCTTTTCTTTCTTTTTCTTTCTCATCTCTGATACTAGTGTTGTACTACTTACTTACTGTCTTGCAGTAAATTCATACTATCGGGGCCCCGGCCGCCCCGGCACGACTTATTGGGGTTTAGCCCGCGGCTCTCTCGTCATGATCGAGAGTCTATACCATCCGTCGAGATTCCCCTTGGTGAGTTCCTGGAGGTTGAAGTCGAGGCTATCGACTTGCCGGAATCCGAGCTTTTCATAAACTGGTTTCCCTGCTGGAGTGGCCTCGAGGTATGCCGTGATTCCATGCGAGTCAGCCAGCTCGAGCATCGGGACTATCAAGGCCTTGGCCGCACCGCGTCTGTGGTATTTCGGGTCCGTGGAAATGAGTGAAAGGCCTAAATAAGAACAAAAAAAAAAGAAGACGAGTGTTAGAATTTCCCGTACTTTTTTTCTCCATCGCGTAATTTGTACCTTGTTTAAGGTAGACAGACGGGCAATGTCGCTTTTTTTGTTATTAGACTTACCAAGCATATCACTCTTATACCATTGAGCAGACGCCTTTTTTAGTGCGCCAAAGAAGTTCAAGGCCAGAAATGGGTCGGCTCCTTCCGGCACATCGACAACCTGCTGCTCTACGCTCGGCGCGCTGGCTGCAACCTCTTGGCTCTCTTGTTCTGCATCCTGGGGACTTGGTTCGCTTTCAACAATCTTGGTGACATTGACGGCAGCAGCGGCAGCGACCGCGGCACCGTCGTTACCGCTGCTGCTGTTGCTACTGCTGCAGTCGCCCAACCAGCCGCCAAAGTGCTCCGACCCCTCCGGAATGTCCCACCTGGCAAAGGCGACCATGTCCCCGCTGGCCACGTCGGTGACCTTGAAGTGTCGAATGCTGCGGTCGGCCATTTTCTTTTCAATCCTCGTGCGCATCCAGGCCATCATCTTGTCCCGGCTCGGCGACCACCAGTGCGAGTTGCCCGGGTCCTCCTTGAAGGCCTCATAGTAGACGTTGCAAAGCTGGTCGACATCGCCGGCTTCGCAGTACGACAGTACAAAAGAAGGCGACAGCGAGGCGGGCGTCGCAAATGGTAGTGCCATGATTTTTTGTTTCGCTGTTCGGGTCTGCAAAGTTTGGTGATGATCTGCGCGCTGTATATTCTGTACAACTTTGGGGTGCTGCAGTGCAGTGCAGTGCAATCAAGCAATATATCTCACCAGAACCAGGGATCCGGAATAGCAGCAGCAATTTTTTTTCTCGCTTCCAAGGCGCTGAATCGCATCACCGGCGAGGAGTCACTGGCCAACCGACCAGCATAGCCGACCAGGTAGGTAGTGGGTCGATTATGCAGTGGTGGGCTAGCGTTCATCTCGGGGATCCCTGAAGCGGCAATTTGTGCACAGTATAGTCGACGGGCTTCATGGCGTTGCAGTCCTTCGGGAGTTTTTTCTTCATTATCGCCGCAAAATAATTCATCACATGGTAGAGGAGTTTGGCCGTTTAATTTCCACATGGACTGACACAGAATGAGGCATTCAACTTCAATTCACCGCATTTCGTGGTCCAATGGTTGCTCTGGACTTCCGATCGTTATACGAGTATAAAATTTCATCCAAGCATTTCCAGCCCAAGTATGTACAAGGCAACCTCCTACTCTGGCTTCTCTGCTACACTTCGGTCCATTGGCCCATTGGCAATACTATCCAAGTCGGCATGACAATCTTCATCCCGAGCAGTAGCCAGCTTTCACCGGCTCACATCCATTGGAACATCCGGTGTACATTTGGCATGGGTGCGAGGCATCAGTGCAGACATTCTTCAGAGTCGCCGTGTCACCATAGTTGGAGTTGATGCCAACGACTTCTCCACCATCACGGGCAGTGGTACCCTCGACATAGACGTTTCTCTTGCACTGCGAGCTGCACTGTTTTGGAGATGGATGCGTCAGCTGAGTGGTGCATCGTCGTCAGTCAATGTATGAACTTACGTTTCCGCATGATCGGTACAGTTTTCCATAGTCTTCTGCGTAAAAGTTGATGATCTGTCGTCGATGCATGTCAGATTGTGACCTGTCGAAAATTCATTGGTTCAGTTTGCTACTCACGTTGACGGTTCCACAGCCATTGTGCTGGACAATCTTGTCGCTGGCGTGATACTATGGGTTCGTTCTCGGTCAGAAAATTCCTGCATACATGTCATGCAAAGGCAAGTGGCATGCGCGTTGGCTATATCATGTGCCCACAAAGTTGATAGCGAGAAAATATCCGAAGAGTATACGTACAGCACCACCACCGATAATCCAAGAATGCTCGCCGGCCTTGTCGTTTTTCTGTATGGAGGACATGAGGTTAGAACACAACATGGTCGATATTCTGGGTTTCATTTCTTGGGGTCCACCAACCACAGTAATGGCATCCTCGCAGACATCTTCGAACCAGACAAACTCGAGCGTGCAGGGTCCGTCACAGTGCACGCCCTCGGCCTGGTTCTTGCCGATAATGACGTTCTTGAGCGTCGCGCCCGACTTGAGGAGGAACACGGCGTCGGCGTCGCCGCCCTCCGCCTGGTCGTTGCATGCTCCCGAGCCGCGGTCGTACTTGGCCCAGCCGCCGTCAAAGGTGGTGCCCGCGGCGACCACGATGACGGCCGAGTTGGTCTTGGTCGATGTCGGCGTGGGGACGCCGCCCTCGTAGCCCAGGCATGCGAGTGCATGTGGAACTGCAGAGAGGAGCGCGCACAGGCTGAGGATTGGAGCGTACATCATCTTGAACTGTCAATGGATCATGAGGAGTCTTGTCTTCCCAGGCGCTCTGGACACATTGCGAATGATCTGAATGCTGCTACGTATATATACGCCTCGACAACTTGCTCATCTTGAAGTCGATCAAGGGCATCCGTTATCATCGTATGTACCTTTCAAGGCCAAAACAGATAATCATTCGTGGAATAACATGAATCCAGATATTCTCATATATAGATCTGATAAAAAATATCTATAGTCGTATCGACTCTGACTTTCTCGAGCCTTGGTGAGATGACAAGGACTCGTCATATTACAGCGCTATGGTCCAGGCCTTGCTAGGTTCTATTCCACGTACCAGCTGTTGTCAAAGTTCAACCACATGACAACAGTGAGAAATTTGATTGTTATCGACACAAGTTATCGCTAGATGCTCAATGGTGCGCTTCTTGAGCGTAATAAGAGTCATGTCGAAACTCTCCAGAGATAGTTGGGACCGAAGTAATACTCTGCTGGATTAGGAATGCCAAGACGGACAAAACGAGCCACCATGGAACATTTTTTTCTCAAAACGTATTCGTATAGAATTCGAGCTAGATAGTCCCAAAACAACAGAGTCGATTAGATTGTGCTGAGATGCAAGGCGTCCAATCGCAACGTAACCGGGTCTCGGCGGACATGCTCCGAATGAGCCAAATTGTATTGGTTGCCCAGCCGCCCAGGGCTCGCCGAGCCTCCAAATCCTGGGGCAGCGTTTGATTGTGAGCATTTACCGACAGAATGGATGTCGTATGATCAAAGTTTTAAGCTTATTTCTGTGGTATCGTTGTCGGATCATGTTCGCGTTTGGGCAAGCGTTGTCCCTCCGTGCTCGCAGGTCTCTCGATAGCGGTGTAGTCTTTTGTCGTGAATGCATCTTTCAATGTGTCTCTCATGGATGGTCGATCCTGAATTTGGCGTTTCGAAACCCTCAATGTTGAAATTTTTTTTTCCCCTCGTCTCTATCTTGTCAAGATCTGATCAGTACTTACTATCCCTACATGCCCCTCTACTCAATAGGCATATAATGATACCTTGAGCCGTACAACGGTTTTTACTTCTGCGCAAGGGGACTCTCTAATCTATCCAAGGTACCGTCCGCATTATGAAGCGGCCGATTATCTTGTTGAATTAACAGGTCAATTTCGAAGAAACCGCCGTTGACCTCTCGAGTATGATTCTCCACTTCGGGGTACGATCTAATGTACCGACTCCGTTCCTTCATAGGTCCATTGAGTAGGTTTCTTTTCTTGAGGAGCGACTCTCCTTGGTAATAAAGCTGACAGGAACCAGGTTCACGTGCTTATCCAAGGACTGCGTTGGCCCCATCCTATAAGCCACGGCCAAACTTTTGGTGTAGACCTGCGTCAATAGCCGATGGCGCACACTGGCCATGTTCGAAATTTCAATTCTGACAGTCGCTCTGCAAAGGATGGTCTTGGCTACACGAAAGTTGCAAGCTGGGTGGTATGCCTCTGAATCAGCCCAGCGAGCACGCTTCAATCATGATGCATAACTGAAAAGGGATCAGCCCATCTTTGGAAGAACTGCATCAACCGATTGTCACTGTGGGAATGTGGAAACGTGGACATAAGGCTGATGGCACGTCGCGACGCGAGGTTGATGAGAAGAACTTCATTCTATCCATTGTCCAAAGCTTGTACGGAGGGATATGAAGTGGTGTACGAAATACTCTCAGAAATGGGTGAGACAAGGCAGACTGGTGAGACTGATTGTGTGTGCCACACATAAAAACAGCCGGGCGCAGCTGGCCTAGAAATACCGTCGATCAGCTCTCTGGAAGGCCATAGCCTCACACAGATGGACATTTCTATTTGATGAGGATAAGTTAGAGAGTAAAGCCAGATGTCTGCACCCAATCAGTATGGCTTCTTAAATGTGATGATACCCCTCATCAAGCATTGAGACCCAATCTTATGCGATGCTTCCCCAATGACTTATCACAATGACGAACATGTCACGTCTTGAGCGCCGATTGGACCATGGATTGATTGCATTTAGCTCAAGAAATTCGCGACTATTAATAAACTGGGCGAACAGTCGGGTTCTAGACTCATGCCTCAGCCGTAGAAGAGGTGTGCGTTGAAGTTGATTCCTCCGTATGATGTCTACCCTTCTTATCTCCCCACAATACATGCTGACTGACCCGCGCACAGTACTGTTCATTGCAAGCGTTCGGTCTCGATTCTTTGACCATGTCTCAAGGTCTCTCGTTAGGCCGCATACAAGCTGGCTTTGCGCAAGCAACTCAGGAAATCACTGTAGCCGCGGCTAACCTCAACTTTGATTTCTCACTGGTGAAGCTCGAGGCTCCCGCAGAGTACAAGCCGATTGGCAATATTCTGACACCCTCGCGCATACGCGAAGCAGAGGTTGGCCCGATACACGTTACAGCCAGGAGATTAGGAGCACTTTTTGAGGGAGCTTGTCCCGAAACGCCGAATCTCATCAAGGCTTATGGCACACGGGCATCAGAGATCTCGAAAGAAGTATCAGATTCAGACTCGGGACGAAATCATGGAAGAGATCGCGATTGGATAGGAAATGAATATGGCGGTGTCGACGCAACTTCAATCTGGGCAGCGGCTACATCGAGCAAAGCTGCCCTCCCAATACACTTACTGGCTTGCATCATTGCTAGGATGTGGAGTCACACTGAGGCAACCTCTGTCTGGGCGGAGATCGTGGCCGAGAGGAAAAGGGAGATAACCGCAAAGTTTGAGGAAGGCGAACATATTCCAACCATACTTGCTTCTGCTATTCAGCAGGAAATCACTCGAGACCATCTCCGCAAATGGGATACCAGCGCCAGAGCGTGGTTACAGACAGCCGACAAAGCACGCCAGCGGCAATACACGCAATTTCTTCTCATCGTGAACAACCTTAGCATCGCCGTTCATCAAGGCCACACGCTTCTCTACTCGAATGTGATAAATGTTTGGAACTCGGCACTCACTGCCACGGAGGGGCTAGTATCCGGCAGACCGCACGCAGTTCAAAACGGGCCAGTACTGCTGGGCCTCTCGGCTTGGCACATTTTCCCCGACATGCTTGTGTTTGACAATCCGACAGGAAGTGTGTCTGTTTCTATGAATGACCCGCTAGTCAACCCGGGTGGGGTTTTGTCATTGGGAATATCAGATTCTGCTAGTAAAGGCGAGCAAGGTATATACTGGTCGCTGTCACTATCTCATCATAGGTACTACGGCGAAGCAGTAAGGCGAACCCGGAGGCTCGAGAGTGACGGATCTCGGCTGACCTTCAATGAGCTCGTTCTGGTATGCATTGGCAGCTTGCTCAAGGCCTGGTCTGTCCCCAAACAAGGCATTAACAACTCCATTCGGGTCTTGGAGGCGCTGAGACTAGTACTTCCACACAGTCAGGGGGAAAACCCTCAAGAGGATTGGCAGACCATCATAGAACAACCTCTAAAGCAGTTCACGGATGGAGAGAAAGGCGCAATCCTTGCAATGTCACTCGGACGCCGGAGACCCGAATTCGTGCCATCGCCAACCAGAAGAAAGCCATTCTTTGGGGTTTTACACCTACCGAATATTCTTCAGCTCCTCAAGGACACCGAAATGAGAATCAAGTTTCTCAGACGCCTTGCTAACAGAGTGCCCGGGCTGGACAACTCTAACAGCATAATACTCGCCTCGAACAACCACCAGCAGAATGGTTTCCAATTTGTGACCGTTTTCCCTCACGATGTTACCCAAGCAGACTCCACAGGCAACGATCGGAATGTCCGCCAAAAATTATTTCGCCGTTGGATAGATGTTCCAAGTTACATTCGACTTACGTACCGCGACGCCATCAGATTAGCAAGGCAAGAATTCAACGGCCTCAGTGGACCTTCCACAGTCGGTGAAACCAAAGCGTCGATGACGCGAGGATTATCTCGGCCACAAACAGACCTCAAACTCAAAGTTGCCCCTTTTCATCAAGGCGAGATCCCGATGAGCTCTTGGAGCGGCTATGGTGACCGGCAAACAAGCATGATTAATGATGCTGATGCTGAAGAAGTGGAAATAGACGCAGAACTGGATTCGGACTCGGATCTTGACAGTAATGTCGCGCAGAACGAAGAAAGTATCAGATCCAGAGGCAGTAAACACAAAGACGGTGGAAATTGCAGTGACAGCCAGAATACTGACGATGGAGACAGCAATAGAGATCTTGATGGACCTGTTAGAAGGAGATGCGAGAGTGATGAAACCCAGCCGGCTCTTCCCATAATGTCTCAAGAGAATAGATATCGAGAAGCCAACCACCACAGACATCAAGCTGCTGAGTCAACTTCTGATGCCGCAGAAAGAAAGGCTCTGGCCGAATTCCAAGAGCTCTGTAGCCAATACCTGGCAGAGCGTGAGCATGAAATCCCGGATGAAACGATTGAGTTTCAAAATCTCATGCGAGAGGACCCGCCTCATTGGAGGTATGACCAACTTTCTAATGTTATAGGATCGAGAAGATATGTAGGCGAAAGCTTCGGTGAGTTCTTTGGCGAAGAGCAAGGGTCTGTAAAAGCCAATCCTGCCTCTGGCGAATATGCCTTGGTGTATGCCAAGGGCAAAGGGGAATCAAGTGCGTCCTTGTCAGGGATTGGTGCTGCGCCAACTGCTACCCTCGATGACCTACTCTGGTGTCTTGAGCATGATCTTGTTGACCCAGACCGTCTCAAAAAGCATCTTCAGGAAGAACCTGCATTTGGTCTCTTACGGGTTTTGGCCGCTGTTGGCGAAATCTACCGCGAGCCCACATCTGGTGGAGCGACTATATCATGCTCTATTGTCGACAACCCCTTCAATCCTCCTATTTTGTCCATGGGCTTTGGTGTGGATGATTGGACCCATGCGACCATACTTCTCAATGATACGACGGCGATGGCTCTTATCGGCTATTTTGAGACTGGAAATAACTTCATTGAGATCATGAGGGATGCAGACCAAATCATTGGGTTAAGCGGTGGGGATTCAATATTTGTGCGTACAGCGGTAAGTCTTCAATACCATTTCCTCTAAACTCCTTCTTTCTTCTTCCAAGGTTGTTTTGGACAACCCGGATTCATTTCTAACAAAATAACCCATTTGTACGTTCCGGTCAATCTAACATAAGGGTCGCAGATCCTCAACGATCCCGAGAACAACTACCCAGACTACAGCTTTACACGTTTACTCGGAAATACAGGCAAGGCTGGCTTCTCGATCCTGACCTTGCCTCCGAAGCTCATGGCGCGCAAGTTGGATTCGACTTCCTGGCGGGTGGAGACGAAGTCTTTCAATGGTTTGCCCTTTGACAGCTTCAAGCAGACCTCACTGCATCTCAGCTTCACAGGGTGGCAGATGCCCGTGGCAAATTCTCTACCCGCGGGACAGATAGACGCTGACATCAACATTATCGAGGCAGTGGTTTCGGTGCGGGACGCAGGCAGGTGGGTGGCCGACGTGGACATTTACCGTGCCTTGTCTAGTCCACGGTTGCAAATCTCGACGACAAGAAGCGAGGGATGCGAACATATTTCAGAAGGCCAAGATGAAGTGAACCACTATGAAGAGGATCGAGACGAAATGATATCTATTGAAAACTGGAATCAAGTGCTTGATCAGGTGGACGGATCCGCCGTGGTTCGGTGCTTCGACAACTTGGTTGCGAGATTGGCTGTTGTGTCAGCATTGTGCCAGCACAGCAAAGCAAATGACCGACCCGTAGTCGTATGCTCAAAGAGGATGTGTTTCAGATGCGTTTCCGGTCATTTGAACGAAGGGCATGATTCTACGTATGTATTTTGAGTATTTTTCTCTTTTCGGTCAATTCATGACTTCGGAACAATATCAAGCAATACCTCCAACACGGAGATTGGAATTATTGAACTCGATTGCATAATGTATCGATACCTCACGTACTAGCTTATCGTTGTTGATATCCAGAGGGAAATTGTCAGTCTTTTGATCGCCAATATAAGCTCACGCGAGACGCCGAATCCCTTTTTCTTCGCCCTCCATCGTTCGAACCCGGGACGCATACGCGCGTTTCCCAGGATTATCTAAAAGCCTTTCACCTTCCTCTCCAGCTATACTCCGAGCAACTGCATCTTTGTCGTTGTTCTCGAAACCTCATAAACATCCACCCAGGAAATGATGGTGCTTCTCTCAAAGCGCCCATGGAAATGGTTTGCAATTCCTTGGGTGGCAAGATCAATGTAGGTACAGCACTACGGCCACGCCGCTGCAAAGGCTTCCGGTGTGTATCCTTGTCAGTAGCAAGCAAGCCTCGTGTGATTGTCCCTAAGCAACGTAACACAGCGCCTCGGTGAAACTCGAGGAATTCAGCCAATGAGGCTCCAGATGCACATGACAGTCATCGGGTACCGACCCCGCTTCGAGGCTGCCATCAATGGCCTCTTCTCAGCTTCACATCTTCCTGCCTGGTAGCTTCTTATCATGCCAAAGATTTGACTGATGCCGTCATTTGCGAAATCAAAATGTCGGGATTAGAGCTTCCGGGCTTCGCCTGCAATATCATGCAGGTGATTAGCTTCAGTCGCGAAGTCGTATCTCTCTGCAGCAATGTCTACCAGGGAAAGCACCCAGATGCCGAGCTTGCTGACCTTGCCGCTTCTCTACAAGCGGTATCATCAGACGTTCAGACGAGTTTCGATACGATAAATCCAAAGACCGCCGATGAGAAACGCCTTTGCGATATTGCTACAAGATGTGCCATTGCCGCCCGCGATTTGGAGGAAGAGGTCAGCTTCATTACCTCTCGTCAAAAACAAGGGAGCCTAGCATCTACCCTGCGCATTGCCGCCAAGACCACATGGAGGAAGCGCCGATTAGACAGGCTGGAGAAATCCTTGAAAGAACATGAGCGCGTTCTCGACACACACTTGACAGTGCGAGTGTGGTAAGTTTAGCGACTTTACAGCTTCAAACAACTAGTGGCTAATTTTTCACAGCAAAAAAGCAGATGCAATTGCGCTGAGACAAAAGGAAGGATTCGACAAACTCGGAGCGGACATTCAACATTTTGCATCCCAATATGCGCTCGGCCATCAGAAGCTTCGCGAACTAGTGAGGACAGATTTGAGCCTCTCACAGAAGGAATCCGAGAAAGTCATGAAGGCGCATGTCACGGAAGAGATTACGAGATCCCAAGTTGCATTGCTCAGTCACATTGATTCAAAAGCTGAGGTGACGACCGGAACAATTACGCAAAATCTTCATGATCTCAACATTCAAACAAAAGACAACAGCTCATGCGAGCGATTATTACAAAGTCTGAAATATCCGGCCATGGATGATCGGCGCAACCACTTGGCTGAGCCCCGTGAGGGTACTTTCAAGTGGGTCTTTAGCCAACACGAGCTTTCAAATGATGACAATTCGAACGGTGTAAAAACCACGCGGGCAGCCTACCGAGACCCGCCTTGGGACAACTTTGGGGACTGGCTCAAATCTGATAGCGATATGTACTGGATCAGCGGGAAGCCTGGATCTGGCAAAAGCACTTTCATGAAGTTTCTCATTTCCAATCCTTTGACAAGAGAGGCGTTACGAGCATGGCGTCCAGACGTCACAATTCTCTCCCATTTCTTTTGGAAGCCTGGATCAATGATTCAAAGAAATATCAAAGGACTGTTTGCTTCATTACTCCACCAGCTCCTTGCCCCCAGACAAGATATTCTGCAAGCCGTATTGGCTGGCTCTAGGGATTTAGAACAGAAGGATTCAAACACTGACTGGTCCGTGAAGGAACTTCAATCCTTTTGCCTGAACACAATGAGAAGCTACGGATCCTACATTTGCATGTTCATCGATGGTCTCGACGAGATATGCGATGAGGATGGAGTTGGTGCGCTGATGGAGATCCTGAACACAATCAAATTGATACCGGATGTAAAGATTTGTGTTGCCAGTCGACCAGAGCAACGCTTGAAGCGTTACTTGTCACGGTTCCCTCAGCTGAAGCTTCACGACCTGACTCATGAGGATATACAACATTATGCCGACCAAACATTGCGGCAGTCCTGGAGACTTCGCCAGGACTTATCTTCTCGAGTTCTAGACGAGGAGATCTTGCCAGAGCTGCTGCGGAAAGCCAAGGGCGTATTCCTGTGGGTCAGACTTGCAGTACGAGGCTTGGTCCACGGGATCGAGAATGATGATAGCGGATCAGATCTGGTCTTGCGGCTGCAAGACTTGCCGATAGATCTATCACAAATGTACAACGACATGTGGACAAGACTCAACGGAAACACAAACATTCACCGAGAATCAACTGCCAAATTATTGAACCTCCTGATTGCATATCGATATTTGATTGCATCTGGATATTCTGAATTGCGTTCGAGCACAGGGATTCCCGTGATCGATATTATGGGAGCCTTAGACTTACCCATGCAATCAAGGCTATTCGTTGATGAGCAGAGACCCACAACAGAGACAATCATTCACTCCTGTAACCAAACCCGAGAGCTGATGGAAGTCAGATGCATTGGCCTGGTAGATATACACCAATCGGATATACGGTGGCATCGTAAACGTGTCTCTGCAGCGAGGCTCAGACTACACGCATCGCTATCAGTAGATTTTGTTCACCGTACTGCCTATGAATTTCTCACAGATACTGAGGAAGGTCATCGCATCCTGTCTTACGACTCTTCTTCAAGCTGGGAGAGGCATCTCCAGTTATTCAAAGGCAAACTTTTAGCAGCTACTATTGCAAAAGGTACCTCTCTGGGCGATATGATGAGTATGATAGCAGAAGTCGGCCATTCTGTACGTAAGGAGGAAACTCATGACCTCCTAAAGCTTTGCTGGAAGTTATATTCCCGAGGCCTCACGAGCGATTATGGCAACCGCCTTGGTCGCCACTTCCTATCTCTTGCAACACATCCCTACCTCGAAGACTTTTTGATAAGCAGTATCAATAAGAGCCTGAGACCGTCAGCGCTAGCAACTCAAGTGCTCCAGGAGATGTTGACCATGGAAACTTACCATTGGAGACAAGTTTCCTACTTTGGCTGTTTGACATCGTTGGGCGCTGTTCCGAGTCTCAAAGGGCGCTTATTTCAGAGAATGGCTAACGGCGACGTGGATAGTTCATCCATTGCACGAACTATATCATCGCTACAAATGATTCTAGAAAGACGGATAGAAAATTACCGGTATTACGATGAGAGCTTCCCTGATAGTTTCACTAACCCATCTTTGGGAGAGTACATGCAGGCTTCACAAAACTACTTAACCGAGTCGTCATGGATGTTGTTGGACGTCTCCAAAGATCACATGAGACTGCATGGCATCTCACGGATTTACGTGGGGGGTATTGTGAGGAGATTCAGTGAAAGCAGAGACAACAACAAACAACACATTTTCAAAGGTCATTCCTTTGTTGTTGAGTTGAAATCATTTCTCATGCTGGAAAGTCTCCATCGAAAACAACAAAGCCATCAAGGAAGAAGGGAACCATTTACTCTAGTAAACTTCCTTGAAGACCCAGAACAGGGTCCCTCCTGCGTCCGTCTTCGGTACTTCATGTTCAAAGCTCATACCACCCCTGATGATGTAGGAATAGAAGGATGCTGTCGGATTCGAAACCGAGAAAACGTTCAACCCATTGAGCAGCTTGTCAAGTCCTGGCTGTTGGGCGAGACTGAAGGAAATCCCGGCGAATCAGTCAGGGAAGCAATGGAGCATGTTTGCGACGAAGTTGCAGCTGGATCTACAGCCTACGAGAGGATATATGGCGACCTCTGGGAACATTTAGCAGATGACGGCTTTGGGATGTGCAAAATTACCAAAGAGGAAATCGATGAACGCATTCGGCACATGCAAGATGAAGACCCGGAAGCTCCAGGCCATTGGCTTTGAAGTGGTAGAATTGATCTTGGGTGTAAGAGCACCAGGAAATGGGGAGACTAAAGGCTGATGATCGCTTATGATCTCAGAACAGAGTCTGTGAGCATTCTGCTCGTCGATCGCATGGAATTGACTATCCCATTCATTCACAAGCTGTGCTTGTTGAATATAGATGCAAAAGCCTACGCTGAAGATGTCTTTAAATTTGCATCATATAGAGAGGTCAAGAAAGCGAGGAACGCGCAGTGCATCACCAGTTAATACTATATTTGCAAGCGACTGAAGTAATTCGCAATTCACTCCGATTGAGTTGAAAAACCAATAACTAATCCTCTTTTTCTATCTGTTGTATCTGTGCCTGATCAGTGAACACAGGCCTTGCGTAAAATCCAAGATTCAAAAGAGTGGCTTTGTCTACGTTGAAAGAGGATTTGGACAAGATCACCCCCAAGTGAACAAAAGAAGCATAACAATTGGGGCCAACAATGCACTTAAGTGATTAGATAGCTAGGACAATAGTATAATGGTCTTGTCGTCCCATAAGTATTAAAAGGCCATTCTTCTCGCCGTACATTGAAAAATGGAGAGCCAAGTAATCACAAATATATAAACCAGGACGTCGCTTCTCAACTCATTCGAGAGGTTGACGCAGACACCAACGCTTGACACTGACCCCAGGCAATGTGCAAGAACTATTGGAATGCAGACGCATGCCGGCGATGCGGTTTCGTGTCCAACGTCGTGGCGCCGGGCAAGACCGATCCCTTCACCGGGCAGATCAACACGTCGGGGTTCATGTGCCTAAAAGCTCAGGAGCGCAATGTGGAGAGGAACAGGCATACCCAGCACCTGGACAAGCCTCTAAGAGCCTCCAATATTGCCAGGTGCAAGATGCGGCAGCTTTGTCGCGATGGTGGCCCGGGGCTTGATGGCGCCAAAGACAAGGACGGCGACCAAGAAGAGGCTGGGGGCGAGGGAAAGCAAGAAAACAATGGCTCAGAGGGAGACGACATCATGTTGATATACATGTGGAAGTTTTGCACTCTAGGTTGCAAACGGCAGCACGCAGCCCACATGTGCAAGTGGACTTCGCCGCTGGGCTGGTGCACCGGGGCAGGAGACAGTGAACGCGACGAGAAAGATGAAGCAGGACAGGCCGCCGAGCCGGTGAGTAACCTACCATTGGCTCCTTATCAACGCCCGTTGGCCTCTCCTGTGCTGCAAATGGTCATGAAGAAGAATCTACAGGCCAAGGCGCGCAAGCTCTGATGGCGCTCTCTTCTATGGGTTCCAGGTGAGTTGTATAGAATTGCGCCCAAGATAGGAAACAAGGTAGGTAAGCATCTCATGGTCAAGGCATCTAGAGCCGAACAATCGCCCTTTTCGTGGGACACACTCTGGTAGAAGCTATACATAATAATAACAATTGAATGCCACAATAAAATGTGCCACTACTTCTCTTTCATGCAAGGACGTTGACTCGCATCTACTACGTGTAATAACACTAATCACAATATCATAGACTCGAGAGCTATGTAGGCAAACCAGCAACTTCAGCAGGAACGGGCACTTTTTCAGGCCTCTCAATCATAAAGACGGTAGCAGTAACGGGCTCACCAGTGTGGGCTTCGCCAACCTCCTTTCTGATCTCTCGGAACCCAGCCTTCTTCAGTACCTTTTCGCTGGCATGATTGCCCTCGTAGACATAAGCCAGAAGAATGTTGCGGTTGGCGGGATCCAAGCCCGGCACACCTTCAGGGAAGTGCTCAAAGTAGCCCCGTGCAAAACCCTCAACTGCTTCGGTCGCATATCCTTTGCCCCAGTACGGCTCATCAAAAAGATACCCACAAGCTGGCGGGCGAAAGAGGCCGATGATGCCAATGATATCACCCGAAGTTTGCCCATCGCTCAGCAAGAGCTCTACGGCGAAGGAGAAGCTCCCAGGTGCTGTCATTATCCTCATCCGGTCGAAGCTGACGCTTTTAAAAGGGTCATCTTCTATCTCGACACCGGTGGACCTGATAGGCGTTAGATACTGGCCTAAATAAGTCTTGGGGTCTGCAATAGCTACATGAATTTCATTGCATTTGGATTTCTTCGCATTCGGTGGATGACATGAATGTCTGTCAATGGATACACTGGCCGTAGCTTGAGCCTCTGGGTCTTGATGATAACACCATGCGGTGATTTGAAGGTTGCCAACTCGGCTTCAGTGCCCATACTGACGGTAGATAGTCAAGGGATGACTCAAAACAATGGTGTGTAGTCAAGTCCTGAATTGTTTCTCTTTTGAAGCGCCAATCTTGATTATAAGTAGGTGCACGCTGAACTCGTAAGACCGCAGTATTGGGGGTAAGCATCAGATAAGATGCAATGATCGGATTGCACGTCGAAGAAGGAGTATTGTCCCAAGATAGATGAAAAGCCGAGAACGGCGTATTGGAGGATGCCTAGCCGTTCGCTAATCGCCAACAGGCGAGGTGGTGGCTGCTTACCGTTTCTATAGCGAACCAGATGACTCAGAGGTCATGTAGACACCCCAGATAGAGCACACATACTGTTGTTCATGTATGAATATAGGAAAGACGAGATGGACAAGATAATACCCTCAGATTAGCTCTCCTAGTTCTCACTGACAACCTTCCTCGCGTCACCGCGGGCGGCTGTCTGCAATTTTGGCTTATTGGATTTAAGTCATCACCGGGTATCTTGTCGATCTGAGTATGAGCAAGAAAATGTGTTTGTAGTGTCAACATATAGACAACGATACGACAGTGCCGCTCAGGACCACTGGCCCCAACCAAACACAGTGCATCGCCGCCGACTCCGATTGAAAACTATAATTACAAGCCTCACCGGACAGCTTTTGACAGAGCTGACCTCGGGATATGTGCAATATTTGTCGTCATTGTCGGCGGGTGGCATTCAAGCCAGACGCACGGTCTTTGTGGCGGAGAATGGAGATGGACAGACAGTATCGTATTATTGAAAATATGAAGGTCCTGCTCAGATCTCTGTTCTGAGGAAGATGATCATATGTCTACTGGGCCTAAAAGGCTGCAGACTCAGAAAATGTGTAAATTTGTATGAGATCTCATCATTGCAGGCTCCGGGAAGTAAAGGGATTATGCAGAAGGAGAAGAGTGTAGTTCGTGATGGAGCAAAGAAAATAACATAAGGAATGACCAGATCTTGTTCCAGTCGGTCTTCGTACCTACCACAGGCTGACGAGATCTTATGGTGGCCACACTTGTGATGATCCATAGAGAGTCTGCCTGATACGCGGCCATCTTAGCTGAAGCGCATTGCTTGCAAACGCGTAATTGCTGCATAATTGAGCACTTTGGGCGTACAAGAAGGAGTAGAAAGCGTTCCCATCGCCTCAAAAGGAAGACATCGTGGTCCACAAAGCGGCGATTTGGTTTGTACATAGGCGCGCGTTGGAAATTTTGAACGACGGTGTTCTCGTCACGCGTCGTGCTTTATCAGGGACGTCAGGGTCCAAGGGAAGGAACTGAAACAGCCTTGGGGTTTGCGGGCAGTTGACGCCAATAAATGCTGACAGGTCTCTGATTGGCGGCGCAATCCACTACAAGCAGCGGCCGCTGCCCATGGCTTTTGCGCGCCCCACTCCCTAAGCTCTGTTGCAGGCTGAGCTGCAAAAGAAAGTTTCCCCTCGGATCGTTGAGAGCTATCCTCCGTGTTCGCGGACCAGCAAACATTACACGACCAAGACATTGTGCGCTGGCAGAGAAGGACAAGTTGACACTCGGTAGTTCTCTAATATCTTCTTCAAAATGGTATGTCGTATCGGCCCCAACCCTTGTATTGCAGCCAGCTGACCGCGATCCCTCAAGGCCCGAAACAGCGAAAAGGCCCAGTCTATGCTGTTTCGCTTCCGCGAAGCGCAAGCAGCAGACTTGGGAATCATAGATGCCGGACGCACGCGGCGACCCAAGATCATCACCGAGGTCGACTCGATACCCTCTTGCGAGAAATGGCGAGGCCAAACCCTCAAGGAGATTAGCCGCAAGGTTTCCAAGATCCAGGATCCCGCCCTTAGCGACTACCAGATCCGCGATGTCAACGACGAGATCAACAAATTGATGCGAGAAAAACACATGTGGGAAGTACAGATACGGAATTTAGGCGGTCCAAATTACATGAGAGGCGGCGGGAAAGTGTACGACGAAAGCGGCAAAGAGATACCAGGCGGCGGGAAAGGGTATAGGTATTTTGGGCGAGCGCGAGAGTTACCCGGAGTAAAAGAGCTATTCGAAGCGGCAAAACACAAAGACAAGGACGAAAAACCACTGGAAACGAGGGACGACTTGAGAAAGGCCGTTGACGCAAAATATTATGGTTATGCGCCAGACGAAGAGGACGAGGCTCTGCTCGAATACGAGAGGCAAAAGGAGGAAGCCGCACTCGAGGCACTCAAGAAGCAAGGAGGAAAAGGCACGGCGCCGCCAGATTGGGAGCCTCTTCCTGGAGACAGTGGTGACGGTAAAGCCTGGGAACTGCCGACGCTCGAAGAAGTTCAGGAAGAATTGATGGACAGGAGACGCAAGAGGTTGCTTGATTCACTCCAATGATTGGCGCGGCATTTTGGTCCTTTTATCATAACATCAATTTCTCGTTGGCAGGTCGCGGACTCGATTGTTTTGCGCATTGGACAAGAATTCATGGGGTTGGGCAAGGTTTCCTGGCGTTTAGGCGTTGACCTGTGTAATGCTATATTAATTCGAGGAGGGAACTCACGATTAAGACATCTTTTCCCCTCGGATCCCGTTAACAAGAAAAATTCCTTTAGAACGCTTTCCTCAAGCAGGCGTGGCGTCTGATGGGACATATTGACGATTCTGTGACCATGCTAATCCCATGTTGGCGAATTTCAACATGTTCTTTCTTCATATATCATGTTGGAACCAGCTTGCTTGTCGTTCGATTTGAAGGACTTTCCCCCCAAAATAAAGTCGAACCTGTATCTCGGAAATTCAAGTGCAGCGACTTTCTTTTTGTTGTTTATGAGCTTGAAAGTAAACACTGCACTTGACATGAATTTAATATCTTCACGCACCATAGCAGCAACTGGAACATCAAGCATGGTAAATGACAAGCTGAGTTTCAGGGCAATAGAGCTGAGGACCCGCTAATGCTATAGCTGCCCAGACCTCTGGTCGGCATCCTGGCTTCAGCTATCGATAGCGCCCGCAACGCCAAAAAGTTGGAGCACCACTCACTGATCGTGGTGAGCTCCAGCTTCCATTTGACCATTGACATTTGACTGAGCCTCGAACCTTGGGAGCATTTCCCACCCCACCATAATACGAGCGACTTCAAAATACACACAAGATACTTCTTCAACAGCCAAAACACCACATATACCGAACAAGTCGACAACCGATATACAAGGCAGACAAGATACCATGACGCACCGCGCCGACCCCTCGCGCTTCCTCGACGAGCGGCACTCGGCGCCACTATGCCCCAACGGCATGAACCCAGCAACGCTGCTGGAAAAGGCCATGATTGAGCGCATAATCGACAGCTTCTACTTTAAAGACGCGTGTTTCGGACTCAACGAGGCCGACATTGTGGACAGGGTAGTGTCGCACGTCACCTTTGTGGGCGGCACGTACGGCTCCTCGCAGAAACCGACGCCGTTTCTGTGTCTGCTGTTCAAGCTGCTGCAGCTCGGCCCCGGGGACGATGTGCTGGGCGAATACTTGAGTTTTGGTGGCGAGCGCTTCAAGTACCTCCGCGCCCTGGCTGCCTTTTATATCCGCCTTACTCGTCGCAGCGAGGATGTGTACAAGACCCTCGAGCCATTCCTCGAGGACCGGAGGAAGCTTCGTCGCAAGGGCGCCCAGGGAACTACCCTCACTTTTGTCGACCAGTTTGTCGACGACCTGCTCACCAAGGACCGGGTCTGCGGTACGACATTGTGGCAGCTGACCAAGAGGGAGCTGCTGGAAGATTTGGAAAAGTTGGAGCCGAGAGTCAGTCCGCTAGGTGATATTGAAGATCTCTTGGACGAGCTGGACCAGGAAAATGGGGAAGAGGGGCAAGCAGACAGTGGTGAAAATGGAGCCAGCGATGAGGGTGAGGTGGAAGAGGTAGAGCCTCGCAGCAGGTCGAGATCTCGCAGCAGAAGCAGAGACAGCAATAGGAGGCGGTCATACAGTGGCGACAGGGACGATCGAATGGATGTTGACGAACGCACAAAACGCAGAAGCTCCAGATCACAGTCAAGGTCATATCCTCGGAGTCGATCCCCTGATTCGAGACGAGACGGAAGCAGATAATCGGAAGTGTTTCATGCAGTCTACTCCATTTACAAAATCAGGGCTCCCGTAATGATACCCAATCGCTTGATTTCTATTTTACAGCATATTTACAACTCTTTTGTCACGTTTGCTACTCGTGAAGATATTTCTGGGGACAGTCCTTGAGCAACAGCAAGCAATGTCATATCGTCCCAGAATTGCCCGATGATTTGCAGACCTCCAAAATTGAGGAGCTTTTCCTCCTCACTCGTAGTGTCGACGGGTATATCCATTGGTATACTAATCGCAGGAAGACCTGCGAGACTGGCTGGAACCGTGAAGACATCGTTCATGTACGAGTCCAGTGGGGTCTGCTTGGCTACGTCCTCTAATCTGGGAGGAGGAGTGGGAGCCGTCGGTGAAATAATGAAATCAACCTGCGTAGGGCCAAGCTTATTCTCCAGGCTTATTGACTCATCCATTTCGCTTAGGTCGAACGGTGCCTCATCGCACAGTGGGTTAGATAGCTTGAAGACCCGGTCAAAGTCCTTTCGCACCAGTTGTCGCACTTTCTGAGCCTGGATAAAGTAATTGTCGATTGCTTTCGAGCTCAAGGTATACGAGCCAAGGAGGACTCGACGTTTTACCTCTGGACCAAAGCCATTCCCTCTTGTTTTCGCGTACAAGACACCGTCCAGAGCATCCGTAGTTGCGCCTTCTGCTCGTTTTCCGTAACGAATCCCGTCATATTTTGACAGATTGGAGGCTGCCTCTGCCGGTGCAATTACATAATAAGCAGAAAGAGCATTCTTGGTCGAGGGCAATGAGACGGGTACAACTCTTCCGCCTAGATCTCGGATCTTTTGCGCGCATTGCATCCATCCGGCCTTGATCCTCGGGTCGAGTTCCTCGATATTGTACTCGATGGGAATACCAAAAGTCAAGCCTCTTAGCCACTCGCCCTTGCGCTGCTCGACACTGGGCGGCACCTGTCTTTCTTGGGCCATGCATCTTTCTCGAGTAGCCTGTGTCAAAGACGTCGGATCCCGTAGGTCATGTTCTGCACGAACAGACGCAATGACAGACTCAATCTCACCAACAGTCTGGGCAATGAAGCCGACCGTATCGAGAGAGTTGGCATAAGGAACGACGCCCCATCTGGAAATCATGCCATACGAGGGCTTGAATCCAACCGTCTCTGTGTAAGCGGCCGGCATGCGGACCGATCCACCCGTGTCCGTACCCAGCGCAAGATCGGTGGTGCCTGCACTGACTGCGACGGCGCTTCCTCCAGAGCTTCCTCCGGCTGACCTTTCTTCAATCGGCGAGATGTTCGACACACGGCCAACGGCCGAGGCTGTCGAATGCGTACCCATGCCAAACTCGTCCATATTGGTCTTTCCGATGACGGTCAGATTCCGGCGCTGCAATTGCTGGACTATGGTTGCGGAGAAGGGGATCTCCTGTCCCGCGAGGATGTTGGAAGCGCATGTTGTCGGTAATCCTCGAGCAGCAATATTGTCCTTGACGGCGAAATGCGTGTCGCGCTTGGCGGCTTCCAGAGACTCGTCTGGGTTTTGCGTGATGTAGGCGTTGCCAGTGTGTAGACTTTGACGCTGGCTTAACCTGCTGGCCCAAAGGACCGAGCAGATCCCCCGAGGGATGCTGGAGCGGCAACGCCTGACATGTATTGACATGTAGCCGCGTGAAGGGTGGTGACGATATGGGAAATAAATGGAATTTCTACTTGGTGGTCGCCAAGTACGATTGCACTGGAATTTAGCTACCAGTCAATGGTAGCTCCTAGCCCCAGACTGCCCAGGTGCTTTCGGCACAGCCCTGCACAATGCTGTGGAGCTCCAGGTTTGTCAATTGTACTGAACGGTACCTTACAACAGGAACGGGCAACGCTACATATGATCGTGTACCCGGACTACAGATATGATTGAAATACAGACGCAAAACTTGATTGCATTTCTATGGGATTGATCGAGAACTACATGATGAATAATGCCAACCTGTCTCGGTATAAAGGGAACCAAAGTTGATTCAACGTCACTCATGGAAGAATACGTACTGCAGAGTACCTTGAAGGCCTCCAGGGGTCCAATATACCGGGGCCTCTTCCTTATCTGGCTTATCACAGCGTTACGGGTATGACGCAGGTACCCAGCAACGGAAAGGCAGCTGACATGTTTGGTCCTCAAGCTCCCCAAAAGCTCCCCATTGTCGTGCTGATCCTCGCTGGTTGGTGCCTATGCTGTGTGTCGGCAGTCGACCGCCTCAACTTGTTGCGAGTCACTTGACGCCAGCACCTCCCTCCTCCGCCCTTTTATCTCTTACCTCCATGGTTTGAGCAGACGCTGCTCTCTTCATCAGTTTCCCATCACATAAATGTTCAAGTCGTCATCATGTTTATTGAAACAGCATTCTTAGCTGCTTCTCTGGCGGGTGTTGCTAGCGGAGCACAGCCTGGAGCTGCAGCGCCACTCGCCGCCCCGATGAGAGACTTGGAATGGGGGCAGATCAACTTTCTACACACGACAGATACTCATGGATGGCATGCAGGCCACTTGCAAGAGTAAGCATCGATACTGCCTCGGCTTGTTCTTGGTTCTGGATTGGCGACTGACACAGCAGTGCGACAGAGGGCAATACTCCGCCGACTGGGGCGACTATATCTCGTTTGCCGATCACATGCGGAGGAAGGCCGATGAAAAGGGCGTCGACATCATAGTCGTGGACACCGGCGACCGGATAGAGGGAAACGGCCTTTACGATGCATCCAAACCAAAAGGAAAATACACATCCGATATATACAAAGAGCAGGACATAGATATTCTATGCACGGGCAACCATGAGCTGTACATTGCCGATTCCGTGCGGCGCGAGCACGATGTCACTGTCCCCAATTATAGAAACTCATACCTCGCTTCGAACCTCGACTACATTGAGCCACAAACCGGCAACCAGATACCGCAAGCGCAACGATACAAAAAGTTCAAGACCAAGAACCAAGGCCTCACCGTTGTTGCATTTGGGTTTCTGTTCAATTTCGACAGGAATGCCAACAATAGTGTTGTTCAAAATGTCGAGGACACCATCAAGGAAAGCTGGTTTCAAGAAGCGATCCGCGAAAAGCCCGACATCTTCGTGGTCACTGGACACATTGGCTTGCGGATGAAGGAGTTTGAGCTCATCTTCAATGCCATTCGCGACCAGAACTGGTTCACCCCCATTGCTATCTTGGGTGGACATGCGCATGTTCGAGACTTTCGCAAGTTTGACGACAAAGCATATGCTATTGCCAGTGGTCGATATATGGAGACGATTGGTTGGATGTCTGTCGATGGAATCAAGAAGAGATCCAACGACGCTACTTCCTCTGCCGCATCCCCAACATTCAAGCGGCGTTACATTGACAACAACTTGCTCGGTCTACAATACCACACTGGCCTCAATGAGACCACTTTTCCAACCGAACATGGCAAGAATGTCACCAACTTGATAGCACAATCTCGCCAGGCATTAGACTTGGACAAGGTGTACGGATGCGCCCCGCAGGATCTTTGGATGAGCAGGGCCGAATACCCCAGCAACTCGAGCGTCTTCACATGGCTTCAGGAGAAGGTCGTGCCAGAAATCGCCGTTCGCAAAGACAGGCAGAACGTTCCACGGTTGGCAATTGCCAATACAGGCATGGTCCGTTTCGACATATTCAAAGGCGCCTTTACCACTGATACAACTTACATTGTGTCCCCCTTCATCAGCAAATTCAACTATATTCCAGACGTGCCGTATAGGGCTGCCAAGAAGGTCATTAGTCTGCTGAATAATGGTGGCCCTGTTTTTACGACTGCCGAGGCTGGACATGTTCTCGACACAAAGTGGCTCGCCAGCCCGGAGCAATGGGCACTTGCTGAGCGCCCTGGTATGGAGTCATCCTCTCCAGAAGGCGCAGAGAATGCTCAGATTTTTGACGACAGCACGCAAAAGCCATTGTTCAAGGATGAGTCCTCCTCCAAGAAGCCAGAACTTGTACAGGGTTACACAACCAAAGACGATCTAGGTGATGATGGAGATGATGCAATTCATGAGCCTATCAAATTCTACGCCGTGCCCAACTGCATTCAGACAGAAATTGACTTTCCAGAAGAAGGAGAACCAGAGACAGTTGACCTGGTCTTTGTCGACTACGTTCAGCCTTGGATCATTGTGGCCCTCAAGTTTAGTGGAGGTGACTACAGTACCGATGATGTTGCTGAGTATCGGACAGAGACAGTGACAGACTTGATTTTTGAGTGGATAACCAAGAACTGGGGCACTGATTGCTAAATTAAATGAAGAAGTTTGTGGTCGCCTCATGAGTCATTAATACCGCGATCTTTTTCTGTTTGATGTTGAGTGTCAATTAGCAATAGTCATACAAATAGAGTCATAAATATCATCTATCACTTTCCGGTGATTCTTTGAGCAATCAGAAATGTCATGATTTCCGCGAATTCATCAAGCACACCAGAAGACCAAGCATGATATGAAATACCATTGCATGTTATTCTAGCACGCTATTTGCTAAAAGACATGATCGTAGAAGGCACGTGTGATGAAAAGTACAAACTCAGGGATTGCTCGCGATAGAATCATTACACGCAGTCTGTGGCTTTGGCTTGTCCCCAATTAGATGATCAAGCAAACCATGGCAACACTCTCTTGCTCCAATATGCAGCCATGTTTCTTTTGGGGATACAAGTGTTTCGTAAAGGGAGATACAGTCGAGATGCGTGCCTATATAACCACGAACTTCTCCCAGCTCTTGAAGATCTTGAATTTTGTCTACCATCATCAATCCCTTTATAAAGGACGCCTTGTTTTACAAGTCAGTCTGACATTACCATTCATTCTGACTTGTTTCTATAAACCAAGCATGGATATCAACCTGACCCGTGGTAACTGTAAGCCATGGATCATAACCGTGCTCGCACTCGTAGCACTGCCCTGGATTTCAAGCAGGGCATTTTGACACCAACACTCGAGAACCAGACAATCATGTCTGAGCTTCTCGACCCAAGGTCGAACCGACTTCATGTCTACTTCCAGCGGTACCGTCTGCGTTCCGTGGATTCACATCTCGTTCCACAACATCAAGCTCGTCATGGGATGGAGGACGAGGAGGTCATCATCATGGATTATGTTTGTTGCAGGTATAATATCTATGCTCTACCTAGCGCCCTTTGAACACGATGGGCTGCACTTTGAGCAAATTCCCACGTGGGGATCAAGAGTACATCTCGTTTGGACACTGCCATCAAGAGAGTCATCGGAGACAGGGGGAAGACTGTTTGCGGCACCACACCACAGCTTACTCTTCCAATGTAAGCTTGAGCCTACTTCATGTGCGACCCCAGGGACTTGATTTGCAGTCCCCTCGGTGCCAAATCCACAACATGCTGAAAGAGAGGACGAGAAACCTCTCGCCTCGAGTACGAAGGCACTCCAACATCTTGCAACAATCCTGTATTCTATCCAACGCAAGTTTGTCGGCCACTCCGTCCTTCCGAAGCAAACTCTCGTACTTAAAGGAGAGATGAAAACGCGGCGCGACATGTTCCCCGTGAGAGACTGCTTCCTCGAGTACACCAACAAGGCCACCATACATTTGGTTATTGAAAATACCATTCATAATGAAATGGCTACCTCGAAATCTTTGCAATTCCTGTGCAGAAATCACAAGGAACAACCTTGGATAGGGTCGTCGTGGTCATTTCAAGCCTCGACATTTGACGCTTGACTTCGCGTTCAACTTTGCCTTTTACTCGCAGCAAGCTGTTGCAAGGTCGGGGCCATGGTCAACCTTGTGGACCCCCTAGACCTGCCGGGTTAGACATGAAGCCCAATCCACAGCAAATCCACAAGCCTCGGGGACACCGCAGGCACAGAAAGTAGTCATATCATCACATTTGATTTATCAAAGCCGAAAAGGAATCTGGCCTCGATGAGGCAGAGAAATCAACTTGAAATCCTAATCAAGACACCGACACAGGCCACGAAACGCAAAGCGTGCAAATCAAGACAAGGCATTGGGAATGAAGGTTGCTACCCATTTAAACATCTTTCAAAGTTGTAGGCGTCCGGAACCGAAAGAATAGGAATCAGGAGAAGGTCATTATACAGATGGAGATGATACACGGAGACAGACAAAACCAATGCAGTGGCCCAGCAGCAGCCGAGTCATCCCAAAGCTCATCCAATCCCATGATGCGTATCGAAAGGGGGAATAAGGCATTCTCACACAGCGCGTCTTCTACGAAGTCACCTGACTTGTGACAACAGGACATGTCATAACGAGTGATGGCAGAATTATAATCGATGAGATGAAAAGTGGACTTCCCCCACGACAATCCTCTGCAATCAGCTGCCATTTTACTGTACATCACTTCAAATCCAAACAAACCAATTACGTTTACAAATACCAAAACAATACTAAATAACTTTTCTATTTGTTTACAGTGTCTTGGGCGGCCTCGACATAGCGGGCGTCACATCAGCCTGCAGCGTCTTGAAGAACTTCCCGAGTCCATCATGACTATAGTCTTTTTCGTTCCACATATCCTTGTGATATCGGACTTTCCCTTGGTCATCAAGCCCCAGAGATATCAAGCTATTAACGGCTTTGGACTTGCCGATGCCCTTTGGTGTGTACTCGTGCTGCATCTTCCATATAATCTCAGTGGGCGTATCCTTGACCACTTCCGTCTTGAGGGTGCGCAGGCCGCTGAATACCTGTATATTCATGAGTTTTTGCTTGAGATATGAGTTCTCAAGGACATACCATTGGCAGACCATACCACTGCCCGGCTATTTTATAGCGATTGTCACAGTATGAGAATGGATCATCATATACTGCATCTTTGTCGTACACTATGCCACAGTCATTGGTTAGGATTTATTCCCAATCTTTCCAAAACAAATCCCAAAGAAAGCCTTCCTCACCTTGCATATCATCTTCCGAGGCGCTTCCAGAGTATAAATTGATAATCTTTTGCATGATCTGTTCGTGTTCGGTTGAAATTTTGATGGATCTCTCGGGGTGAGGTTCATAATCTACTTTTCCGTTCACATCTCCTGCCAGTTTATGCGCATCGGGGCGCGGCTCGAATTGCTCATGAATATGATGTGCCGTGTGAGACATTGGATATAAAGATTTTGAGGAGTCAAATAGAATAGATTGGAAAGACAAAAACAAAGATAACACTTCCGATGGGTTGGAGGTGGGTTACTGTGATATACTCATCAACATTCATCTCTTATAATTGCCATGAGAATGGTATCAGTGTCATACATGCGACAGCATCCACCAGGCGATCATCAAAGGTGTGAAGTGACATCATGACTACCTGGACATCTGGATGGCTGGTGGTTCACGACGGGGACTAGACTAGTGAGGCTGAATATACGTGGGAAAGACAATAATCTCATAGAGGCAGTTGTCCATCAAGACACGATTGAACTGTCGACAATCCATGGATTTTGCGATTTCTGCGCCTGAAAAAGTGCGGCCGACTCCGGCACTTGTCAGACTATCGTGGTACAGATGTTATCGACCTTTTGTTATTTGTTGTCGTAGGGCTCTTGAATGTGCATTGGACCCTTACCTGGGACCAACCGGGTCACCCCGGAGACTAGTGTTGTCTTAGTACGGGACTGTACGTCTGACGGGCAACAGTGCGGAACTGGGTAGTAGCCTGTAGATATACCTTGAAATATAATTGACTAGGACGGGGCTTGCGAAATGAGAACTGGTATTCATTCATAATTTACCCTTCTATATTCACTCTCCATTCGCGTAGATTGGGCAGCTCTCGTTTCTGTGGGGGTATGAGGAGCAGCACCCTAGTATGAAAATAGAGCCACGATGAATATTCTGGGGCGGAGTTTTTGATGATCATGTGGCTTTATCTCAAGTCCGAATGTTTCCTAAAGATGTGACTCACTTTATTTCTGAGGCATTAGTGTCCAGGTTGCCAGGCAAGCCAGGTAATCTCCAATGTCATTGAACGTTCATTGGAGTTTCCGGTACGCGTTGCATCGTGGGCACCTTCGGCTCATCCCGGGCGGCTGAGACAACATTGTATCATTGTTCAGTTTGATCTAAAATCTAATGCCGAGTCTTTATGCATCTAGCTTCAGTTTTTCGAGCATGCCGTCAATCTTTTGTAGGAGGATCTGATAGTTGATGGCATCCTGAGAGAACTCGTCATCAACCAGTTCACCATCCAGAGTGCGCACTACGCCATTGATACCGTCCGTAGTACCATTTGCAGCGCCATTCGTCTTTGGTCCAGTTGCGAGAATTTGCTCTGAAGCATCATCGGCCGCATGCTTTGGTGTGACCTCCCCATTGGTGATGTCGGTCCCTGCCAATGCTTCGGCAAGAGTCGCGTCGATTTCCCCTTCCTCGTCCAACATCTCATCCAGACCAGCATCCTCGAAACGTAATCTGAAGCGCTCCGAAAGATAGTACCGAATGTCGTCTAGCAACTCGATAGTATCTGTTTCCTCTCGCTTCTGGATACGCTGGGCGCTTTCGTGGATCAGTTCGGCGAATTCGTCGTCGTCGATGTAGTCTTCCAGTCTATACGCAATGTACCGTGCAGCAAATTCTTCTAGTCTTTGTACCCGAAGATCCCATGCTGCGTGAATGACATCGTAAACGTTAATCGGCTCTACCTCTACTTCTCCAGCACCTTCATATTCTGGATGCGTCCGATCTACTAGAACATTGTTATTTCCACTACCCAGTGTGCTGATGGCGATGGCCGCTCTGGTCTTGAGCTTGTCCAAGAAGAGCATATCGGCCGCGTAAAGAAGATCAAGGCCCAAGTCCAACGGACAATCCACCTTTTCAGTGTACATGAACTCGAGGACCAGCTCGAGAACTGCGGGTGGGCAGTCGACCTTGATGATGTGCAGAAACTCCGAATCCTGCGCCTCGACGAACTGACTGGAGAACATGGTTTCAAAATAGGGACTGCGGATGAGCATTGCTTTATGGGCCGGGTACAAGACAGATTTGGGATGCTTGCGCTCCCCATTTTGGGACTGCGGCTTCGATGCAGCTCCAGGGCCAATAGGGATGGCGCTTGCCTGTTCTTGATCCTCTTCGTCCAGCTCATCAATGCCGTCCTCATCAGCTCGCAAGAGACAGTCAGCAAAGATGGAGTTGTCATGGCGCCACTTGACATCTGCGACTTTTTTGGGATCCACCAGCATCTTGTGGCCGATGATCTTTTCTCGGAATAATTCGCCCACTTGTTTGGAAGCCCTGGCAACCTCATCCTGATGTCGCTGACGTGCCAGTCGTCTATCATTGCCACCTAGGATGGCATCCCATAGCTGAGTGACTTCAAGCTGCTTGCTGATCTTGTCGATGCCTGTGAGAACTTCCTCTTCCGAGACTGTGCTCCACGCCCCAACGAGATCCCTAGGCAGATCACCCAGGTAGAGATAGCGCATGACGACCTTGAAGGAGTCAGCCGGGATCGAAGAGGGAAGCTTCCATGAAGTCGTCTCGGGGGCATCTGTCAGCTTCTTGCGGAAGTACGGGGTTCTCGCCGCTAGCAAGAATTTGTGTAGCTGAAAGCTGTCGGTGCTAGTGTTGATGGTGATATCTGAAGTCTTTGGCATCTCTCGATTTAAAAGTTCAGTAACGTGCGCGGCCCATGGCTGCAGAGGATCTGTCGACTTGGAGAAATCATATTGCAAAAGAAGATTTCGTATCCGGTCATTCAAGGCATTATATATGCAACGTTCTCCTTGGAACGTGTCTCTTTCTGCCAATGCGCCAGACTCCAAAAGTAGCTGAACAAGTTCAAAATGGCCGCATAGACTCGCCTACAGCAGCAAAATCAATCAGTATATATCACAACCATGAGATGCATTTCCGCCCAGTTGACCGCCATGAAGGAACAAGTCCGTTATCTCCGAAGTCAAAACTGCAAAGCATGGAAAGTAAGGGTCGAGATCTCACAATAATGAGGGGCGTATAATCAAACTTGTCTTTTCCATTGATATTTACACCCGAGGAGATGAGCTCCTGTGTCCGTTTGAGGTCGCCATGTCGGCAGGCTGCCAAGAGTTCGTTGAACTCGGCGCTGTCGTCGAGAGGGTTTTCGTCTCGAAGCACTCCACTCTTGACGAGCGCAATGTCGTCCTTGAGCTTAGTTTCCAGCTCGAACTTTCTAAGCACCATTGCGGCCAGGAGGGGTCAGAAAGACTTCACAGGGGGAGCAAAAAGAAGCAAAAATGAGGCCAGTCTGAATCGGACTTAACGCACAAGACTCGATGAATCAGAGCAACGACATTGCCCGAGTGCAGATAGTGCTGGTCGTGGCGATATCACGTGGTGGGGTACCACCGTACCGGCCGCTTCTCCCAATGGCGCCGTGAGAATTTGTAGGTTGCACCTCGGTGCTTACATACACACATCAACTGTGAAATGTATACCTACTAACCTCATGACACTAAAGTACATACACGATCGATTGATAGCTTACACATTAAAACTTTCTAGGGGGAAGTCAATAATAACACTTGACTCGAGTCATAGCCCACTGTGCGCTATTGTGAAGCAGCTTGTCGAGCTTGTCAGAACGCGAACAAGGCACTTCTTGATGGATGAGATTTGATAGACGGGATCAACATGACATGTTCCTTCTTTTTCATCTCGATCCTTGGCAACAAAGGCATGTTTTGTTATCTGCGACATGCATCAGTTTTGACTGCTCATCAATCATCATGATTTGCTCCATCCATCCCATCTATGCCACGCACGCATCCACTCTCCACTCTCTTTCCAACTTTCCTCTGGACCCTGACTTGTCTGTCGTCACCGCGCCAAAAAGGCGGGTTGGGCGCCCGGGAGCATTCGGTAAGCGTATGCATCTGGTCCAAGCTTCCCTTTAGCTGTCCATCGGCCCAATCGGGCAATGAGCAGGGCGGGACCCAACCGAAAGCTGTTCCGCGCTAGCGAATTTTGAGGCGCTTGGCTCCATAATAAATTAATGCTAGTGCTGGTCGAGCTCCTGGTTGCCGTGGAAATGAGGGCAAATGTTTATTCACTGGCCCGGGGCCATTTCCAACGGCCAACCGTGAATCTGTTGCACATTGGGTCGCTGCGACTTCTAGGGGTGACATCGCAACTCCTTCTCCGTCGGCTCTCCTCCCCCGTTTCGTCTTTCATCTTTTTCCAATCATAGAAGTCAACACCGATACACTCGCCCAGCGCCCAGCACACCTTTGTGTCGCCCAGCATTCATCCATTAATTGCTATACAATTCAGTCAACCAGCTTATGGCACATCAATCGCTATAATTCATAGGTCGTTGCGGAAACAGAAGAAGATATTTTTCGCATCATGACCGAATCAGATAAGTTCGAGGTGTTGGAGAAGATTGGTACGTCCATTGCACCATCGCATACTCCCAATTGCACGCATCAGCGTTTAGGGACTGTGTGCAAGGTGAAAACGTTTGAAACCTTAAAAAGACTAACGTCTGGTCTTCATTCATATAGGCCATGGCTCCTTTGGAGTGATTCGACGAGTGAAGAGAAAGGCCGATGGACTGGTCATGTGCAGGAAGGAGATCAGTTACTTGAAGATGTCGCAAAAGGAGCGTGAACAACTGCATGCCGAGTTCCAAATCTTGTCGGGTCTCCGCCATCCCAACATTGTCGCCTATTACCACCGGGAACACCTCAAACTATCACAAGACTTGCACTTCTACATGGAATACTGCGGCAATGGAGATCTCGGTCGGGTAATCAAGGACCTCCAACAGAAGAACCAATATGCTGAGGAGTCGTTTGTTTGGAGCATCTTCTCGCAGCTCATCATGGCGCTCTACCGGTGCCACTATGGTGTCGACCCCCCGGAGGTTGGCAAGAGTGTCCTTGGTCTGGGTGCGACGGCCAAGCCCAAGGCTCCGGTAGGTGGTATGACCATTTTGCATCGGGATCTGAAGCCTGAAAATGGTAAGTTTGCTCCCCAGAGATCTCCCCCGCCGCGGCTTCGAGGTGTTCTAACCATGCACAGTATTCCTCAACGAGGACAACTCGGTCAAGCTCGGCGACTTTGGCCTCTCGAAAATCATGTCGGCCCACGATTTTGCATCAACTTACGTCGGCACGCCCTTCTACATGTCTCCCGAGATTTGCGCCGCAGAGAAATATACCCTCAAGTCCGATATTTGGGCCCTAGGCTGTATCATTTACGAGCTCTGTGCCCGTGAGCCCCCTTTCAACGCAAAGTCTCACTACGGACTCGTCCAAAAGATCAAGGAAGGAAAGGTCGAAAACCTTCCCAAAGTCTATTCGCAAGACCTTTACAGTGTCATCAGGCAGTGCCTGAAAATCAACCCTGACCACAGGCCAAGCACGGCTGATCTTCTCAACATGCCTGTTGTGCGCTTGATGAGGAAGGAGATGGAAGTGACTGACACAAACAAGATCCTGCGAGCCAAGGAAGAGGGCCTTAAGAAGAAACTCGCCGAGCTCGAGCGAAAGCTGGCCAATGTCGACGCCGACAAGTCGTTGATGCGCCATGAAATTGAGGGTCAACTGAGGAGAGAATGGGAAGTCAAGGCTCGCCTAGAGATTGATCGCCTGGTCAACGAAGAAATGGAGTCGCTTCGTCAGCGTTTTGAAGCCGAGGTCTCCGTGCGGGTACAGGAGGAACTTCAAAAGAAGACTGTCTCGTTCGCTGCAGTAGAGAGTCACCATTTCAACTCGTCTGCAACAAAATCAGACTATCCTCATTCCAGTGCTGGCTTGAGTGCCAGCGGACACAGCACCGATGGCGAGTTCCCATCCACCACGGACATCACCGAGCTCTCGATAGAATCGCCAGAGCCAGTGCAGCCTCTCAAGAAAAGTACCCGAACACCGTTCGGGCGCGCCCAAACCATGTTCGCTGGCCCACTGGGAACCCCCATGGACATTGAGATGGCCTCTCCGTCCCCCATCCCTCTCGCAGCCCTGTCGTTGTCGCCTCGTCGCATGGCCGCTACCAAGGCCCCTACATCTCACCCTCAGACTATCTTTGCTGCTGGTGACAGTGACCGATTCCGCGATGCTGATCCGCTGGTATCCGAGTCAGAAGACGAAGACGATGAGCCCATGGCCCCGTCTCCTTCGCGTCAACCGCGATCGATCAAGAATCCTTTTGGTATCAAACGTCCCAACCTCACGTCAAACAAGACCGCTCCAATGGGCCAGACAAAGACCAACTCTTCAACCCTCAACAAGGGTCTTTCGTCGTTCCCTCCAATTAATGCGCAAAAGAAGACGGAATGCAATGCCCCTCTGCGCGAGCGTAACAACACTCCCAACAGGCGGTTGAGCAAGATCCCTTCTGTTGCCAGCCTTGTAGGCGAGAACAGCAGCAACATGGCACGCAAAGTGTCCACCAAGGACTGGGCCGATACCTCGCCCAACAAGGTGCCTGCCAAGAATAATGTCCGTGGCCGGACCCTGATTGAGCTGCAACAGGCCCGTGCTGGAGGCCGTGCTCCGGATGTCAGTCCCAAGCGCACCAACTCGCTTAAGAGCCGTGCTGGCGCCGCCGAAAAGACCCTGGAGCCCGCCGCCGTGTGGGACCCTGAGAGGGATGAGATGCCCAGCCCCTTCTTGGTGCGAAGAAAGCCCATGGCTAGGGTCTAAGGCAGACAGCCATTGGGGAGAGCAGAAGTTGCTATTTGTATACCTAGAAACGACGTCAACGACACATCACAACACCAAATTGCCTAATTACCAGGCCCGACATTCCTTAGCATCTGTCAGTTTCCTTTGTCAGAGATCCGAGGGGGAGGGAGTGGCTGAACATACGGGCGTGTTGTGGACATGATGAAAGTACAAAATTTGGCTCGTGCTGGCCATTTTGGCTGGCCAGCAATGATGCAAGCATTGGCAAGGCGTTTCTCGATATCTTGCACACAAAGGGTTGGCGTTTATGGTTTTTTTGTTGCGATTTTTTTTTTTTTCGGTTTTGCCTAATATTCCCCCGTCGTCTGTGCTTGACGCATCTGGATGTGTACTGGGTTGACTGCTTTAGAGTTTCGTAGGACTACTCATAGGGCTCAAACATTGCGCTCTTGGAGTTGGGAGATGGAATTCACTTTGCTAGGTATTCGACTAGGGATGGATGCCTGAGAAACAATACAGTTCATCAACAAGTAAGCATAGAATAGTCCAAATATGCGACAGCGATAAACAAACATGCATGACGCGAAAAGAATATCCATTTGTGATTCCTAGTGGCTGGTTGTAGTCAAAGTCTAAAAGTGGTGGCATCCAGAGAGTGCATGTACAGTTCGAGGCTTTGCTAGCCAAACTATAATAAGCAAGCCCAGTGGGATGCCCTTTCTGCACTCCCAACGCCACCAAAATATAATCCATGGAGTGATCTTGGTTCTAGCAACAAGCAATCTGGACGTCTTGACCATGTTCTCGATCTGCCTGCTATTCAGCTCAGCTCCAGCCATGATTGATGTATTTTCACGAATGACACCTTTGCCCGGAGGGGCCCAACATGCAAATCGTCAAAATGGTGAGCCTTTTTCTTTCAGACTCGCGATAGCACGGTGCAACAAGACACTAGTCCCAGCGAATGGTGCAGTGGTATTTTCCTTTACTGAGACACAAGCTGAGATAATGACGCAAGTCTTCACCAGCCTCTCCCGCCAACCTAAAGTGGCCAAAAACACCCTCTGAACAGCTCATGGAAAGATGAACATGTAATGTCATAACTCATGCAAATCAAAGAATCAATGCCTCCCTCGACTATGGAGGAAGTTGGTGAAGAAAATCGGAATGGAGCGACCACCAATGCCTCCTTTCAGTTCTCCTGGAACGATGACCAGGCTTTACAAGCCATGGATGTGCTAGAAGCGATCCCCGGCATCAAGACGATATGCGTGACTGGTGGCGCCGGATTCATGTGAGCGATTGAGAAGTCCGCGAAGCTATATCAAATCAGCTAACTTGCTATGGTCACTCATCACAGTGGTTCTTGGGTTTTCAGAAGCCTGACTCTGACATATCCAATGTACCATTTCATATGTTACGACAATTTCGAGTCAGTAGCATTCGATCCAGCATAAATACGAAGTGTGTTAATAATCAATCAGATATTCATCGTCCTTGAACAATCTTCACGCCTTGGACGGCGTCTCAAACTGGTCACTGGTCAGAGGTGACGTCTCGGACGAGATTGCCGTCACCAAGTGCTTCTTCAAGCACAAGATCGACGCAGTAATGCACTTTGCAGCCCAGTCCCACGTGGACTTGAGTTTTGACGCGCCGCATGCCTTTTGCAAGACCAATCTGACAGGAACAGTCGTCTTGCTCGAGGCCGCGCGAAAGTTTGGTGTCAAGCGCTTCATCCACGTGTCGACGGACGAGGTTTATGGAGAGGTGTCTCCCGGCCAGCCAGACCACAAGGAGAGCGACGTCTTGTGCCCGACGAATCCGTACAGCGGCAGCAAAGCCGCTGCTGAGATGATGGTCTGCGCCTATGCCAAATCCTTTGGGCTCCCTACCATTATTGTCCGCAGCAACAATGTGTACGGTCCAAACCAGTTTCCGGAAAAGATCATTCCCAAATTTACAATTCTTCTCCACCGAAAGCAAAAGGTACCTCTATACGGGAGTGGAGAGTACACGCGACGTTACATTTACGCCGGGGATGTCGCCAATGCTTTCAACTTCATATTCCATCGTGGTGAGATTGGAGAGACGTACAATATTGGCACAGTCGATCGAGTGTCCAACATTGAGGTGATTGGGAAAATCCTGGCGGCCTCCCAAAAAGTCGCCGGCATTAACCACTCTGCGTCTTTGAACATCGAGAAATGGATTCAGTCCACGCCAAACCGACCTTTTATGGATCGCCACTATGCTGTGGATTTTACCAAGCTCACAGACCTTGGATGGTCACAAAAGGTAGCGCTAGATGATGGGTTTCGCAGGACAGTATCATGGTATGAGAGATACGGCGAGCAGTGGTGGGGTGACATTTCGTCTCACCTAGGATCTGGCGTCTTCAAGACAGAGCCAAGTATCCAGTCTAGTTAGTTCTCCTCGGGGCATCTGGATGTTTTGGTGAGTTGGTATCTATGATATAATATCTGGAAACCGTTGTCTGGTCTTCAAATGATGTAATCACATGGGCATCCTTTTTGGTACCTTTTATACGTTTCTACAATGGATTTCAGTGAGCATTCCCAGGATTTGATTTTTACTAAAAATCCATCACCAATAGTTTATTGTTCATCTATGCACATTGCTTTTCTATGCTAACTTGCAGCTTGGAGTCTTCCCCCTACATGTTGCGTTTTGTTATACTCTCCAGTGGCCCTTGGCAAGTGTCCCATGAGTTTACCATGTAATTGACTATTCAAGTCTACCGGTGCCGTTAAAAGTCGGCATCAGGTCTTCTAGAAAATACCACCGAGTTTGAGCTTTCCAACCCTTCTTTTGCCAGTCATTGGCAAGCTTGGGAAGGTATTCCAAGACATCGTACAGCGTGGCATCATGCGCTGCAATGACAAAGATGTTCGGATCCGCATCAAATCCCTGGATAGCACGGAGAGTCTCACGAGTGACCTCAATATCGTGAGATAACGTCTCGCCTGTGGCTTTCTGCGAAATGGTATGAAAAGGCACCTGGGAGCATCCGCCATGTGGATGCTGCAGGGCCTTGACGTAACGTTCTGGAACCTCGATGCCGCTAGTGTTGGGATGGATTGACTTGAATACCGCAGTATCACAACATTTTCCTCCTTGGAAAGAGACAGACTCGGGTAGAGCTGCGCCCGGATGGGGACGTAGCTCAGATCCGTGGTGGAATGAGTCACCAGCCAAGAGGATAAAAGTGTCAGAAGTGGTGCGGGCAAGAGCATTCATGTGCCCTATCGCATGGCCAGGTGCATCGAGTAGATAAAAGCTGCCGTCACCAAAGTAATCCACCGCTCCCAAGCCGCCAATTTTGAGATTAGAACTACTGAAATCGACCTCGCGCACTTGTCGTCCCTGAAACTCGCGCTCTAGAACTGGTGACTCAGCAATGGTGGGCCAGCCTGGGAAGAAGGCTTGTTTGATTCCAGGACCGACAAGCAAGTCGCAAGAAGATGGAAACAATGATGGACGTCCAACGTGATCTGGATGCGCATGACTGAATGGGGGAAAAAAGTTAAAACGGGACATGGGGATATTGTTGACAGTAGATCAAATACCTCCAAATAAGGGCTTCAATGCTTTCCAGATCGAGTCCTCCTTGACTAAGAACGTCTGATGTGTTTTTGGCAACCGTCAAGTTGGAACTAAGTTGTGCAAGCTGCGCCGCCACAGCAGGTGGGAAGTCGTTCACCAGATCCTTCGGAGTACCCAAATCAAAGACGACTCTCCGCTCCGTGCCCTTTTCATCAGTGTGAGTAATGACAAAGGCATAAGCAACGGCTCGAAAAGTTTCGAAACCATCGATTGGGGGACCCATGAAATGGGCAGTGGGCGCATAACCGCCAAATGTGGTGTCTACGATGGATACCTGAACTGTAGCCGTGGACGGCGGGATTTGCACTTTGGACATTATGGCGAAAGTGGCTTCAATGGCTTAGAGGGGACGTAGAGTTGATACCAAAATGAAGGTGAGATGGCTTTATTCAATGTACGTTTTGCTTTAATATATATATATATTTCAAAAGGCTATGATGAAACCACATAATGGCAAGTCATCTCGGTTTTCGGCTCAACACTCGCGTTTATTTTCAGTATTATTTGTAAGCGATCGCTTCATAATCCATTACCCAAGTGATATTGTCAGTAGACTAACTTTATATTGAATATCGGTACATATAAATCCGGGCTATTGAATATTGGTCCGGGTCTTGCCTCGCCAACCAACTTCCCCTTGTCTTTCAAGTCACGGTATCCCTTCTAGATGCTTCCGCCGTCTCGTTATCATTGGCGCCTAGAACTTGATTTATTCAACTCTTCAATTTCATATTATAGATATGGTTGCCTTTCTTTTACGGTAGTGCCGCTGGCGAGGGCCAACAAGTATGCTGAAGCTGCCTTGACAATGCGCCAGACGGGATGTTTCGAGATTGTTATAACATACCCATAGGTACGAACTTAGTGCATTTGATTTCACAACACTAGTGTGGCAAGCTGTGAGTGGGTTTGGTCGAATAAGGAGGTTCCGTTGTGTTGTTGGCTTGAAAAGCGAGAGTGAAAGTAGAAACGAAATGGTTGCCAGAAGTGGGTGTCAGCCAGTACTTCTTGGAAATCGTGGTGGGGCCAAGGGAGTCAAGAGTCTCCATCAATATAGTGCTGATTCGGGTTCTTGGCAGTCGCCCAGTTCTTTTATACATATCCGCCGATCCAGTGCACGATGGTGCTCACGGGACAAAAATGTGTGGGTCTTTGTATAATGCTGAGTCTTATAATCCCGGATCGTGCACCAAGCGACTTGAGTTCTCTTTCCAACTCGTTATTCTCTCTGCCATCATTCTGTTCAATCTTCCAATCTCACCTCGCCCCTATCTTAATCATGTTCCCAACCAACGCGCCGGTGTTCTGATTTTGGAACTCCGGAAAGGCACAAAGGACCCTCATGGCAAAGGGCCAGTCACGTTTGTGATACGAGAGAAGTGAGTTCAACAATCATTGCCCAATGTATATGCAGAGCAAGCAGCATACGACCATGATACGAAGGTCGCCAAAGTGCCGGAACTTTTCCAAAAATTGGCGGATGAAGGATTTTATGAAGATATATACATTCGTTTAACAGAAGACGAGACATATGGGTTCTCGCGCTCTTGATATTTTTAAAAAGTCGCGATGTGTGATAATAAATATCGGTATCCCTCTGAGTGTTCCATTTATGTTGACATCCTTAATTCCATTAATTCGGCTGTCAAATGTTCTTAATTCCGAGAAAAATATGCTGGGTTGGGCATCAAAGAGGCCGCTTGTGCTTCAATGTATCTAACTGGCTCGGTACTATATGAACAATATTGGTGGGAAGATTTGTAAGCTTTACTCTGCCATTGCCCTTTACGTCGCGTCAAAATTGAACGCGAGCGTACTTCCAGTGCCCTATGCCCGGGTCTTTGATTGCCCCGAGAAACGAGCCACTATAAACCCTGATTGTCTTGCATTAAGTGGTAAGCTGGATCATGTACTACCACTTGCTCGCATTGATATCTACTCCTTTCATTTTCGATAACTTAAATACTCGAGATTAGCAACAACAAATCCAGTGACCAAGCGGAGAACGAATAGCTCTGGTCGCAAATATGACTGTATAATTTGAAATTGGTAGAGATCTGTCTCCTGTGAGTATCAAAATCTTTTATCCCATCGCTACCTGTGTAGATATCTAGGTTAGTTTGCTTACGCCGCAGGTAAGTATGTAGGCTTGGAAGGGCACAATATTACTCATTCAACTAGATTTGACTTCTTACTGCAATTCTTTCTCCAACGATAGTATCTAATTGGGCAACATTATATTTCTTTTTTTAAGATGTTTGTCATCCTTTTGTGCTATGTTAAGTATTATATTTGCAATGTTGTGGTAAGCGATGTAATCTGGTCATGAGGCTGTGCGAGCTTTTATTTGACCAGTCTCACTGCCAAGCTGAATTGACCCCTCTTTCCGTCTGAACTTGGTGAAAAAGTCTGTTTATCTTTCCTGTCAGCAATCTCGACCACCTTTAGTTCTCTGATTTATCCTCAAATCCCATACAGACTACTGACTACTGGTCAAGGTTTACCTCATCATGACCGACATCTTGGGAGCTATTTCCGCCAGCTTGGACCTGGCCATCTTCATTACCAAACAGGTTGGGAAATACAAGGATGCGCCGGAGACTGTGCGCCTCATCAGCGACGATGTGTTGCGGCTGAGCCGTATTCTCGAGCACTTGAGGGACAACCTACAGCCGCATCCAGTGTCGGCCGTTCGATTGGCGCCTGCAGGTCTGGAGCACGGAATGGAGAGCGTGAAGCGGTGCGAACGGGTACTTGGCAAGATAAAGGCTACTCTAAAGAGCATATTTAGGACAGGAGACTGGAATCTCCCCCGCGATGAAGTGAAGCAAATTCACCTCAATACACTCACCAGGATCAGCTTTGTAGTTCGCGATTCAGATATCAACAAACTAAGGGCTGAACTGAAGGAGTGCAAGTGGGATATTATGCTCAGCAATTCGGTGAACCAGCTTTACCTCGCACAGCAATATCCAGAGTGAGTCCCCGATTGCCTGTGCCTTATTTCTCAAGAATCAAATTATATGTGGGCAATAGTGCTAAAAGCAGACACCAGGCTGTATGCACGGGACTCTGAAAAGCTCGACTATCTCCAAGAGTTATGCGAGTATATAGTCACACAGAAATTGGTCAACCAAAGCTCTAACAAGGTCCCTGTCACGCCTCCATCAATGCCACCAGGCGGTATGGACGACATCTTCACGCCGAATGCCGTGCATGTTCCGGGCGGTGATAAGGGATTCGGATCAAACTTGCCACCAAGGCCGCCTTCCAGTCGTCCTTTGCAGACTCTAGAGATACGAAAAGTCCACAAAAGCCAGATAGCGGAGGCTGTTCTCATAAGTGAACGCATACGCTGGCTTCATGATCCGGTATGATGTCAATTCGATTCATCATTTTCTTTTCTCGCTCCAACGACTGACACAGCCATGATAGTTTGACGAGGGATTCATCAACATACATGAGCCGTTGGGCGAAGAACGTATGCGCCACCTTATACGATTGAGTCGTGACCTTTTGACACCAACCAGCTCTTCGGTGCGCTACGAAGTCATCACCGAGCGGAGGGACTCGCAGAGACGGAAGGAGGAATACGAGAGAAAAGAGGACGAATACATGCTCAAAGAAGAGAAGCTGAGGATAGAGGAAGAATTGAGAAGGAGTGACAGGATGCCCTATGCGGAGAGTGCCAGCAGGGGTGGCTCCAGCGAAGCACATGCCATACCCAGCAACAATCTCGTCGCAGACCTCATCAGTCAATGGATCATCCCGGCAGACCCAGATGACAGGCAGGCCTCCAAGTGCGACAGGTACTTTGAAAAGGGAGAGCGCATGTTTTACTGCCCAGTTTGTGCATACGATGAAGATACGGTGTTTTGTTCAGACTGCTTCATTGCAGCTGATCATGAACGCCACGGTGTCGAGGCACGCAGGTCGAATGGACGCGGTTACTGTGATTGTGGACATGCGAATTCTGTCAAGCGACGAATGGTTTGCACGATACATGGGGTCAATGAACCCAAAAATGAGACCCAATACAGGTAGTTGGATGAGTGACTGCTATTGAGAGACAAATTCGCACGACCGAGTTTGCCAAATAATCACAATCTTATCATACACGGAAGCCATTCGGCGCAGTCTGCTTCATGGTGCCAATCTGGAGCGTTCGCTCGTTATTTGACCGGCCATTCACGACATCTGGATACAACAGAGACAATTCGGTGGCTCCAAAAAGGATATTGTCCACAGCCTCTACTCCAAGCATGAATGAGCTTGGCCGAATTAATACCATTCTTTGTAACTTCTGCAGGGAAATGTGAGACTCACTGGTCCTGATTGCTGACCTCATACTTCCAACTACCGAATCGGCCACGAGAGTAGATATTGAGGTCTCGCAACGCTGGTAGCACCTCGTTGAGCACGGAATCGCGCTCAAGATTTGGCGTAGGATGGCCATGATGACAGCGTTTATGGAATAGCGAGACAATCTCGTCCTCTGCTCCGAGTAAACCCGTGTTGAGAAGCCCTTGTATACAGTCTTCTAGCAGACTCGGACTTGCCGGTTTCTCTACCGACTCGGAAACCTCTAGGAGTAGAGACCAATATGGCCCCGCGCGCGGTGTCGGATCCGGCAACCTCGAATTATCCGCAAGACGTATAGTAGGGAGTTTTGTGCTGGGCGTCGGGACGTTTCCTGGAGCATAATTTGAAAAGACGGTGGCGCGGTAGAAGGGACAATTGTCTTCAGAAAAGTAAAACCAGCAAGTCGACCCAATAGCGTCAGGACGTGTACCACGGATTCCCACCAGAACGACATTGGTTGAGGAATAGGCAAGCCTCCTGCAGGTGGAATACCTGTCTGCGTGTTTCATTTTTGAAACCAGGATGTCAAGCGGCATAGTCGTGATAAGATGCCCATATTGAACAACCTCGCCATCTTCAAAAGTGACAAATTTCTGGTCTTCGTCAACTGAAGAGATCGTCTTGTTGTAATGCAAGCGATCTTGCGGAAGAGTGCTTGCTACGGCTTCCCAGATGTGGCCCGTCCCGCCCGCGCTGGGGAAGCGAAATGTCGCATTAGGTCCCCAGTTGCCTTGTACCACACCTTTGAGCACATTGGTCGCCGCCTTTTTCGCGTCCGGCGCCGGCACCCGCTCTCCCAGCCAGGCGCACTGCATCTTGGTAGGCCTCGTTGCCCAGACCTTCCACGTGTACGGGCGCATGAAGCAGTCGGCAATGCCCTCGCCCAAGTTGAGCAGCATCCATTCGTCAAACGTCTTGGGCTTTGGCGCCGTCTTGGCCTGCGCCGCTGCATCAATGAGACCGCCGAGACATGTGACTTGGTCATCTACCGACAGGGCGGACAGATTGTTTTGGAAAGGATATGGGACCCAGCGATCCTTGAAGCGGATGTACGAGATGCGCTGGTGCCGGCACCAGTCTTGCTCCCGGGGCAATGCTTCATCCAGACACTCGTCAAAGAATTTATAGTGGCTGAAGACCACATGTCCGCCATAGTCAACGAGCTGCCCGCAATGATTAGTTTTGCACAACAATAGGCCATACATAAGACCGTGTACAACGCACAAACCCCTCTTTGGTGATGCAAGTCGACGACAAGCCCCCGGCGTTTGAAGTCTTCTCGTAAAGCGCCCAGCTGCCTTGGTTCTGGGGTTTTCCCCGTCTCCATCAGCGTCATGTCCAAGATTTTGCGTGATACGAGATGTCTCACTAGCTGATTCAACCGCTTCGCTGCGCCCAAGCCGGTCGGGCCTCCGCCAATTACAACGACGTCGTAGCTAAATGGAGGTGTCAATGTCTGAGCGTCTCATATAATAGAGTTCAAGCCTACCGCGGGATCTGAGGATTCATCTTTGTGTCGTTTGTGTTATAGTCGACGGTCGTGTGCGCAAAGGAGCAACTTGGAATGCTCGGAGTCGCGGTGGACGTCCATGGGGACATCTGCTTATTTGTATTCGTGTCAATTCCACGTCACAAGCCTCTCTGACAAAGTGAAACAGGATATCCAAAAGAGTCTGACCTGCCAAGTATGTCAAAACTTAATCTGTGTTGCGTCCATCCAACTTGAACTCGTCTAACCTAGGTCAAAGAGCTTACCACTTGTGTGGGCTTTTCTTTTTTGTGCAGATACTGGTACTGATTAATAGTTCCATCACTCTGTATGTCATTATGAGGATACCATGAAATTCTTCATTTTTATTGTTTGGTAAGATAGCATCAAATGGTTCGTTCGAAACTTTGAAATCGCTGGTTCGAGAATTCGCAAAAGTTTTCACGAAAAAAAAAAAAAAAAAAAAAAAAAACTGGCGCTCCCACGCACAAGCGATCTAATATTTTCACTTTGGAAGAATGGACTTCGTACACGGAACACTGGACTCTAACCGTTTCATCTATCCCTTGTACATTGAGCACACGTATGCTGCTGCACAATGCAAGAATATGTGTGCGCGAGAATGTAGTTTGTCTCGACAAGTCTCCTTTTCTTATATGTTATCTGCTTCATCGGCACGAGTCTCCAATTACAATGACTGAAGAATCAGAAAGCAATTGGAGTTTGACGTGCCATAAAGTCATTCATCAGGAAACTTGCTTTTTTTCTCTTTACTTTGGCGTGTATCAAGTGCTAAATAGTCGATAGATCAACAAATACGAGTAGACTTTTATTGCTTCTTGAAAAGTATCACAATAAAATATGATAAACACGTGACCTCATTTCAAATTGCTCATTCCGTACTGGGTGTGGAAAGCCTTGTTTAGGCTGGTGACTGTACGTGCTGATTAGTGTTCTTGGATGCAGATCGATCTTACAGAGTTAGGTGCGGACCTGCATTAGGGATGGGAGGAAGGTCGGCAACTGTTGGCAATGCTAGCATCTTTGGTGCTGACGCTTTTCCTGGAATCCTCTGGCTATATTGTGTAGAAGTTTGTATAAGAGTGCCCAGGTGCTTTTTGGATGTACTGATTCTTATTGTTCCAACCTGGCAGTAGTATCATATATGATTGCTGATACTTGTGCTGCAATTCTAGCGTTAGTTAGTGACTAGAACTAACATGTGAATGCATCATTGATGGTTAGCTGCAGGGCATGCCACAGATAGGTAACGTACCATACACTTACAGTACCGGGCTCTAACTTTGAAGCTTGCTGAATGGCCCCGCCCCCGCCTAAATGGCCCGTACATTGGGGTACTGAGCAGTAATAAGTACTGCACCAGTCTGTTTGTTCATTTACAAGCCTGAGAACCTTGAAGGTCCCTGGATGCCAGTGCTAAAAACAACAGGCCGATACAAATGTTGAGGGCGCTCAAGTCTTGACGGGGGCAATAAAAAGGCCCCCGATACTAAAGAAACAACTGCTCCAACGGCAATCTGTATTCTTGCATCGTTGGCACCAGACGGTTGCACATTGCCCCTTACAAACTTGGCGCTCCCATCAAGAGACCTCAGCTCTCTGCGCGTTTGACTGAGTCCAATCGCAAACGACGTCTGGTTCAAGTAGCGACGAACCCGCCTTATAAGACAACAGCATCTCCCTCCGCACAGCCTTTTGTATAAAACCCAGAATCATTACCTCTAGCATATGGACAAGTGCAATTTCAATATTTCCCCCAAAACTTTTACCAACAACGGAAGGCTTCCATCATCTCCCTGGGCCTTATCTTGACGCGGCGTCTCCACGCGTTCCAAGTCCAAACCCCCCCTCCCCCCGCTATCATAGGTACCTAGGCAGGCATGCATCCGTAGCTCCGGTTACCTGTCACAACTGTAAACGAGAAAAACCGTTTGCGAAACATCCCAATTTTGCTTTCGACCTCCCTCTTTCGTTATCCCTCACTCCTTGTACTTTTTCCCTCTTCGTCTGTACTTGAAAGAAAAAAAGGAATTGCAGATTCACCGACCAAGCAAACTGTCACCTTCTGGCCGCCAGCGGACTCAAGTATACTACAACACATAGGCGGGACCACTTCTTGATGGCAATATCAGTGCTCGACTGATGGTCCCTTCAAGATGGAGGTCTACTTGGCCGGGCTTCCGGCTGATCTCAGCGAGTACCAACTGAAGAAGTCCCTGGGAGAAATGATTGGTGCTCTCAAAATCCAGGATTGGACATGCCAGAAAGCGCCGAGAAAGAAGTTTGGCACCCTCTCATTTCTGCGCTCGTTTGATGGCGAAGTCTTTCTACGGCAACATGGCGAACTTCCTACTTCGCTGTTGGATCGCCAAGGCCGACCGAGGATGAAAGCCCGGCTTGTCATCATGGGCAATTATGTTTATTGTCGAAGGTCCTTTCGCGATGTGGATCAGTTCAGTGAGTTTCTCTTTTTGAAGTCGTGCAAAGAAAGCTATATTGTTTTCTGCTCGTGAAGCGCGTTGCTAACTTTGGGTCTCCCAGTGATTCGCAGTCTGCAGAAGGATGCCAATGAACGCCGCGATATTGAAGCGTAAGTAGACTGTGCCCACAGATTCTTCTTCAGGTCTCGCAACATGCTGACGTTGACTAGTATGCCAGAGGCCCAAAAGCATCCAGATGAGATCTTTGCTGTGTCTGCCCTGATATGCGGCTACTTCGATTACAACTCCCGCCAAGAACTGGTCTTTGCGCCAGAGGTGATATGGAGATGTCCTTCTGGCATTGGAAAATTCTCCAAGGACGAGCTTCTAATTTCCTATCAGCTGACCACGAATTGCAATTCCAAAATCAGGATTGAGATACCATACCGAATCATCGAGTCCATACTGCCTTCCACTACCCCTACGACCCTGACCCTGACACTTCTCGAGCCTCCTCGATTCTTTGAGGTCACCAAGCCGGATCTAGCAGACACTTTCGCTGCTATGCAGATGAATCAAGGAATCAATACTTTGAAACCAACGAGACGTCGGCTTACTGAGTTGCCAGATGGTTTGGAGGACCACAATTTATCAAAGCATGGTATGTTGCTTGGTCAGTGCCTAATTTACCAGCTGCTCGTTTCTCCTCACGAGTTTCGACAAAAGCTACAAAGCCTTCGTCGGAGCGAGATTCTTCCAATCTATCCGTCAATGTACAATTTTCCTCAAGATTTGGCCAAGAATCCAAGTTTCAACGAGGGAATGAGACTACTTCATCGGACCATTCAGCGATACGTCACCGCAGTAAAGTTCGAGATCCTTTTCCAGATACAGGCTCTTGTTGAAAATGGATACATTCTCCCCTGGACAGGTTCAAAACTATTGGAGAAGATCTACAAGCATTCGTCAGATGCGCGTACTGAAAAGGACCGGGTGAGTCGCTTCTTTGAATGCCCGATAAACACTACTGAAGACTTGGTAATATTGACAAAACAGCGCTATGCAATCTCTGGGCTTGCTATCAAGAATCTGTTCACCCAAATACCATTTCCTGCACCAGACACCGATCCACTGTGGTTTAATGCCGACGAGCTTTTCAAGCAACTCGAGAACAACGAATCAGAGATGCGTCTAGGACTCACCAAGGAGTTAATCTCGGTCAGTCGCCATAAACTTTCCAAGATGTATCATTGCTGTTGGCATTCTCTGACTCTGAGTAGGAAAAAGCCAGGAACAATCTTACCATGGTGTACAAGGCTCGCGTGACACCAACCCACATCAGCTGTAAGGACTTTTCAAATCCCATTTTGCCAATGCGATCTCTTCTGCCATATTGTCTTCGTCCTTAACACATTGATTCCTCGAGCCTGGAAAACATTACGGGGACTAGTAGATGTGATGAAACGAGAACACCATGGACATCAACATAAATGATTGCATTCTCGGGCCGTCATGCTAACGCCTTCCCTGTAGTGCATGGCCCAGAGCCAGAGGCCAAGAACCGCATTCTAAGAAAGTTTGAGGAAAATGTTGACCATTTCGTCCGCTTCCAATTCTCTGACGAGGATGGCCAAGACATACACTTTAACAGCAAATTCTCGAACGAAGCCATATACGAACGATTCTTGCAGGTTCTAAACAAGGGCACCCAAATTGGAGGTAGAAAGTATGATTTTCTGGGATTTTCTCATTCTTCGCTACGAAGTCAGTCGGCCTGGTTCATGGCCCCGTTCTTTCAGTACGGCAAGCTCCAGACTTACTTCAACGTCATCAACGACCTAGGCCAATTCTCAGATATCTACTCGCCGGCCCGATGTGCCGCAAGGATCGGACAAGCATTTTCAGAGACCCCTTTTGCCATTTCCTTGAAAGAACACGGCATTTTAGACTATGTCATCCCCGATATCCGGTCGGACAATGGTCAGGGAAAGCGTGTCTTTACAGACGGAGTTGGCTGGGCCTCTGCAAAAGTGGTTGATGCGATACTGGCAGCTCTGCCGCAGCGGAAAGAAGCAACCTGTTTCCAGATACGCTGGGGCGGTGCCAAAGGCATGCTGGCTCTTGACACGAGACAAGCTGGAAGCGCATTCGCTGTTCGTAAGTACTTTGACGAATTTATGCTATGGTATTCAATGATTTGCTAAACACTTTCCGGGCAGGTCCATCCATGGTGAAATTTGAGAGCAAGGATATTGGAAATCTGGAGATTTGCGACATGGCCAACAAGCCAATCCCGTTGGTGCTCAACCGCCAAATGATCAAGATCCTTGAGGACATGGCCGTTCCCAACGACTGGTTCTTCATGCAGCAGGACAAGGAGTTGGAGCGACTTCGGAAGATCACTGCAACCGCCTTCAATGTTGCTGCCTTCCTGAGGAAAAAGAAGATTGCAGACCAGCTCGGCCTGCCTCGTCTGATCCGGCGATTGGACCTACTCGGTATCGACTACAAGAAGGACCGATTTCTCTGCTCTGTAGTCGAAGCCGTAATCTTGCGAGAACTACGGCTGCTCAAGCACAAAGCCCGGATTCCCGTTGAACAGGGAGCGACACTATTTGGTATCGTTGATGAAACGGGATTCCTCAAAGAAGGGGAGATCTACGTCTCGTTTGACAAGACTGATCTCATCAAGACCGACTATCTTACTCTGGACAGTTGCGAGATGATCGTTACAAGGTAAGACTACTACTTGATATGATGAGCTTGAATAGGTGACTAACGATTCCCCAGATCGCCTGCTCTGCATCCGGGAGATATTCAACTAGCCACCAACAAGGTGCCACCGCCCGGTCATTCCCTAGAGCACCTGAGAAATTGCATTGTGTTTTCACACAAAGGCAAGCGTGATCTCCCATCTCAGCTCAGCGGAGGTGACCTGGATGGGGATATCTACAACGTCATCTGGGATCAATTTGCTGTGAGCAACTGCAAACGGGTTTTTGCGCCCGCAGATTATCCCCTCACCCAACCCCGCGAACTCACTAGACAAGTGAAACGTGAGGATATGACTGAGTTCTTTGTCGAGTTCATGAAGACGAACAACCTCGGAGTCATTGCTACCAGGCACATGATTCTTGCTGATCAGCGTCCGGCAGGCACGGTAGATGAAGGTAGGGATATAATTCTAGTCTCATGAATTTGTGTTGTTTCTAACAGGTTATCAGATTGTGTCAAGCTTGCTCAGCTGCATTCCACGAGTGTAGACTATTCCAAGACTGGTGTACCCGTTTCCATGGATACCCTCCGAGCGATAAAATTCAATCGCTTTCGACCCGACTTCATGGCCCCGGCACCACCTACGCACCTCCAGAACAGGACCGAGATTGTCTTTGATGCGCCGACCAGACCAGCGGCCGATGAATACAATGACGAAGAAGAGGATACCGGCCCTGGCTTCCGGTACTACTTGTCCGACAAGATCCTGGGACGATTATACCGGGCCATCAACGAGCAGAAAATTTGGAAGGAGAGTGTACGCATCGACCGTAAGCAGGGCGATGGAGTCGAAGTCTGGAACAGATTTCAGTCGTATGTGATGGAACAGTGCGAGGACAAACTTGGGGGCGTTACCTGGGCTTCCTTCATGGGCGAAGCATGGGATATCCGACACGCGTAAGTCAATGATCTCTTTTCCTCTTTGTTAGAAATTGTCTAGCATGCTGACTCTTATTTCAAGCTACGAAGATGCAATTGCTGGAGCTTGTGTGGATTTCAGCGACCATGCTACAGTGAGCATTACCGAATTGGAAGTGTTCACCGGTAATGTAAGTTGTAGAGTTTCTTATTTTTTCCCCCTTGTTACAAGTCCTGCGGAGCAATATCCTGCAGGTTTCGTTACCTCTAACTCTGACTTCTCTACCTTTGATGCACCATTTCGCTCCATGTCCTGCAATTTTCTATAGACTCGTAAAAACATGGCGGTGACTAATATACTCTCACTTGCCAGATCTTCAACAAGTCCGGTGTGCAAACCCGACGACAGCGAGACCGATCACTGCAGATCAAGGACGAATTCGACCGCATCGCCGCGTGGATCGAAAGCTTGATCCGCAAACAACCGATTGCCGACTTGGCCGCACAAGAGCAGCAGCAGGAGGAGAATGACGGTAACCAGGACGAAGTTGATGGTGCTAGTGACATCAATAGCAGCGGCGAGAGCACCTGGACGACTACTGACCCCGAGTCTACTGCACTCGAGCTCAGCATTGCCTGTCTGCACGTCGGCTGCGTCAAGGAAAAGGGTCGACGCAACCCCGGCATGCCTCGGGGCCGAGCGTCCAAGGAGGACGGAAAGTCGAGTTTCAAGATTGTGGCTGCGTGCTGTGTCCTCAAGGAGTTGAATATCGCTACTCGACGGGCCGATACTCGATCGGCTGCTCTCGCCCAGGGAGGCGGGTTTGTCGGCGTCTCTGGAAGACCTTAAAGGAGCAATCAGTGAAGAAAAAGGCAGCTTGTTGAGCGTACAAAGGGTTTCGGGTGCTCACCAGATGGACATCATTTTGCATCTTTGCCTAAGGAGATTTAATTTGAAAAGGAGGATATACTCCCAAGCTGTGGCTGTTTTTGGTCCTTTGCCCATGACCGGCTAATCTGGTGAAGCACTCGAGCCCTTTGAGAAAATTGTGTGGTGCAACGGCATCGATTTGTGTAGATATTGAACCTACTAGGCTTTGGGGCATATGACAATGACAAATTCGTGCAACATACCACGATAAAGTTCAATCTTTTACGCGACTTCCTGTTCGGTTTCCATGACAATGTGCTGGTGATTAGCGACAGTGCAGCCCATTTGCTGTTTTCTTCTTTCTCTTGATAATGGTATTCTATTGTTACTAGCTATGGTCGCCACCCTCGAGGGCTGTTGGTACCTGAGCCACCTAAAGCTCAGCAATCTTGAGAGGGCCATTCATTATATCTATGCTACAACCTTGCACATGATGAACCACGGCATTTCTCATACCCATGGCTCAATGCGTATCTGGGGTCTAGGTGTTTCGTTTCTTTTTAGCGTCAAAATATTCCGCGTCATTTCCATTCACTCATGCTTTCCTGGGGAACTCCTTTCAACCTCATCAATAAAGCCAGTCCAAGGCGATCTCGTCATCAGCGGGAGATTATCTGTATTCGTTTCCCAAAGCGCATTCCGAGGTTTTGCTAGCCTGACCATCATTGTGATAGAAATGAGACTCTTGTCCGAAAGGAAAATAAATAGGATGACTGTCCGTGATCTCCAAATACCACTGGAAGAGAATTCTGGTTTGTCTCAAGCTTCAGCGAGCCCATGTCCTGTTCTAGTTCAGAGACCTCCTGGCTGAAGATGCGTTTTTGCTTCCTGGCCCTCTTCCTCTTGTGATTCTGGGCTCTTGTGGGTGTCTTCTCGGGCTGTTCAATCTTATCTGCTACAAGCTTCGTCGTCTCCCATTCGCAGGCCAACACGGCAAATTTGACGCTCTTCGGATCCTGGTGCTTGCCACGAGGCTTCTTTTCGCACATCTCGACGTAGTTTTCCTGCACCCACTCTAGCATATTAAATACGTGGCTGTGCACCTTGCACTCGTTGCAGTTATTGCGATCGACTTCATAGTAGACACGGCCTGTGCCGCTTTGGAAACGCTCGCCACGCTTTTCGTTATTGTCGCTGGCAGCGAACTCGGCCATCAACCTAGCTCTGTCGCTGGGCCCAAGCCAGCGGGAATCTTCCTCTACATCAATCCCTGGAGGCTGACGCACGATGAGATGGTCCAGAAGGTAGAAGGTCTCGAGCCGGGGAAAGAGGGTGGCAAACTGGTAAAGGTGACGCCTCGGGACCTGTTCCTTACGGGGACTGGGGAGCCACTGATGATAACGACCGCATATGCGGCAAAAGTGGTACTTCTTATCCCAGTCAGGATGGTAACGTACAGCAAGGCGTCTGACGTTGTTTAGTTGGGACGTGTCTAAGCTCTGAGCCCAAGAACCCAGACCTCGGGTTGAGAAGATGTCTGGGTAGTCAATGCAGACAATGTCGGATGAGTTTGCGAAGCTGATGAGACGGCCATTGTCGAGCGTCAAGTTGTCTGGCCGGGAGATGATTCGATTGACCTCATACGCGCCCTCGTTACAGGAAAGGGAGATTTGGGTGAGTGTCTTTGTCTTCTGTATATGGTAGGACAAATCTGCGGCGGGCAGTGGGAAGATTGGCTTCAAAGTTGCCGTGAATGTCTTGGGGATCTTGGGTCTAGTCTTGCTCAAGTCTTGTCTTCGTGGATTCTGGGAGCCAGAAGGCCCAGTACTTCCGTCGTCGGACGTTGTATCTTCCTCCGAAGATGAGCTATCATCAAGCGGTAGTATTAGGGGGAAGTTGCGCTCAAACTTTAGGAAGTGGATTCCAGGCGAGTAGATGAGCTGCTCCCATATCTTGTGGCGGATATCATAGGGTAAGTCTTTGAAACGAACAAATCTCTCAAGGCCAGGAGGCAAGCTAAAGTGAATACGTTGTACGGGTGCGTCGGTGGACATTCCGTCTTGTAGGGAGGTGAGGGGCGGTTGACCTACCACCCCGGATTTTCTCGTTACTGTTGAAATAATGCGCCTGATACTCCAGCTGTGGTTATCTTGTCGTCGTTGATGTTTTCATTTCAACAGGTCCTATTCCCGGCCAGCTATAAAGCTTTCGGGGGTCCTAGTTGTGGACCAGAAGCTTGAGGTTTTGAATAATGGCCGAGTGGTGCCTGATTCGGAGTGCGGCAGCAGCAGGCTCGGGGGGCGAGGCCTGGTTGCCCGAAAACAGGTCCGTGGATAGTTGTCAGCGGAAGGAATCCGGACGGCAAAGGGGTTACTCCGAAACGTAAAGTGGAAAATTCAGTGAGAGAGGGAAATTGAAATTGCGGTTGGCAAGTGAGAGGAAATGGTGGAGAGGAGAGACAAAGGAATGGTGAGAAGAGAAGAGAAGTTGACAAGACAAGATGATGCCCAAAGATGGACGGACGAATGAGTGGATTGAATGTGCGTGGCCGTTGATTTCTTGAGAAGTCAAAAAGGCAGCAAGGGCGAGCGAGTCACCAGCGTCGTTGTCGGGTTTAGGTTCTGTTTGCCTGCCCGCAGAGAAGCTGCCCAAGGTACGAACCAGTCAGTTGTTGTAATTCTGCATCTATTTTTATGCAGGTGGGCGAGTTAAGGTATCGAAGAAGCGGCTAGAGTGGGAACATGGACTAAAATCAAAGCAGGCAGGCAATTACCTGGTTTTGGGTGGATGGGAAGTATGGACCAATTACTTTCCAGCTGGGGTGTTTGAGCCTGCCCAGGAGTAGTAGTAGTTGTTGTTGTTGGTCCTTGACTTTGTGTGGTGGAATGGCATTTGATGGGAATTGAGTTGTGTATGTTCTGTTCAGTGCAGCTGCAAATTGTCTCTCTCACCCCACCAACTAATCAGAGGAAGGCAGAAAATCGAGCAAGAGAACTTGAAAAGTCCCTGACGATCAAATTGCATATGCAAGAATTGACTTTTGCGCCAAAATCCCACCCGACACGGCTTGCAGAAAGCCGCTGGCGATGTGGAAGCCGGCAAGGGAAACTTGACAGCACTTACTTGGACACTTGAAGCAAACCAAACCCCTCTTCTATCCGCTACATTGCAAAGTGGCAGGTGCAGCATCCCGCTTTGATTTTTTCAAAGAGGAGGGGAAAAAAGGGGGAGATGCGAAGGACATCCCATTGTAGTTGCAGTTTTCCAAATCAGGCATTTGTTGGAAAAGAAAAATAAAACTGCATCCCTTGAATAACGTCGGGCATCCGATGAGGTTGTTTCTTGAGGTTTTTTTTTTGTAATTGACGGGTCACTGCCCCTCCTCGGCTCGTGGGCGTCGTACGATCGCAAGACGGGACAAGACGCCATTTCGTCCCTTCCAATGTCTATTATAACCGATTCTTGGTGAATAGTGCTCTGGGACTTGATATGTGCAAGATGGTCAAAATCATGGCCATGAACACTGAAGCGATTGATAACAGTCAACATGACTAACCCGGATCATAAGCTGTAACTAAATAAGGTCGTCGCATGCATACATCCATATGCACAAAGCATGTGCCTGAGGTCCGGAGCTAAGATGAGTGCGTTGGCGAAATAATGCTACCTCGAGCATAATTAGTTTGACCGTTGGAGCACAGTTCATTCCTGGATTAAAGAGAACAAAGTGTCAAGATCGTGAAGATACCGATTAAAAAACATGGTTAATCACTTGGGGATTTCCTGCTATTGTCGTCACCATGGTATCGTGCCCGAGTCTAATCCCGTAACCTTGGGTACACATCTCGCGGGTGAGTACCGAGATTTCTGCCCCCAAGAGCTCCAATTTCCCAAAGTCGTCCGGAGCCGTTACGGCCAATGTGGACCCCAAATCGCCGGATCCTCCTCCGCTGTGCACTGTAATTTACTGCTTCGCTCAAGGTTGTATGGATTAGTCATTTAGCCATGGCAGCCAAATGATAATAACACTCCGAACCATAACCATACTCAACAGTATGAGCTGCAACTGCATGAGTCCGGAATCGCTCTTCATAGTGGCCGATGCAAGATGTCATTACCAAGAAGGATCAGCGACTAAGGTGCAGCGGATGTTCTCGACTGCCTCTCTCAGCTGCGTGGAATCACAGCTACCAGCTATTCCGCCCTTGGCCAATTCTCGTTGCAGCAATTCCAGATGACAAGGCTGGTACAAGAGTGCCTGCCGGATTGGTACTCTCTGCGGTCTGTCTTCAGGTAGAATCCCCAACAATCTTTCGGTGCGGTCAAAGTAGTGAGAGACCATAGACGTAAACACGAGGCCCTGAAGCCGACCATCCAAGGCAGAGAAAGTTCCAAGTTGAAAGAGCTTTCCAAGGGTTTGGTTCTCCCTGATTCGCTTGATGTGCCGGTCGACGCGCCCAAAAAAGTCGTGGAAGATATTGACAAGCTGTACATAGCAGCTAATGATGGCCAGTATCAACGGAGTTTCGAGCTCTTGTATTGGTGCGCATCGCTCGGCATCCACGAGCAGCGTTGGGAAAATGGTCGCGTCACTTTCTGCGTTGTATGGCGATGGCTGGCTCGGAGATAATTTCTCAAGGATGACAAGAATGCTATAGAACTTCTCGATAGCATTCAGAGAGGCCTCTACAGGTGTGAGCGCGGTCACATTTATATGCTCAGGGTCCAGACAGATATAAGGAGTCAACGAGGTATCATCAGACTTGGACAAGACCGCTGCCGACTGCGCGTGTAACTCGACGTTCAGGTCTGACAGCTCTTTGAGACACTGGTTCATGCTTGTTGTCGGGTATGTTTGAGCGCCTGTGCCGAGCCTCGATCCGGAAGAAAGATTTTCGGCTAGAAATTGGAAGCCAATACTGTCAAAAGAGGCGTGATCGATGTGATTTCTAACATCCATCAAGGCAAGTGAACCTGTCCCACTGTTGATGTGGAGCGATTGATCCATGAGTTCGAGCGCATCGGAATGGTTGCCCACAATCACAGGCGAGGACGCTGCCTCTGGCGTCTGGTCTGGAAAAGCCATGGCATCGCTTCGGGGTGTGATTTGAGAGAGCTCTGACACGGCCAGTGGCTTTGCATCTGCCATTGATTTCTTCGGACGGCCAGGTCGCCGGGTCTCGCTCATCACGCATGGCTTCCTTAGGCGGGTGCATCGCTCACAGTCAGCCGCATCCTCTGCACGCAAGCACTTCAGACGTTGTCGACGGCACGGATCACAAGCTGTCCGGTGGAGACCATTCCTGCTGCGATGACGAGATGACTCCATCCCGAGGCATATATGATGATTCTTGAATGCCAGAAGACTGAGAGCTGATGGCTGAACAGTTGACCGTTCTCATGATGCGTGTGCTTCGGGGTGTTTATTAGCCGCTGGCCTGCCAAAGTCTCCGGATCAGAACATTGATGGTGCCACGGCCGCTTAGCTGAGCGGCACAGATGAATTTTCAGCCATTGTGATTGCGGACTGCATGCAACTCAATAAAGAACCAATGGATCGTATACAATAAAGGATTGATCTAGTAAACTCCAAAATAACCCGAGTTTGTTGTTGTCAAGTACCTACATACATTTTTTCTTATGTTTTTGACTCAACCCCAATCTGGTCGCCCAGGTTTCCCCGGATTTCGGCGACGTGGGTGACCTGACCCACTAAAGGTCCAGTGGTTTCCAAGGTTTATTCCAGCTTCCAGTCGATAAAGTGCGCGGGTTAAATATGGCACTTGCGAAACTTCCCCGCCAACATCTGCCGATTCATCTTACCGGGCTCAACTCTCATCCGGGCTCTCGCAGGGACGCCATGGCGAAGCCAAAGAGCTCAACGGCGATCCAGCGACCCTTTTCTCAGTGGAGAATCGCCAATCATCGAGTCCATGAACTAAGCCGTCGTCATGTGCTGAACCCCTCCAAGTGTCCCAGTGGAAGCTCTGAGGGGTAAAAGTTTACCCCACGCTCAAGCTACGCAAAACATCCGGGTTCAACCTCAGAGACTTTATAACAGAGAGGCATATGCAAAGAGCTTCATACTAGCATTACTTGCTGATCTGGTTTTTCTACCAAGACTCAGTTCTGGTCTCACTGTAAGGATCGATTTCACTTTGTTCAAAGGTTGCTTCAAAATGTCTCCTCCCGGTATGCTCGCCGTGACGATGCAGCCCAAGCCTGAGCTGCTTGAGGCGCAATTCCATGAATGGTACAACAACGAACACGGTCCGACCCGTCTGCGTCTGCCTCAGATCTTCACCAATGGGCTCCGGTACCGACAGATTGACGGCAAGGAGCCGACTTATCTCGCCGCCTACGATGTGACTGCCATGTCGCAACTCGAAACCGAGACATACTTGACGCTCCGAGCCAACCGATCCCCGCGCGAAGCAGAAACCATTGGCCAGGTTGCCGTCGTCAGATATTTTTGGGACTTTGTCACAGAGAAGAAGTCCCCTCTCTTCCTCCCGATCGAGAAGCTGTCCAACGACGAAGCCGAGGGACTGACATTGGTCGTCGTGCAGATCGAGCTCAAGGGCGATCAAGCAAAGTCAGAGGCAGAGGTCGTCAAGTGGTATGAGGAAGAGCACATTGATATGTTGTCCAAGGTCCCCGGCTGGTTGCGCACGCGCATGTTCCGGACCTCGACTCTCGAGTCCGGCGGTTCCACGTACATTTGGGCCCTTCACGACTACACAAAGGAGAATGGTCTGAATGGCCCAGAATTCAAGGCAGCCACTTCTACGCCTTGGAAAGAGGAGGTCATGGAGAAATATGCAAACATCAAGGACCGCCGGGTCTTCTCATTGTTCTACGTCTTTGGACCTGCGCCTAGGGATCTTTCGTCCCTGTCTCAGTTGCCCGCTGAGAGTTCCACGTTCACGTCGGCCGATGCCAAGACAGCAACAACCAACAAGCCAAAGCCAGTTATAGCTTCCTACATTACCGCACCCGATGGTCTGTCGATACCCTATAGGCTCGAGGGTAACCCGGATCCCAAGGCCCCAGTCATTGCCTTTTGCAATTCATTGCTCACGTCGTTGCACATGTGGGACAAGTTCGTGGAGCTTCTCAAGGTGCATAGACCACAGTACCAGATCCTCCGCTACGACACCAGAGGTCGGCATTCCATCCCATCGCCGACTCCGGTGACGCTGGATAAGGTCTCTGATGACCTGAGCTATATTCTGGAGGCTCTCCGCCTGCCTAAGCTAGACACCTTGATCGGTGTATCAATGGGCGGTGCTACGACACTCAAGTTTGCGCTCAAGTACCCCGAACTGCTGAACAAGTTCATTGCATGCGACTTCAACGTCGCATCAAGTGCTGCCAACACGGAGGCCTGGAAGGGTCGTATCTCGATTGCGGAGACCCCCCTCGAGGATGGAAAGCCTGGCATTACCCAGCTGGCAGGTCAGACCGTCGAGCGCTGGTTCCACCCAGAATCGATGAAGAAGCCCGAGACAGTTCAGTGGTTGACCGAGCAAGTTGCTACCAACGACATTGAAGGCTTCCGCTATGGATGCCAGGCACTTTGGGACTACAATATGAAGGCCGACATGAAGGGATGCAAGGTCCCTGGTTTGTTCGTCGTTGGAGAGGGCGACGCCAAGGGTGCCCTGGTGAAGGCCATGGATGGCTTCAAGGGTGAGTTGGGCGCCACGGGTGCCGAGCTGGCCATTGTCCCCAATGCGGGACATCTGCCCATGTGTGAAAACCCCGAGGGTTTCTGGAAAGCCGTCGAGACGTATATCTAAATCAAGCATACGAAACGCGCCATAGCAATAATAAGAGATTCCAGCAAGTATTCACCGTACGTCCGCCACGCGACGTTTTATTCTCAACCGCCATATTTGATCAGACTACAACTTGACCAAAGTCAGCTGAGCACTCTGATTTGTGCCGTAGGGTTTTGAGCAGAAGAGACTGACAGAGAAACATCGCCCGCAACTCCAGCTTTTCAAGCGGATTAAAGACAGGGGCAATATACATAGATATAAAGCTAACGAATGTCAACTTCAAGGGTTCCAGGTGCTGCTTATTAGTGCCCGCACCCGCACTCCAGATTGCCCCTTGAGAGAAAAGCGCCGAACAGGTGGCCCATCCGCCTAGGCCCAACAACATGGACAAGGACAGGGACGCTTTGATTCCCATATATCGTGTTGGAATTTTTGATTGCCTTCACAATATTAAAACTGTAGTGACGATCATGAACACCGCCTCGAATGTCAAAGAGGCCTCTTGCTCTATTTGCCTGGCTCGAATGGCTTTGAGGAATTTGAGCAGTTGGAATGACAGCGCAGCCGCTACAACGGAAGCCCAGACCCCAAGATCTGACAGTTAGCAGCGGCCTCGACTTCCGCATTGGTAAAGGCGAGTGGTGGTCCTGAATCGACAATTGCTTCCAACCTAGGTGGTCATAGGTCCAGGCTGTGGAGTTGGCTGCCCATCTCCCGCGATCTTACAGACTAGCCATACCGGACCGACGACGATCTCCCGTGAGCGACCTGACAGCATCTTTGTACGCCTGACGACACATCTAGGCCGGCAAAACTTGGTATTCCGAGAGATGATGAGCAAATTAGAGCAGTAGGAGATTATCGTAGTACTCGATCCTGCTCATGTTAAGGACCAAAAAATAAAATAAAAATAAAAATAAAGTTTGATCAACCAATTAGTTCTCCCGCTATACTTGAGATAAGATGGCTTTAACATGAGGTAAGATGATTCTTGTTATTTCCCCTTCTGACATTGAGGCTTTGAGCTGGAGCCGCGTGCTTGGTCCTACACCTCAGTCAAAGCGCTGAAGACGAATCGTGCGCCTGAATCCTTGACTATTGGAGATAGCTTCAGGATGCCACTATCCGCGCGTATGCTGGTACACGTCCGGCCCAGTCCCATCGAGGCTCAAAAGGGCCTTGGCAAGCCCAGACACTGCCGAAATGGCAAGTCGGAGCGGCTTCAGCTAATATAGCGTGACACATGGACAGCCGGGACCTCACGCCCGTAACAAGAACGGAGCTTACGAGTCAAGAGTCGCCTTTGCACTTATTCAACCTAGCCCGTCACTTTGACAGTTGACTATTGCAGGCTTTTTACCTGCTAGCATTCAGAGTCCCCTGACGCCGACATACTCGGACACGGTTCTGATTCGCTGGCCCTATAGCGCCTCGACTATTGTGCGGTCTGTGAAGAGAGCTGATGTCTTAGCTGCCTTTTTAGCCCCTGGCGCCAATCACCCAGCTAATACTATAGTAGTACAGATGGCAACCACAACATCTCGTGTGGTTACAACAAACCCTCGATGCATGATGATGGGGGGAGGTTTTTTCGCTCACTGCCCTTGAGATCGGATCTCGATTGACAAATCGTTTGTGGGCTACTCAGGTCGCTCGGAGAGGTTCCGCCGCTAGGAAAACTTGCTAAAGCCCGCGGTATCTGTGACTATTCCCACTCGCTCGTCAAAATGGCCGCCAGGCCGGCTGACCATTGGCAAACTTTTTGTCAATGGATGGAGATTTCGTTCCGCGCGCCTGGGTGGCTTCCAATTGCCGGAGCGTCCGGGAATTTGCTCCCTCTCCCACAAGGTTGCTTACATCTCTAGAGAGGGATTACGGTGGTAATGAATGCTCTTGGTATCTTCTGGCCAAGACTCGATATGATACTAGATGGGTGTTCGTGCCATAACTAGTCAAGCGTCTTACCCTGTAGGGCGAGATTCTTTTTTCCTTTGCCCACTACTGCCGTCTGCGGGCAGGGGGGTGATATATATACACTATTTCCTAGGTTGCTTTCCCTTTTCCTTTCTGGTATCGTACGATCGTACGATTTCTCTTTTCTTCATCCTTGTTCAAGCTATTAGAAAGTGCGGATCACGGTCAGTCAAACCATGTCTGGATTCCTGCGGACTCGGAATACGGCTGCCACAACAGCCGGGCATGACGAATACGAAGTGCCCATGGTGGCTACGGTGTGCAGCATTATACTCGCCGTGGTATCCGTAACCCTGCTGTCTGCATTCTTTGGTTCGTCCTATAGACTTGTCTCAATTACCTTGCGTCAGACTATACTGACTCCCAAACCAGGGATACGCTTTATCCAGATTAGAGAATGGAGAAAACTTCCATTGGTCGGATGGGGTAAGTTGTATACTATTGAAGCAGGCAATGGGCCTGTATGGCTAACTATCGCACACCAGTCATTTTTGCCATCTATATCGACTCATGGTTGTTTGTCGCCATCTCCAGTGTCCTTCGATGGGGCCCGGGGATTAACATGAATTGGGACATGTGTTCTGCAGCCATCTTTTTGTGCTTGGCCTGTTATCTATCCACGAAAGTGAGTCTATCCCATTGCATACTCTGATGGGTTACTGAAAAGTGCTAACAATGTTCTCAGATTGTATGCTTCTCTACGATATTCACATTTGGCTAGTCTCTAACATTTGTAGCTCATATATTTCTTCCTGGTTGAGAAAGCCGTAAGTTACTGATTACCGACCTCAGCTCTTTAAGGTGTATCTTATTCTTACATTTTATAGTTTGTTGTATGGGGCGACAGAAAATCACGAATGAAGTCCAAGCTTTATTTGTTCAACTCCTTTGGAATGCTAAGTAAGTCACTTATAGCGACCACTCCAAAATATTAACCTTTTTTCTAACACCAAGAAAGGTGTATTCGCCATTATTGGTATCTTCAATTTCATATACCGCATCACCTATCTCGACAATGGAAAATGCGTGATTGGAATGCAGAGACCAGTCTTGATTCCTCTGGTGTCCTTTGACCTTGCTGTCAACGTATGTATAGCCATGCACCATTACCCAACAAGCCTGTCCTCTAAGACAATAGTCCAGATCTACCTCACGATTTTGTTCTTGATCCCCTTGTGGAAAACATACTCGTTTAATATGAAGAAGACGACCGGAAACGCCAAGCTCCGCGATTTGGTCGTTCGAACATTTATTGGTGCCGTCACTTCGACCATCACCTGTCTGCTGTAAGTCCTCCTCCTCAATTGCCTTAATACTAGTGCTAATAATAGTAGAAACATTGTCATAATGATGGCACTAGATGGCGAACGTAAGTACATGGAGGACATTGATTGGTCTTTGCACCCATGTTGATGCCGAATACTGAATGCTGACGATTATGCCCACTACTAGCCGGATGGATGTGCCTCATGAGCTGCAATATTGACCGTAAGTCAAGTTATCCATACACAATACGTTGCAAAGTCTGCTGAGCAAGATATACTGACAACGCCTCGGCAACAGTCCTCTTTGACGCAATCATCGTCCAGTACGTCACCTCGCGGGACAACCGCGGCACCCAGACAACCAGGAGCTACGAAAAGAACAACAACCACACGGCCGTCACCGTTGAGCGCTCCGTAGCCATCCAACACAGCAGGACCCGCAAGGGCGGTGGCAGCAGTGGTGGCGGCATGCTCGGCATGGGCAGCAGCAACAAGGGCCACGACATTGTGGAGATGGAAGAGGAGATTGGCATGTCGGACATGGGCGTGGCGCCCGCGGGCAGCACTGCTGCGTACAGACTGTCGGAGAGGGATTCCAAGGGAGACTATGCCAGCGAGCGGAGCACGAGCTCGGTCAATGACATGGAGATGGGGAATAGCACCAATGTGATTGTCATCACGAAGGACTCTTATTGAGACGGGCTTTTCCTTTGTCGCGATTTCAATAACCCTGTATATATGAATTATGTCACAAATTTTCTACAATAATGTTTAAAGAAGTCAATGATGATATGAAGTTTCTTTTATCCCTTGGTTCAGTCACACGGGTCGTTACTGAGAAACTAGAACTTCTCAGAATGAGGTCGCAAGTCCAATTCTTGAGTAAACGCAGATTTATCCTGAGTATGCAAGTACCAATAACTTTCTGCAATCTGTTTGAGTCTATCAGCATTATGTAGATCATTTCACTGCCAATCCCGTTACTTACTGCGTCGGGTGAAATCATGACTTGATCTTTACCGGCAAATCCCCTCGCACGCGGCGTGTCAATCAGACCATCAATAATCACATGTGCAACATGAACGCCGCGTGGCCCAAACTCACGGGCGAGCGATTGGGTCAATGCTCGAAGAGCAAATTTACCGGCTGCAAATGATGCAAATTGGGCCGATGCTTTGAGTGAAGCCGTAGCCCCTGTGAATATGAGCGAGGGGGGGTGCGGTGCCTGGGAGACGGCGTCTAGGAGCAGAGGCAAACAATGTTGCGCATAAGTGAACCCGGCTCGCCTATACGTTTTCAGTTCTTTCCGTCAGCAACAGTTTTCACAGTAAAAGTACAAACGGTCCCCCGACAATGATCAACGAGGAACACCTACACCGTGCCGTCCAAACTGCTCTCGAGATCTTCTGCCTTGAGATCCAAAAAGGGCTTCATGGCAAAGCCTCCATTGACATTATAGACAGCGGCAGCAAGTTTGCTATTGGGCATCTCCTTCTTAATGGTAGCAAAGGCAGCTTGGACCGCTGCAGGGTCGCTGACATCGGCAGTGATACCGAGGGCCGTGCCGCCCGCTGCCTCGATCTCATTGACGATACCATCAAAATTCTCTCTCCTGCGCGCCAGCAGTACGGTTGGGTAGAGCTTGGCAAAACGGAGGGCAATTGACCGGCCTAGAAGTGCATTTCTTAGCAATGAGCCGGATCACAACATGGTAGGTTTGGCTGATTTACCTGTGCCGGGTCCAGCTCCAGCCACAAGGGCAAAGAAATCTTTGGCTATCGGCATTTCTCAAGTCAAGAATAAAGGCGCAAAATACACAGAAAAGAGGTGGAGCCTAGAGAAAGTGACTTAATCATGGGCAGACAATAACAAAAACACAACGAAATGAATCCATATGTACATATATGATTTAAGGTTTTTGTGCATGATTCCATGACGCAGCTCTTCAGCTCATTGCTAGCATAAACGCGAGATGCGCGCACGCTATGTCAGCAGTGGTCTTGGCAACTTAGAGTTGCTCTTCATTTGTAAGCGTCGGAGTCCGATGTTAGCGCGTGTGTGTTTTACTCTATTTCTCACTGGGTCTAGGCAATGTTGTAGCGTAGATATCGTGTATACTATCCACTAGGTCCTGCGAATGCCTTTCCGGGTATTGCTGATCTAATCAAAGTCCGACTTCTTGGTGGAAAGATCTGTCTATTCAATGCTTCAACCAAATGTCCAATCATGGCGATACAATGCACTGACTCGTTCTCTCCATTTTTGTAAGGTTTGTACGGTTTCGTGATGCTTCGATACATTCTCCATAGTGATTTGTTGGAAATATATAACAGGATATTGTTCCAAATCATGATGTAGTCAATTCATCCTCTCAAAGACATTCATTATTCACTTACTATTCTACTACGTCTGTCCAAATCATTATCATCATGTCTAAGATCTTGACAGTATTCGGTGCCACGGGCAACCAAGGCGGTTCCGTCATTCGAGCGGTGCTTGCTGATAGTGTTCTGTCCAAGGAATTTTCTATTCGTGGCATCACTCGCGATGTTTCCAAGCCTGCGGCCAAAGCTCTTGCCTCGAAAGGTGTCGACGTTCGCGCCGTGAGTTATACCACCGCTACAAACTATTCCTTAACATGTGATTGACCAGAAATAGGCCGATATGAGCTCCAAAGACTCTCTTGCCAAGGCACTCGAGGGATCCCACAGCGTTTTCTTGGTCACGACCCCCGATTTCATGTCTGGTGGGCCGAGCCAGGAACTCAATCATGGCAAGAACGTTGCCGATGTTGCAGAGACATGTGGCGTCCAGCACCTCATCTTTTCGTCCTTGCTCCACGTCACAGACGAGACAAACGGACGCTTGAAGCACGTCGAGCACTTTGACATGAAGGCCGACGTGGAGCGCTACATTCGTGCAAAGAACGTCCCAAGCACGTTCATCCTCCCTGGATACTTTATGAGCAACTTTACAGCCTTGCAGATGATTAGAAAGGGCGAGGACGGCGTCTACAGTCTGGCCTATCCCGTCAGCGACAAGGCCGAGTTTCCGCTCATTGACACGGAATCTGACATTGGTATGCTAGATTTTTTACCTTGCAGAATGACCCGAATAGTGACTAACATGAAGCCATAGGTAAATACGCTGTTGCAGTTCTACGAAACCGTGCCAAGGTCATTGGAAAGCAGATCCTCGCGGCTGCAGATTATTATACTCCGACCCGAATCCTCTCAGAGTTTGAGGAGGTTACGCAGAGCAAGACACGCTTCGTTCAACTAGATGCTGAAACGTACAAGAGTTTCCTCCCTGCTCCCATGGCCCAGGAAATGTTGGAGAACCACTTGTTCATTGAAGAGCCTGGTTATTATGCCGGCAAGAGCTTGCAGGAGTCTTTGGACTTGCTTGCCAAGGTGAACTTGAAGCCTACCACTTGGAAGGACTTCTTGATCAAGAACAAGGCTGCACTATAGTGTACAGTCGGAGACCAGATGCGGTTGAATGCAACGGCATTGACAAATTGCGAGACTAGGATTACTTGTCTCAAGCATTCCATATAAGTACTAGGGAAAACAAAGATGCATCAATTTTGCAGTTCAATTTGTATTGGATGAGCCACAACGAGCATGGCGCAATGAGTATGCTTCATACCTGGCTATGCTTACAAGTTACTTTAAATGTGGGATTGCGACGCTATCGCCAGCGCTGACGGGCATCACCTTCGGCGACGCAGTAGTGCTCAAGTGCTGACCGTCTTATACGGTCGCCCCGCCTCCAATTTATATGTTTTGCAATTTTCGTAATTATGACAGATGATGTGATTCTTTCGAAAAAGATATCATACTCCAACTCGGGTTAACCAAAGTTGGCCTGGCATACCTCTTATCTGTGGATATATGGGCGGATCCATAGTCGGGAGTACATTCCGCGAAGATTTTATGATAGACTGCATAGGCATGTGTTCCAGAGACAAAAGCATGGTGGTACAACAGAGTCTATGACATGCATGATTATAGATGACAAAATGGCCAGCAGCTGGGATATCATATAGTTGGTTGAAATAGTTTGAGGCTCATTCGAGGTTACATTGGCCTCTGCTGTAGGTGGGAGAAAGGCAGCCATGTTACGCCATCGCACCCCAGATTGATGTGAATCGAGGGGCTGGCTGAGGGATGTCTCCGAAAACCCCACCTCAAGGGTCGCTATCACCTTCTAAGACAAGATTAGCCTGAGTAACCATGAGATCATTGGGTTTGTTTATGAACTGACCCGATAATTTGAATCTTCTTTCATTCTTTTTCTCTTTATTTCTCAACATCATACAACGAGTCGAGAAATATGGGGTCTGGAAAGGATTTGGGCGAACTGCCACCCTATAGTGCAGTCGAGAGCCAGCAATGGCACAAGCGCCGGCCACGGTCACTGCGCCGCTCGCGCGGGCTCAAGTATCTAGCGCTGGCCTGTCTCGGCTTCATCGTCTACGCCCAGTGGAGACAGCTATCGCCGTCGTCGAGGGCCGGCGCAACCACGACGCTGTCCATTGAAAAGCTCGAAGCCGACCTCGCTGTCTGCTCCAAGCTCCGGACCAAGCCGCAGGACCCTATCGGTCTGGGCCGCGAGCGCAATGCTCGCTATGTCGAGGGACACAAGCCCACGCTCATCAAGAATGCCACCGTCTGGATCGGCGAGCCCGAGGACGGCACCAGCGACGAGGATGCCCGTGCCGGCAAGGGCTTCTCTTGGGTCACCAGTGACGTTTACCTCGAGCACGGCCTCATCAAGAAGGTCGGAAAGGACCTGGATCTGACTTCGCTGGCATCCGACGTTATCGTATGGGACGCCCAAGGTCGCAAGCTCACGACTGGCATTATTGATATGCACAGTCATACCGGTGTCTACGGCATTCCTGAGCTCCGTGGTAATCAGGACGGCAATGAGATGTCCTCGGACATTACTCCATACGTCAGGTCAATTGATGGACTCAACCCTCTTGATGACCAGATTGAGATTATCAAGTCCGGTGGTGTGACCACTAGTCTCATCCTGCCCGGATCTGGTAACAATATTGGTGGCGAGGCTTTTGTCATCAAGCATGCCGTCGGAAAAGAGGATGGCCGAAACGAGACTTCCATCACAGACTTGCTCGCCGATCCCGACCGCAACTGGAGATACATGAAGATGGCCTGTGGTGAGAATGCCAAACGTATCTATGGCAAGGTCGGTTCCCAAGGCCCGGTGAGCAGAATGGGAGAGTCGTGGGAGTTCCGCCATGCGTTTGAAACGGCGGCGAATTTGATCCGCGCTCAGGACGATTGGTGCGCGCAGGCCGACGCGAACGGCGTCCATACCATGTCTACCTACCTCCCACAGGAGCTAAAGTGGGAATCTCTCAGTGCCGCACTCCGTGGTCAGGTTCACATCAATACCCATTGCTACACTATACCCGATCTCGAGGCATTTGTCGACCACACCAACGAGTTCAAGTTCCCCGTCCGTGCCTTTCACCACGCCCACCAGACGTACCTCGTGCCTGAGATCTTGAAGCGCGCCTGGGGACCCAGTCCTCCCGCATCGGCTCTCTTTGCCGATAATATGTGGTACAAGGCCGAGTCTTATATCGGCTCGGAATATGCTGGCAAGATCCTCTACGAGAATGGTCTGACCCCCATTTACGTGAGCGACAACCCCGTCATCAATGCTCAGCACGTTCTACATGAGGCTGCCAAGGCTTATGGGTACGGTCTTCCCTATCACGTAGCATTGGCTGCTGTGACGACAGCTCCAGCCGAGCGTCTTGGACTTGGTCAACGAATTGGCAAGGTCAAGGCTGGATTCGATGCCGATATTGCAGTCTGGGACAGCGATCCATTGAGCCTTGGAGCTGCTCCTGTACAGGTCTGGATAGACGGAACTGCTCAGTTTGAGAACCCGGTAGAGCTCGACAAGTCGTTCCTCGCACCATCAAGCTCTCCCCGAGGAGCCGTGGACATTCCAGAAGAGCCAATCACAGTTTCCGACGTTGTCTTCACTGGCATTTCCACGTCACTCTTGCCCGAAGCACAAGAAGGCAAGTTTGACGGAGACAATATCACGGTTGCCATTTCCCAGGGCAAGATCCAGTGCATTGGATCGTGTGCCAATGAACTTCAGGTTGCCGCGCAGTCCGGCACAAAGGTTGTTCACCTGAAGAATGGATACATTAGCAAGTCATTTGTGGCCTTTGGCACTCTCATTGGCCTCAACGCCATCGACTCGGAAGCGGACACGGATAATGGCAAGAGCACCGAGCACTTCAGTCGCGGTGTCGATGGTCTCCGCCTCGACTCAAAGAAATTGCAATTTGCTCACCGATACGGCGTCACACGTGCAATTACTGCCCCCAAATATACTGGACAAGGAACGCACTTTGGTACTAGCGTTGGCTTTAAAACGAATGCGCTTCATGTACTTGCGGAGGGCGCCATCTTTGTCGATGATGCTGCTGTCCACTACACGCTGGACAATCAGTCCAAGAACTCTGGTGGTTCCATCTCAGCTGCCCTGGGAAGCCTGCGCCACAAGCTGCTCAAGGCTGTCGACGCTGGCAACATTTCTGCCGCCGATGCATTCACCGAAGAGGCTTATCTCAAAAAGGTCGTCAACGGCGAGATCCCTCTCTCGATTACCATTCACACTGCCGATGGCATTGCAAGTGTTTTGAAGCTGAAGAAGCAGATTGAGTCAGCGAGTGGTTCTACAATCAAGCTGGTCATCATTGGAGGCGCAGAGTCCCATCTTGTCGCCGACGAGATTGCTGCCGCCAACGTGGGCGTCGTCCTCTCGCCTCTATTGTCGTACCGCAATACTTGGGAACAGCGCAGAGCCTTGACGGGTGCTCCGCTGTCCAATGGTACCGCCATTGACAAGCTCCTCGATGCTGGAGTCGTCGCCGCGATTGGTCTCGAGGAGGACTGGCTTATCCGCGATATGGCGGTCTTGGCAGGCGTCGCCTACACGAATGGAGAAGGGCGCATTGGAAAGAAGGACGCCCTGGACTTGGTAAGCACCAATGTTTACAAGATTCTCGGACTGGCAACTCCCGAGGCGTCTGGGGATTTCATCGTCTATGAGGGTAGCCCCCTGGAGGTTGGCGCGCAGGTCAAGGCCGTTGGATCCGGATCCTCGACTGTCACTCTGATTGAATGATTCGGGGTACTGGTTCCAATGTGTATGTAACAATTGTACGTATACTTTACGTTCCAAAGCCGTATTGGGTCAATGCAATATGCGTAATAGCTCAATTAATTAAAATGTTTGTGTGATTCCTATGGACCAGATACACTGTGGCCGATGCTCTTGAGGTTAATACTGTTACAAGTTCTGGATTACGAAAACACCTGTAATAGAGATGGCCATCTCAGCATTCGCGTTCCTGGTGAGGTATGGGTGTATACTTGACGATGGCTCCATTCGGGATCTCGGTGGATCCTTGGCCGTTATTACTAGATTGTTCGTCGGCGCTCGGAAATCGACATGATGTCCTCGAGACCCACCAATAACGAAATGGTGGAGGTTGCCATCCCTTCCAATCCCTACACTATTAATTACTCTCTAGTGTCGTTTCATTCAGAGTGCAAAAAAGTCGCAAACATTGAGAGCCGCAAAGAAAACCGTCTCGTAAAAAGATGCTTGAGTAGCGACATCGTCATCAAACAGCCCACTTGGCTTGATTTGGTTGCCGCGTACAAAGGGGGGCACGCAACATGGCTTTATATAGACAGTCTTGAGGTGATATATATCGCCATATCTGCGCCAAGCTTGTTGACCTGAATTACAGCCAGTAACATTCATTTCACCTCGGCGCCTATTGATTTTTTCTTTTCTCCTTTCGGAAACGTTCATTCATTCGCCACATTCCGGTAAAAATACACGCGCAGGTCCGCCATGTATCGATACCTCGCTCCCGTGGCCGCGCTGTACCTCGCCGGGTCGGCGCGGGCCGAGTTTGGCAACTCGTTCTACCTAGGACCCTTTCCGGACGGCCAGGTCATTACCAAGGCGACGTACTCCATGGCGGCGCCCGACGTCCCGACCGGCTATGATAGCTCCGACTCGAGCCTGTGGCTGTCGGTATGGGTCGGCGTCCAGCCCCAGTCCGACGACGAGGACAATGAGAACCTCGTCCAGCCCCTGCTCAACTGGTGCCTTGATAACGAGTCCTGTGGCTGTGCTGCTGATGAGGACCAGTGGTGCGCGGCCGCCAACACGTATACGCCTTCTGGCCAGGAGGGTGAGGATTACGTCGTGGTGCCTACGGACGCCACACTCGATTTTGAGAGTATGGCCTACGTCTTTCCTCAGAGGTTTAATCGTTTGACTGACAGTTGTGTCATTTTAGTTGCTGTCAACTCGAGCACCAATCTGATTGACCAGAAGATTTGGATCAATGGTGAATTGGTTTCGCAAAAGTCTGATTGTAAGTATACGGTTGAAGAACATCATCTATCATGAACGGAGTACTGACTTTGCTTTTAGCCTCTGGCATGCAGCCCGGTGTCATTTACAGTGCAAACGAGTGCTCCGACGCCAACTGCGGTACCCTCGCCGCCTTCAGTAAGTCTGAACTTCTCTATGCCTCATTACCGGAGATCAATACAACTTGTAGACGGGAATTTCCGCCATGCTTTTGTTTCTTGCTTTCTTGAAGATATCGAGTGCTGATACGTGAATAATCCTCTAGGCTGGACCAACATGACCCTGACGCTGAGCGCCGCTGTCGACAGCATCGAGGACTACCTCGCGCTCAATGTAGCAACCTCCTCTGGCTTTACTACAACGGATGGTGGCCTGACCTGGCAAGTCGATGAGATTAACATGGGCACTGACACGGCCTGGAGCTAGGTATAATATCGCTTTTCAGGATCTTGAAACATATATGATAATCCATGTAATCTTGATTGTTGTTGGGAGGATACCAGCTTGTGTTTGCCCTCTCAATGACTATGACCAATTTTTCCATCTTTAGGCAATTTCTTTCTGGAATGAATGCAACCCGTAATTTTCGGTCACATATCGAAGCTCTTAAGCGTGGAAAACATACTGTCCATACCTGGCTTTTCATATGAAGAACCCCAGCTTGAGCTACACGGAGAAAGAATTCAAATACCAAATCATACAGTATTAAAAAAAGCTTAATTACAGTCGATTTCATTTCATCTTCGAATCGTCTGCTCGCATTCAAAAATTTCTCGAATTCTTTCCGGCAAGCCAACAATCCTTGAAAGCCCAGAATGTTTGGACACTTACCTAGTTACCTATGCCATCGATATGACTGGGCCATTGGCGATCAAGCCGTGTGAGGAAATGCGAGCATTGACTTGACTCCTCAAGCTTGTCTTGCGCAATTCCCCAGCACCCTGGGTGTTCATATGGTTTGCGCTGAAAACAGCGCATGAGCCCTATTATCTCGTCATTTTGCTAACATACCTGAATATGTGAAAAACGCCTCAAGACTTATGGACTTCTCTACATATGCACACGTTTCTTTATGTGTTGCAGTAGTCATTTTCAAAGAATAAACTTGTGGATTTCAATACAAATAAGTTCTCGAAATTTCGCATCGATTCTCTTTGAGCCGAGTGAACAAAGACTAAATATGTGCTTGTTCCAAGTTCAATATAAATGCGACTGTGGCTTCAGGTGAGTTCTTTATCCACAGAATCGTTCAGCAACGAATCCAAGACCTTTTTCTCGATAGACTCGAGAAAATGTCTCACGCAAGTCGCAATCCTGGTTCCAAACCAGGCAGTGCTGCATCAGCAAGCCGAACCTCTCATTCCAGCTCGATCTCGCGGAGGAGCTCCGGAATGTCTCGTCACTCGACCTCTGCTCACTCGCGCGCTTCGACATGCTCTCACTCTCACTCTCACCCTTCAGCCTCTGTCCATTCTCGCCCTCGAGACTCTGTGCGGTCCTCTCCTCCAAGCTCAGTTCATTCTCGTCCACCTGGTTCCGTGCACTCTCATCCTCCAAGTTCTGTACATTCTCACAATCGCAACGGAGTGCGAGGCAGCGCACTGCACCACCAATATGAAGACCAAGATGGCTATGACGAAGCCTACGGGGAGCCCAACCTAGAAGCACAACTCCGCTTCTCCGCCGAGCTGACGGCCGGCGAGCCGCCGGTCGAGGTATACGACAGCGTCAGCCAAGTGGGCCACCGGCTTCGCAATAATAGACACCACGCGCAACTCCCACCGTTATCCATGCCTCCACCACCGCTACCTCGGTCGCAAGTGCAACACTCACCGGCGTCATCTAGATTCCACGGCTCACGAGCAGGAGGAGGCGAGCGCCGACGCTCAGTCGGACGGGCCGTCAATGAATTATCCACGGGATCCAGTCCCCAGAGAATGAGCAATACGCAGCGACGTCCTTCGCGGTCTTCTGGCGGCGGCGGCGGCGGCGGCGGCGGCGGCGGCAGTGGTGGCACAAGGGGAGAGAAGCGCAAGGAAAAGGGAGCCAAAAAGACTGGAATTAAAGTTGCCGGCGGCGGCGAGGTGGTGAAACTTTCCAATGGAAAACTTGCCCTTGTCAGGAAGCCAAAGCAGTCGTCCAAGCAATGAGGACATGGTTTGGGTCGGTACCTTTGCGCGGTCGTCCTTTCGTGGAATATTGCTGGAGAGGTTCCTGCTGAGCGGAAACTCGAGAGCGTGACATGATGTTGAAAAACATGCCTGGCGGAAGCTGTGGAAAAGAGAAAAGAAAATGTCCCTTGACAAAAATAGGCTAAGTAAATAATATAGTGAATGAACTACGAAATCCTGACGTGCTTGGCCGGAGTGAACAAGTGAGAATGATTTGCGTAGGCTTTCAATAACTACGTAATCGTCACGATTATACTGACATGATTGATATATTCAAATATCCGGGCCATCTCACAACTAATAGAGAAGCATTCCACTTCTCCGTACAAGAACATACTGTGCATATGACTGCAACTCACCAGTGACATCCCACAGTATCAGTAACAAAGGGCTTTTCTGAGATTTGCAGCATGCCTGGCCCAGCAAACAAACAGCTAGGTAGACATCGGCTTCCTGGACCGCTACAAATACCATTTTCCTCTTGATTGTTATCAAGTTGCTACAGTGATCATGTTTTGTCGTGTCCAACGACAACCATACACCAGGGCAATCAAGTTGGGGTAATACGAGACCATTTTCAAGGGCACCCAAGTCTGGCAACCGTCATCACAGGCATTGCCATGAGCAGGGCAGACCAGGAGCAGTAATGGGGGACACAGGCAGGATGCGTGAATGTCCAATGACAGGCTTGGCTATCGGTCCACGTTGGGTCAAGTGTTTGGGCTTAAGGTAAGATGTGCAGATGCGAAATGATACATGACGACGATTTTCGTAGTGAGAATCTGTGGCAGACTGCCCAATACGGGGTACAATTTTCGCAGCTCGAGGAATCTTGCATTTCTTTCTAGGCTGTTACTTTCATCTGTAGAGGGGTAGATCCACGCCGTCACGCAAGATGTATTGGTGTTTTGTTCATGATCAGCGGCTGATGAGAACGTAGGTATACCAGTAGGATAGAAATATCACAGCCAGTCATCTCATCTACAAGAGCTGTCAAAAGTGTCTGCTCAAACAGCTCAGTGCCAGGCGGGCCAGATTGGACCCTCAAGGTCGCGTCAAGGTCAAGTGTGATTGCTCGGAAGGGCCATTCCTTGAAGCAAAATGGACTCCACTTCTCGTTGGCCAGGGGTTTCCTCCCCTCGGATCCCGGCAGGATTGTTTGAAGTGCTCTGATTGGGCTTGTTCCTGTCGCAAAGTCGTATGTGCGCGACAATGGAGCCGATCTTGAAAGAACGAGCCCCGTCCAGGTCATGGTCGGCTGAATTTAAAATAGATAAACTCGCGGGGATGTTTTTAGATTTGGTTCTCGGAGGAATCTCTGGAAATTGAACATCTGCCCGCCCACAGTGCTTGCGAGAAGATTGAAAGTCTCGGAAGACAACAAGAATTTGGGCAACGGTCCTATCGGGATGTTCGTGGAACTGAGCATCACATTACAGATGGTTACGAGAATGGGTGCTGTAGCGACAGCGCTGTGTTTCAACCATGAGTAAAGGCAGTGTATCAACTGTGGTGACGGGAGGAACCCATCTCGGGTTGGAGGAACGGGAAGTGACAATTTCTAGTCAGCACGCAAAAGGACCAACAAGTGTAACCTCTTTCTTGTATCCAAAGGGAGTACGGGAGGATTCGTTGCAGCAAATGTTGTCATATATCTGCATCGGCAAGTGATATGGGATGCGATCCTTGCCGTGTCAGCGTTCCATCGTCCTGGGTCAACAAGGCTGCCGGTGGGATTGAGGGAATGAAGAAACGCGTAGTTCGTACACCCCCATTGTAGTTCAATTTGGAAAAATGTGCGAATTTGTGTGAGGCATGTCAACGGAGGCCCATCCGTTTTGTTCAACATCTGGTCTTGTTAAGCAATCAGCTTGAAGGGAGCAGAGGACGCTTCAACAGCACAGAGGGCATCTGTAGGGTATCAGGATGCAGACCTCATGATTCCGGATCTGCCGAATCAGACCAGCGATCCATTTGGGTTTAGTAGTACAAAGTGGCTTTAGTCGCACCTGAAAAACTTCATCACGGCCGAGGTTTGTGGTTTGGCGTGTAAATAGTATCCCGTACTTTGGATTGCTAAAGTGGGCGGTTTTGTTTTTGAATCCGTCGTCTAGACGGTGCTGTGGTCCACGATGCGCTCATAGTCGGCTGGGTCAGGCAGTAGTAGTACGTAGTCGCGATGCCTCAGTCTTGTAAACATGCTTACTCTGTACAGGGTATTGACTGTCTTTGTCAGCGTACCTTGAAATCTGCCGCGGAGGGCCCCGACCCGGTTGTCGAAGTTGGCGCGAGATGATCATCCTCATCATCATCCTCCTCCTCGCCGTCCTCTCGTATTGTAACAAGATGCAGCACGAAAACAAGCGCTAGCAACTACTACAAAGCGACTGGAGCACGGGAAAACGGTGGCACTTGCAGTAGCATGTGTAGTACCTTGCATGCTGGCTAAGCTCTAGCTCGCGCCGGCGATGGATGTTGATGCACTTGGTGCAGGCGCGCCGGCGGTGAGAATGAAATAAGAGATGGAAGTGGCCAGCCTCTTTTCTAGCGGCCGTCAGACGTGTTTTATTTCTGGGTATTTCACAATACATAGGGCTGTAATAGTACGAATGGGGCACGAGACTTCACTTGATTTCCTCCTGCATCCTCCAAATCGTCCCCATCGTATTAACATTGGGGAGCATCTTGCGCAATGGAAGAGCAAGCGTGGATCACAAAATCAACCCACACCGTGATACAGAAAGCGTAGTCTTTTTGTGTCGGCCAGTCGGTCCAGATGGGCCCGTCATGGCATGACCCTTAGTACCTAACCTACCTATGTCCCTACACTACACGAATCTTGAGTAGAACTTGGAGTCTGGTGAGTGGACTGACGAGAGTGGACACCAAGTGGGGTAGATGGGAGGTGGAGCGGGGAGCTGGGTGGGATTGACCAGGGGGGATGATGCGAGACCAGGGTTGAGGTAGAACGGACCACCATCCTGCATTACGGCGCTAGTGTTTCCAATTTGTGAGGCATCCTGAATCTGATTCTCTGATTTGCTGCAAGCGTTGAAAATCTGGACGAGCTCTGCAGGGACTTTGACGAGCTCCGGGTGACGGAGAGTAGATAGAGCACACACACACGATTTGGGTGTGATACCACCCCTCAAACCAGGGCCACATACTTACATTACACACACACACACTCTCCCTTCTCAGGTACGGACTTTGTGTGCTGTGCGGTCTTTGTGCTGCTGGTAGTGGTGCGGGGCGCACCGGACTTCTGAAAGAGAAGAGAAGGTCATCCCTACGGAATGGCTTGGGTGCGCAACATGACCGATAGGTAGAAGAGAATCTTTATGGTGCAGATGGAATGACCATAACGAGTTTGAGACGACGGCACATGCTGACAGGGGCCGCACACGCACAACCGACGCACGGCGCACGTTGAAAACCAGCATCAGCACCAGCACGCTATTTGGCTTGCAGCTCGTTTAAAAGCGTGGCGCTGATGTTGCGTCTTCTCTCCAAAGGATACACAATGTACCTAGCAGCTAACCTAGGTATGTAGCTGACAGAACGTTGTCCTTCGCCTCGGCTCAACCACAAATCTGCCGCCGCCACCGCCGCAGCTTGTATTCTTTTTGGCTTGGCCAAGGAGTCTCTGTACGCTTCGTTCTCCCATCTCTCGTCAGCTATCACGTCCTTTCTCGGCCCCTTTCATCTGATTAACTTAAAAGAAGTGCACGTATCAAGATCCTCAACAAGACAAAGAAAAACAAAAATAAAGAAAAGCCTTTGAAGCAGAATCATTCCGGCTCGACGGACAGTACCTACATTAGACAGTCTGCTAGGCAACCTTATAGTCCAGAGATAATCTTGTAAGCTCGGCCAAGGCTCCGCATCAAACCCAGACATTGGACCCAGGCCAGGCAAGCAACTTTATATACCTGCATATCTCGAATATACGTAATGAGTGTGTCGCTGCAAAGGAATACTGGAGCAGCATTCTTTGCTTGTTTCCATACATCGTCATCATACTATTTCTCAAAAGAAAAAAAAAGGTCGATTAGAAGCGGGTACTCTTCGTCTCCTGCTGCAAGGCCGGAACCACTTTGTCGCATAATTAAGATAGCGGGCCACCCTAGGTAGTCTTCTTTGCTAACTTTAAGCCCTGTGGCCGCCATTTTTGTTGCAATAGATCATGACGCTACTTCGTACTTACAACCAACACAAACTGCTGGGCCCTCCAATTCCGAATCCTCGGTGGAGACGTGGAGACGTTGGATACACACTCCACGAGCATGTATACTGGAATCACCTTGGCTAGCTCATGGCACGTCTTGTCCGAGACGGGGCTGCCAGGGCTCCCTAGTTGGTCCTTGTTCGTCTATTGAGAGATTTGAGTGACAATTCACTTCCAGGGCCCCCCAAGCAACAGGTACTACCTTGACTCTACTATGTAAAGTAGTGGTGGTATGTAGCAGAAAACATGATCCCAGACGGGCGAGCCCAGCCCAGGTCCCATGATTTAGAGAAGAAGGAGTTTTGCGTTGTATTCTCGTCATGCACCTTGCCAAGCTTGCTCCCTCACCTTCGAGAACCGAACTTACGCATCCACTTTCTCTTCAACCCCCATCCCCACCCCCGTCGCGTCGCCGTCGTCGCCGTCGGAAAAAGAGAGAATTGAATGACTGCGAGCAAGAAGAGACAGGGCCCTTCGAGCGTTGGGATTTTTTAGAGCTCATCTGATCTGACCTGATCTTGAACCAAGCTTCCGAGCCGTTGTGCAGTTGCATATTGACGCTGCTGCAGTCCCAAATTCCCGTGTCTTTCGTCTATCCGCCGCCGTTTTCCATCTAACTTACCACGCATCTACCTTAATTTACTCTTTCGCTCTTTGTTTTCTTTTCTTCTCCTGATCTATTGTTCTTTGGGCCACGCCGGTTCTCTCGCACACAAATACACACACTCATTACCTCGGCCGTCGTTGCCAAAAACGCATCCATTATCACCGTCGCCTTCACCGCATAGGCACCACAAAAGCAGTCTGGGCGCCTGAGCGTCTGCATTGGGGTTGCAGCCGAATACATAGACTCAACGCACGCCAAGTCAAGCCCAGTCCAGCCATACAGCCAGCCATCGGTGGTGGTTTTTCTTTCCTTCGCTTCTCTCCTTCTCTTCTCCGACATTCGTTTATCATATCACGTTCTCTTATTCAGCTGAGATCTTGACGATATCAGTCCTCTTTGTTTCTCCGCACCCTCCCTCTCGTTCATTCAACTCCCGACAACCGACGCTCCGTTTCGTAGTAGCAAGACTGCAAAAAGATTTGGGGTAAAGGAAACCTGACTTGGGTGCAGTTTATTTTCAACCCAAAAAAGAACAACCACTGCGATCAGATTCTTTTGCAACCAATGTACTCCCTGTTCGCTGTCTTCGCATGATTGTCTCTTGATCGCCACAAGATCAGACCTCAAACCGGAGAAATCAAGGGGTTGTTCGTGCCTGAGGTCTTCTTTCTCTCTGGTTTTTCATTTTCTGGGGCCCGAGCCTCCCACAGATCTGAAACACGAGTAGTATCTTCATCAACGTACCACCAGTCCAAGGTTCCTCCCTCCCATCAATCCTTGTCTGGTATTGTGCACACCCAGGGAACAACAGACGCTGTGCGCCCACGCCTTCTCCATTGTTCTGCAAGCAGAACAACACGATTGATTGCTTGCTTGCTTGATCACTCTGGATTTCGGCAAGCATATTGCATCAACAAATTAGCTGGCTTCTACGTGGATTCTTTACATCTTCATGAGAGGAAAGGGCAACTTTGGCCGCGGCTCGCTTATCGACAGTGTCTTGCACACTTAACTGGGAACCTCAAGTATAGACCGATATCTGGTGACGGTCCAAGTATCTCGAAACATCAAGTGTAGGTGATTCCCTCTTACGTATGCTTTCTCTCTCATTCCCCCATTTGTCTTTCTACGACCCAGCCCAGCCATCAGATATTCCCATTGGACCATCTCAGGCCAGCTTCAGAAGCTCAAGCATGTCTTGCATCGAGGACTAACCCCCCTGTTCTTCGTCCGGTTGTTGGTCAAGGGGTGCCTCTGTGTGTGTGCGTGCAGTCCTCTTCACCTTTGTCTGCCGATGCTGAAGCTGTCATGTACTATTCCATACATCCCCTTCCAGGAGCCCGGGCCATACCTTACCCTACCCTTCCGCCGTGGTCGACGTTCCACATTGCAACACCTGCAGCCGGTTCTCGTCTTGCCCAGGTTCTCCTTCATTTGATCTGCAAACTAATCATAGAGCACAGTTCCTGCAAGCAGGCAAGCATCGTCGCATGCGGCAATCGCGCTGCATGCCCTTTCCGTGTTCTTCACTCTAGTCATCCTTACCGGACTTCACATTCCTTTCCATTCTTCACGTTGCCTTGCGCAACATTGGGTGCATCTCGCCTTCGTTTCTTGTCCTATTATCATTGAATATTCTTGATTTCAACAAATTACTTCTCGACTCGCACCAAGCACAGCGCCAGACCATTCAGGACGGAATCCCACGTTTGCAGTCACAACATTCCAGACTATTTATATCTTCTGCCTCTTTTGGTAATACAACAACGCACTGGTCAATCTAGAAAGAAACACAGCGCTTGGACTTTGTCGAACTCACCCGAGAACAGTTACGCACCGCGAGATCCTCGGACTATCCAGGGACAGCAGACACGAACTCTTGGGGTCATCGCATATGCCTTTGCTATAGGACGTCACAACCACTGATCGACAATTTTTGAGGTGGAACAGCGAAAGTGAATAGTTGTCGATTCTGGCATGTTTGATTATCTGGGTGTGTGTAATCACAACGTGCGCCCGAATAAATGAGTCGGCCCCGGGATGGGAGAGGTATGGATCAACCATTCCCAATTGGAGGCTCTGTGAGGAGGGCAAGAGAAAGGGCCGAGGCAGGCTTGCCAAGGGAAAAGATCCAATACACTGGCGGTAACAGGCCACAAGCACCACCGGGTCTGCAATCACGAGATGGTGGTATCGGGCTGGCAATATCGAGGCCAACACCAGTGCCACAATGGCCGCTCGCGGGTCCTTTAGCATCACCGGCATCGTCAGACGGATCAGACAGATACCGCCCGCCCGCCGGCAAGGTGCCGCCGCAAAGACCACCGCGCCCAAGCAGAGTGCCATCCATATTAGACGGCTCGCGCGTCCAGGATCCTACGCCAGTCTTTCAATACACACCACAACAAGAAAGAGCATCCCAACTCTCCGTGCCAGAGACACCAGCCACATCATCATCGAGACCAACGACGACATCATCTGTGGGATCAATCCCGGATTTCCCTTTACCCGTAGCCACGCCGTCGGCATTGCCACGAAGGAGTGTGAATCTAGGCCCGCCACCCTCCTCGAGAAGAGGCAATTCGGCCTTCTACTCGACCAACTCCTACGTTTCTCCCATTCCCGAAGAAAGTCCTCGGACAAGATCGCATGCCTCTTATGCATCGAGCGCTGCTATCCCAGAAAGCTATGGAACATTATCTCCTGGGCTTCAAGATGACCTATACTACGATGACGTGATAGCCGAGGAGTCTGTGTACAGTGACGACGATGCGGATGAGAGGGGCTTGGTGAGAAGCGCTAGCATAGGGAAACGGGGAAAGCCATCGATAATAACGACGAAAAGTGCAATCTCGGAAAAGGGAGAAATGGTTCCAATCGTGTTGCCCATGCGGCCGTCGCCCAAGCCACAACAGTCGACACCGTTTCAAGATGGGACGGGATTCATCGAGGGGTCATCAGGTTCATCGTCAGAAAACGATTCCTCGGACAGGTTACCCACGGTGGGCACAGCTTTGACGACGGACAACATGCTTGGCGCTTATGCAGCCGCGAGTGCTCAAGATCCAAGTGCCATCAGAAAAGTTGCATCTCCAAAGCCGTACCGCATGTCCGGGCTGCGCCGGCCGCCACGACTCGATATCGACGCAGTTCGCCAGGCCGAAGCAAGAGGCAGTTTGACGAGTTTACCCGATCTCATCAAGCGAGCGACTCGCTTAGCAGCCATGATGAGCGAAGGACGGAGGCCTGCCAGCCGCTTTGATTTGGATTTTCCCGAGGAGATTTATGGTCGCAATGTTGGAAAGGGTACGTATTTTGAATTCTTCTCAACGGTCATCCGTTTGTGCGCTAACCCGTTATTTAGATGATCTAGAAAAGCATCAATCCGGGCTCTCGGACATGCTGGCTGCGTTCCCGCCTCCAGCCCAGGCGGCAAACGGTCGCAGAAGCATGCGCCAGAGCACCACATCGTGGCCACTGCCGTTTACTGGCAGGAAATCCTACGTGGGAAGTCCTTTGGCGGAGCAACACAACATGGACAGGACGCCACCACCAGAGGGTCGCCAAGATCGGCCAAAGCGGCGCTGCTGCGGTCTCCCCCTGTGGGGTTTCTTGCTCTTGATGTTTGCGTTAGTAGTGGTTATTGCTGCCGCCATCATCGTCCCTCTGGAGTTCTTTGTCATACAGAACCGCGATGAAGCATCGCCTACAGCACAGCCCGAGCTCTCAGACTGCCAGTCACAAATCACCTGTGCGAACGGAGGCACGAATATAGTCACCGATGGCGTCTGTTCGTGTATTTGTACCAATGGCTTCACCGGCAACGACTGCACAACGCTCAGCAGCGAAGGTTGCACCACTACGACCTTGTCTTCTACAGATAGCACTTTGAGCAACGTGACGCTGGGTCAAGCCATTCCGCGTCTTGTCCAAGAGGGCCAAACCAATTTCTCTGTTCCCCTCTCAGCCACCACAATACTTTCCAAATTCAACGCGGCCAACCTCTCGTGCGTTGCGGAGAATGCACTCGTGACCTTTGATGGATCATCGACGCGAACAACCAGCACCACCACTACCAACTCCGCTGCAGTATTGGATGGAGACGTAGACGCAAACGTCGTGGAGGCCCAGGAGGCAGTTCCTGTGACAGTTACAATCATGTCGGGCGTTGCCATCACTTTGACTCTAGACTCGGCAGCTACAGACGCGTCCATTATCGTGAGCACGCTGACTGAGCCGCTCAGCACTGGCAGCTTCTCCACCATCTTTGCGACGACGCTCACAAACAGCGCAACAGCCACAGCCACAGCGACTACAACGATTGGAACAGACACCACAGCGACCGGCACAGCGACCAGTACTGCAACCTCGGCCGCCGCCACATCCACTTTCTCAGTTTCTGACCAGGCGCTTGATTTCGCCCGTGTCGCCGTATTGTTCATCCTCCAGTCCGAGACTGTGCAGGATGCTGTGACGGCACAATCATCGCTGCAGAAGTTCTTTACGTCTGCTGCCTCAACTGATGGCGTGACGATTGAGCAGGCCAGAAACCTTACTGTTGGAGGCACAAATACGGTAGACCTTGTCAACTTTGCTGTGAGCGTGTAACTCGACGGAAACCAGGCGGAGCAGCAGGCAACTGCTCATTATGATGACGCATCTTATCAAGACCAATAAATATACTCGATACCACTGACGGGGAACAACAAGAATCATATCGGCGCATAATTGCATCGGCCACAACTGTCTACACGACGGGAATTTGGTCCCCTTCACCACCTCGAGAGCATTACCCCTCTTTATTTCTAGTCTAGCATTTTCAAAACTCCGAAGACGTTTTGCCCAAGTGGTAGTCTTCCTGTATAAAATCCAAGTTTAAGGGGGATGAGTGGCCTCGGTAATGATTGCAAGCGAAGCATTGAACGCACGCATGCATCGGAACGACTTTTTTTTAAGCGTGGCGCCGTGAAAAGAAGGACTTCAATTTTTCATTTTTTGTGTACCTAGATACCACGATTTCAAGAGGAGGAATGTCTAATAGATTCAAAGCATATTGTTGATTTGAAATATCAGTCTTTTGAGTGCCGCGAGTGCAGAAATCAGAAATTGTTTCCCGACTGCAGTCTCGGAAGGGTCTGCATCTGCCTCGCCGTTTTCTGTCAAGGTAGGTTGCGGCAAATCTCATTGAACCTAAATGCTCAAGGATGTAAACAGGTATCTATTTGCTTGTGCATATATCTTGGGCATTTGGGTAGAGCGTTGATCTTTCCAAGGCACGGGACTTGAATCAGCCTCACCTAGTCTTTATCGTCTGCCGAGAGAAAAAAAGAAAGCCCCATTTTCTGCATGGGTTTATTGCGTTCGAGGGTGATATGGGGAAGTGGGCATCTTCATCTCGTCATCGTTTGAAAAACATACGGGACAAAGACAAAGTATGCCACAAAAAAGAACAGCCCTAGCATAGTAATGATCTTGGGCAAGGGGGAAAGGGCAGCAGTTGGTCATAATCAAACTTTAACATGGAAATTTTACTTTTCCATGGCTCTGGGTCGTGGCCCCCTTATGATTGCAGATGTGATGGCGTAGTTCAACCCGTTTTTTTTTTATAGTGCATGCATTCAAATGTCTTTACCTCGCGGGTTGGGATGGAGAGAGACACAATTCCCGCAGTCCGTGTCCATGGAAACCATGAAAGTATAATGATAAAGGAATAAACAAACACCACGAGACATGGCAAGACACAATTTGCAGTTTCGATTCATTTTGGAGAAAAGATGGAGTTAAAAAAAAAAAACAAGAAAGAGGTTTCCCGAGAGACATGGCGGGATATATGATACAAGCAGAGGTGGTGGGGGGAAAACAAAAAACCAGAAGACACGGCAGAGATATCTTGCTCGTACACTTTAGCTTAAGAGGAAGATAGGAGCATATATGCGGTAATAACACTTCTTCAAACTCGAGAGATTTATTAAAAGAAAGACACGATAGTATGCGTTTTTCGTGGGAACACGGCCAACGAAATGGACGACGAGTGTGCAAGATGGCAGGTAGTACACACTAGGTAGGATAACAAAAATCATATCCATAAGCGGACCAGTGTCCATCGAAATAAGTTTAATGCTGAGCGGCACCGCTAACGCCTTGACTGCGTAAGCCCCAATGCCCAATCAGCGGGGTCATTGAACCTGACTGACCTCTCAGAACTGGGCTTTCCAGCTGGGGGTGTCGGGATTTTGACTTTTGAGGTGGAGTCTCCAGTGATTCGAAGAAAAAGATGCATCGTGGTCCTTGTCCTTGATCAGAGGTGCCTGGGTATGATGATGTCTTTCTGCGATGCCAACTGCCGAAAAGATATCTAGATACCTTTTTGTTCAGAGCAACAGTCCTGCAGTCTCAGCTGTTTTTTTATTACCGGGTTCATCGGACAACCAAGTAAGTAACCCCCCTAAATCACTGGGCTCTAAACTAGAGCTGAATTATATTTGGCGTGCACACCAAGGCGGGAACAAAAGCGGACGATGAGAGGTGGGGAAGAACTTGTCACCTATCATCCCAAGTTTTTCTTTCCCCCAAAAGAGAAGACCGGCGCAGAAACGGACTCAGTTGGGATCTACAGAGCTATAAACTAATACGGCAAAGACTTGGCAGGTATGGGAGAGCTGAGAAACCAGAGAGGGAAAAGAAGAAGAAAATGCCAATCCCCTTTTGCATGCATCTACCCATCGGAATAGCTGGGAAATGTGAAAGACAAGGAAAAAAAAAAAAAAAAAAAAAAGGGTACCACGGATGCAAAAGCAGCATCATCCGTAGGGGCAAAAAGCCAGCAGGGTAGCAGCAACCACTGACCAGGAACCAGGAACCAGGGTGATCGCTGGTTCAGGCACCAGGAACAGGAACGGTCCCTGGATTTTTCCTGTCCAAGCGGCACATGGCTCGCATGGCTGATGGCTTGCTTGCTTGCTGGGTAGTAGTGGGGAGAAAAGAGGAGGAAAACAGAGAGAGAGCTTAGGGGAGAGCAGATACAAACAGAGGAGAGAGTCAGACGTCATTGTTTTCCCACTTATTCCCTTTCCTAGTCGGGATCCTCGTTCTTTTCCCACCCCCAGGGCCCAACCAAATTCACCATTCGTGCGCCTCGTCGAAAATGGGATGGGGACTTTTGTAACTGATCATTTTCTCGATAGGTATTTTAGCAAGAACCAATGGCAATTCAGACTGTCTGTAGTCACGGTGGGAATAATGGGGATTCGGACTAGCTAGCCGACAATTGTGATCTCTCCAGTTTTATTCCCAATTCCCATCTCATCAAGTCTCCTCCTCGGCGAGTTTGGCATGTCGGTTTTTGTTTCGTGGAGTCCTCTAATGTAAATCCATCCATCCTCCTCCTCCTCCTTCTTCTCCCACACGACTTGTTCTTGTTTCTTTCGAAACTTTGTGTCTCGAATCGATTCAGGTTTGGGCAAAAAGGTCTCGTGGCTCGGCACTGCGCTTCGAACCAAAGAAAGAGAGAGAGGAGCCATAGAGGAGAAGAAAATAAACCCAGAGCGAGCATGTATACCCGTTGATACACAGACCACCAACACCTCCAAACGCGGCTCGCTATACTCACTCATTATTGCAACATTCCCTCATCTCTCAATCAACCACATTCCTTTTTATCCTTTCTTCGCTTGACTTGCCGGCTACCGATACCATACTTTCTTTTCTCTTTGCCGCGCCATTGACGCATGTATAAACATTCCTTCTTTTGAGCCTCCTATACTCGAGACATTACATTCCAGTTATTTCCACTACTATACTACGGCCGAGACAACGCAATTCGTCATCCCGAGCATTTGTATACTGTATTGTACTACCACCACTGAGATATATCGAACAGCGTTCTTTTCCCATTCATATACTTGAAGGTATGGGCACAACAACCTACGCACTATTCCCATGCTACAAAACAAAGGACAATGCAGACTGACAGGCTCGTCTAGATACCTACATTCTTTCACATTACAAACAGACACCCAATTTAGGGCAGGTTATATATATATATAAGATTCAAAGACAACAGAAACCATGAGGCCTGAGTCGGGAGTCCTCCCGCCGCCTAATCTGGCGGCAGCGGTGTCACCCGCCTCTACCATTTCCCAGGAACCCGACGACTGCTACTTCACGGCCAAGGCGGTGCCCATCCGTGCATCGGTGGCCCTGTCGGGTGCAACTTCGACGTCACACCTTTCCTACTACTATCACCACTCGCCTGCGACGCTGAGCACGGGCAACTTTACCAACAATAACTCGTCTCCGTCCCCCTTGCTGTCCCCGGGCGCCTCTCCGCTTCTATCGCCCAACTCGGCTCGCAATAGCAGTGCCTTCGTCACGCCTGCCGAGTTCCCCCCGCCGCCGGGCCACAGCCATCCCAGCTTTGTCTTCCGGAGGTCTCAGACCGCCTCGTTTGCGTCACCCTCTGCGGCCGGGGGCACTCCTTCTTCCCACTCGCCGGCCGTTGCCGCAAAATCGCCACCAGTCGACGGTCTCCGCGTAAACAGCACATCCTCAATGATATGGGACTCGTCATCGCCGGGATTAGGACTTTCATTAACACGACCACCTCCCAGGGTAGAAGACGACGGCAGTAGAGAATCGACGACATGGCTGTCATCGCCATCACTGCTCCCCCACCCACCGTCCGTCAACGGCAAGGACGCGCACATTCGGCCGCTCTTCTCGTCGGCCCGGCAATCAGCGCTGTCGACGACGGGGACGCTGGGCACGACGCCGGGACCGACCCCGCCGCCCAAGGAGTACCACCCGACGTTGTCGCCCGTGACCAATGACTACTTTTCGCCGCTGGCGCCCATGGTGACATCGTTTCAGCCGCCGGCGCCACAGCCACCACTTCCGCCTCAGCCAACACAGCAGCCGACGACATTGACGGGCCTGTCGCGCAACGGCAAACCGTTGCCCTTGGACCTACCAGGGACGACAACGACAACGAGGGTCGGCGGCGCGGGGGGAGCAGCCGATTCGACATTATCACCCATCTCGCACCCGCCGCCCACGGCAACCTCGCAGTCGTCCCTCTTGTCCCCCATCTCGCAACACAGCCCCGTCTCGAACCCGGCCCTGAGCCCGCTGACGGTACACACCCTGGCCCATCTCTCCAACACGGCGCTGCGGTCCCCTTCGCTGACGTTCATCGACACGGACGACGAGAAGCAGCCCATGCAGGGCACCATTGGCCGGTTCGGGTCCACGGCCAGCCGCCCGCTCACGGGCGCGCAGCGCGACCGGCTCCTCCAGCTCAAGCGCGACTATGACCGCCGGCAGGGGTACGGACAGGGGGACGAGGAAAAGGGCGGCCGGTGGGGCGTGCGGAGCCGCGACGGCAGTTCTAGCTCCTCCTCTGCGCGCACCATTCTCCTCGCCCTCGGTCTCGGCTTGTTGGCGCTCGGGGGTATCGTTGGCATTATCGTCGCTCTGACGGTTGCGCAGGGTGGGCACAGTTGAAGGAGGAGGAGGAGAAAGACGACGACGACGACGACGACGACGAGAAAACACACAAGCCAGTTCCCACCAGGAATCCCCCCAAAGAATAAGAAAGTAGTCGAGAAAGAATGAGTGTGTGTGGGACTTTTTCTGTGAAAAGAAAACAAGAGAAGAAAGCAACATGAGCTTTGAGACGATATTGGGGCCTCCAATGGACCGCCAAAAAGCCCCCAGCAATGGCGAGGCGAGGGACACGAATTCCAGGTCAAGTGTAACCATAAATAAGCAACGATCAGCAAGAGACCAAAAAAAAAAAAAAAAAAAAGGTCTACAAACAAGATATGTCAAACAACATGCCATAATTAAATGAGTGATTTGATAAGAATACTTTTTTCTTCCCTTTCTGGTTTTTGCCTCTTACAGAAATAGAGCACGTCTTGGTATCTTAAAGTGGATGAGTCTGGCATGTGAGAACAGGACTACGCCCATCTCATACAGAATTATGAAAATGATAGTCGTACCATCACAAAAAAGATTGCTTCGAGTCAGAGTACATGTGCGATTTTCTTTTGTACAACCTGTATTGTTCTAGAACTGTTATTTCTGCTTAGAAATAAGGGGTATATATCTGTATTTTTGAGGCTGCATCTATGCATTGTATGCCGGTTGTGTTTTAAGCACACTGAAAACATCTCTGGTCTTGCCTGCGCAATGATCTCTTTCGGAAGCGACTCCATCATTTGGGAAGAGATGTTGTTATCATTTTATTCTCCACCTTAATCATCATGAGAATGAAAGCCGATTCTCTCCGCTTGACATAAGAAAATCCTCAAGGTTGGAATGCGTGGTGGAATCCTTCCGCGTTCTCGTGTCCATGAGCAACCCCATTGGGATCCATGTGTATCCAGCAGACCAATGCAGGAATGGGCACATTTTTATCACATGTGCATTGCGGGGATGCGGTGGCAGAAATGATGGGTCCCATTGCCAGAACGAGGGGATCTGTGTTGATCGACGATCCCCAGTTGCAGCCATTGACCACTAGTAGCACTCGCCGAGAGACTCGCCGCCTGGGACGATTTTGGGTGCTCCTCAAATGATACAAAGAAGAAAAAAGGCGGTCGACTGCGGATTGAATAAAAGACACAAAAGTCTCCAAGTTCTTCATGCGTTTGTGCATGTATCAGAGAATGACACATTTTGGTCGGTGCGGATCCTTCTCGCGCTCCCGCCTTTGTTTTCTTCGCTTCTTGTAGTACGATAATGAGTAGGGATCGAATTCTGGCTCGTCCTGTTGTTGGCTCTCGCCGGCATCGTCCCTTCGCAGCATCTGCCGGCAGAGATCTACAAACACTTCATCGACATTTGCTGTTTCTGAATTAGCCCCACAAAGATCAGGTAAGGGAGAAAAAAAAATATTGGCTGCGAAATTGTCATCATGACATGGGGTCTATGGGAATAGAGTAGCGCGCTTACTTCGAGTCCTTGCACTAGACTCATAATAGGGTGCACCCCATCTTTGTGATAATGAGAAACCCTTAGTGCGTGGGACGGTCCTTTGGTCCTCAAGGTCCGCTTTGTTGCCGCAGATCACTATGGGGACATTGTCGTCGTCTTTGATACGAATGATCTCGTCGCGAAGACCGGCGAGCTCGGACAAGGACGATGCTGAGGATATACTGAAGACCAATAGGAATCCCTGTCCTGTCTTCATGTACAAGTCTCTCATGGCAACTATGGAGCATGTCAGTATGACAGAACTTGGCATCATGAGAACGGGAGTGACCATGTGGACGCACCAAATTGCTCGGTACCTGCTGTGTCAAGGCTATCGGTCCAACCAGTCAGTATTGGTATGACATAGTATTGCGGGATGGTTCTCTAGTCTCACATCTCGAGTACAACTTGTCGGCCCTGTTGTGATGTTCTCAGTAAGCTACATGACCATGTTGATTGGGGAGATGGCAGTTTACTACTTACATCGACCGAAACCTGAGTGCGATACGAGTCTTCAATAGTCGGATCGTAACTCTCTATCCATTCATTGTGGACAAATTGAGCTGTGATGAGAAGAAAACATGAGATGTCAGCCGTTTTAATCCTTGTCTTTTGGTCGCTGTATGTTTCCAGGATCACTGTGGTTGCACAAACTCACCAGTCAAGCAGCTCTTGCCGACACCACCTGTGTTGAAAGTCACCATGTCAGTAAATATGCACTTGAAAACAAAGGCCCGAGCATGAAGCAAGTCTTGACGACTTGGAGGCGCCAATGCCTGCTTAACAAGGCAAAGAATACATACGTACCTGCACCTAGAACAACGACATGGTATTCGCGGCTACTCGCATGGTCAGCGGTCCAGTAACGCTCAGAAGCCTGCTTCGGCACGGGGGTTTGGAATTGGAGGGGGGATGAGGGGAGACAAACGCAGGCTGGAATCGCCCTTGCCGGGGAGGCATTGGAGATATTGAAGTCTCAGGCTTGGGAGCCTGGCGTGTGTTGACAGATCTGAAAGGGGTTGTTTTGTTTGTGGGCGGTTATAGCACACACACGCGCACACACTGTCTCTCTCACACACTCACTCACTCACTCTCACACACACACACACGCGAGAGATGGAGTGTTGTCGCAATTGATGGACAGACAGACAGCCCGCCGCCCACTCACTGGGTGGTTGCCCCACGAAAAACTGCGTCGTTGTCCACTAGCGCGCGCGTCTGGCGGGCCCGTTTTATCCCACGACAGGCGGACGAACAGACTGCCCAGAGTGACGAACGACGCGTCTGGTGCGTGCTCGGGGCGCCGGGGGACGGATTTAGAGATTCGCTGAGGTCCCGAGCTGACAAGGACGAGACCAGTCCAAAGGGCGATCGATTGGTAAGATTTGGTAGATCTTGTGTTTTTTTGCCGCGAGTCCGTGGTGTCTTTTTCTGGCGGAAGGTTTTGTCGCCAAAAGAAAGACGAGAGTCCTTAATAAGCGTGCACCGGGGTTTCCAAAGTTTCCTTTGCTTTCCCTCGCTGCGGCTTCCCTTCTGCCTCTGGGTCCAGTTTGCCGCAAGCCGTAAAGAAAGTTGAAGCTCCGCCCACCAGTGAGGCCACGAGGCGGGGGACGTGAACTTAAATCACCTCAATGTTGCTTGCTTATCCTGCACAGCTGCTACGGGCCGTGTGATGTTTTTTTGGGGTGGGAGCCAGGAGGCTTCCAGTTTCGAGGGACTGCCCAGAGGGTTCAATGGATCACAATTAAGTGCATGCAGAGACTGAGCAATCCAGATGCGTGGCTGAGATGAGACGGATAGAAGGCGAGAGTAGTGATAGAAGCGTACACAAAATGTTGTGAGAAGGGCAGAGGCGACAGTCGGGGGGAGTAAAGTAAAATTGAATGATGGGCTAGGTAGGCCGACGTGGTCCAACTACTTACTACCTACGGATGAGGCACCGAAGAAGTAATGCAGCAGAAGAAGCCTGAGATTTGGAGGTGGAGGTTGAGCTGATGACGGACAGGCAGTAGTAGCATCAGACGGTGTCAGGCCAAAGACACGAGTAAGTCAGTAGTAGTGGTAGTAGTGGTAGTAGTAGCCTGCAAACCAACGAGATGCTGGAGAGACCTTGGCGATGTGTATTCCGTATTACCGCGTCGATTGAACGATGGTGCCGTCAAAAAAGGGGTGGACAAATATGTTTTTTTGAGAAGAGCGAGAGAAAAGTCTGGGTAAGAGAAGAGGGTATATGAGCATACGTACAGCAGAGGGCAGATGCATGTACGCAATGTACGGATCGTGGATGGGGTTATGGATGCAGGTATGTTTTAATGTAGCTTATTACCAAGAGAGGAAGGATTAGAGAAGAGGCACCAAAAAGACCAGAGTCCACACACCTGGGTACACTGCCCAGAAAGAAGCCCCAGGACCAGCCCAGTCAATGATGATGATGATGATCTGGGGACAGGGTTGTTTCGGTAGGCAATGTAGGTAATGTACCCTGAGGTAGGCCTGGTAGGTAATGTAGGTACATATGTAGGTACCGTTTGGTGCTGTCGGGTGCTAGGCCCCGTTGCACTGAGAGTTGTCGGGGCTGATGCAACCTCCAGCTTCAGTGCCTCATTTTTAGGTATGCATTGAATGTACATCTAGGTAGCGCAGCGGACGAGTAACCGAGTCTAGTGGGCTACAGTCGCTGGATTCTAGGTGGTCTGCACAAAGATATAGTATTGCCCTACAGGCACTTAGCGTACCTATCCTAGCTATCCCTACATCCCTACCGCATACCTACCGCTCGCTACATACCTAACTTACTGTGCAAATGTATTCATGGCTAATGTATGGCCATGTAAGATGTATTGATAGAGAGGAGGGGTCAAAGGTCGGCCCCATTCCTCCTCTCAAAAGAACAACATGGACCAAGGTTCAGGCCCAATTCGACCGGGTCTGGTGTGAGCACGGGTGCGTAACGGCCCCATGAGAGGAGGGGGAATTGACAGTCAGCCAACTTTTTTTTTTTTTTATCTTCTTATGGAAGCGAACGGACACTTCAGTGCCCAATCCCGGCTACAAATTCCAAACGAAATGGCAAATTTTTGGTTCTTTTCTTGCAGGAGTCGTCGTCAGGCAGGCAGATAGTCGGTCGATCGGCTGGCCACCCGTTCCTTGGGCAGCATCTCTGTGCCAGCTTAGATTTGGATCGGTTGAAAGAGGTCTCCTGCCGTATGTGGGCCAATTGACTATTCTTACTTTTGAGTGCTCTGGATTGAAAGTTCGCCATATTGCTTCCGCTCTCTGACTCGTGGGTCAGTTTTGTTTTTAATGCTACTTGACTATGGTAATAAGTGGATGCTCGGCCGCGGGAGAAACATCCAGATTGTCGTGGGTGGGTTGAGTAATCTACGCAGGCTGGCAGTAGCAGAGGCTGAGCCGGTAGGGTAAAACAAGTCCACGAAGAAGCAGCAGTAGCTCATCAAGGGCCCAATATATACACAGTATTGTGTTCAAGCTGGTGGTGTGACAGATTCGGAATCAGCCAGTAGTCATTCAATCTAGCATGTAGGCACAGATATCCAGTCTACCTACTAGGCTGCTTGGTAGTAGATAAGTTGACTATTTGCTAGGGTAGTGGGCGGATTGGTTTAATAAGCGGCGATCAAGCATCGGCGCTCGAAGCTTTCTACCTCGATGAACAACGAATCGAGCAATTCCAGAAGGGTCTCAACGTATTTAGCTACCTACCTTCTTTTTAGGTCCATGAGCTTTTCCATTGACCAGCTATCTACCATAGTACTAGTAGCTGCACAATCCTTCAATCATATTTTGCATGCTACACTGCAATGCTCTTTTAGGACTGCATTGGGACATGTCTAGAAAAGAAGCCGCTCGCTTGGCGGCATCACAACTCGGGAGACCAGCATTAATTAACACTAGCTCACTGGCACAAGCCCTGTACCTAGCCATGCTGCCATGTGTGAGTGGAGGGGGTCTGGGAGTTCTGGGAGGGGCAAGCCAGGGGGTCACTTGCATTGGTCTGCTGCGATGGGGGGGAACAAGGAGCATGGGAGGAGGGTTCTGAATAGGAACAGTGCATCAGGAGCTTTGACTGGCTGCGAAAGAGAAAATGTCAAAGGGACCAGACAGACAGACAAGACTCGCCCCCAAGGAAAAATGAGCATGCAAAAGATATGCTGAGCTGACTGACCACTCAATGATCTAGATGGTATTGTGAACCGATGCAAGTTGATTCAGGCACCTTTTCTGGACAAGTCAAGATGCAGCACGGCCGGGACAACTGCGTTATTCACACCATGCCATAATGCATTTCAGCACAAGCATGAGTATCACATTTGGTGCTACGACGATATGCTGCTTCCGTATACGTATATGCAATCCTTCACACGAGGTATATAGTATAAACACCACGGCTTTCTACACCATTATACTCTGCAGCTGGGCGTGTGCTGTTCTTGATAGACATCTTTTCTGCGTGTTGCAACTGTGCTTACAGGTACGTAGTGCGAATACTTCCCAAGTAGCTTTTATTTGATAAACAAATCTTCCCCTTTTCTCTTGATGTGCCCGCTTACATGATGTATTGTAGTTCGGTCAAGGGCAAACCCGAGCTTCTGATGGGTGAAAGGGACTGACTGGTACACTGATCCAAGCCCAAGAGGGGGGATGAGAAGAAAAATGAAAAACGAGAGGTGACAACCGAAGGCCCATGCATATCTGATCCGTTCCATTTTGACTCTGTGCACCTCGTGCGTTACATTACTAGGTGAGAGAGTGGTTCGTCCTTTCATCCACCCCAACAGTAGTAAAGCCCCGTCTGAATACCGCACTGCAGTCCCGTAGGCACCGAACCTAGCCATGTATCTCGTACATTGTACATACCTTACCTACCTTACCCTGCCCGCGCTGCCCGTGCCCTGCAGCTCGCAGCTCGCAACCTGCAGCAGTTGTGCAGTTGTGCAGTTGTACAATCAATTGATTGTTGCATCCTACCAATGTACACAGTAGACAAGACAGGTACAAGATTTCGTGACAGCTCTCCCACTCGCTCTCCTTTCTACCATGAGCAACTGGAAAGATGATCTGAGCCGAAGTCCCGTCACCACCACTGCAGGCAGCTGAGCTACATAGCGTGGAAGATCTCGGTTGCAAACAGACCAGCAAAAAGATTCCCACAGTGGTAGTATATACCAATGGCCATCTATTGATTGAGCTGACCCTTTCACCCACAAACCATGTAATAAACGAGGGTTCTGACGCCAGACCGCCACAACAACTGTCGTCACTGAATGAGCCAGGTCTTGTGCGCCTTGCAGGGTCTGATGTCCATACGACTCTGACGGCATACAGTCTACACAATACATACCTACGGTGCTCTGCAGCGCCCTGGCGCCTGGAAATTTCAGACTCTCCGCCCCGCGATCTCTCAATTGGAACCAATACGTGATGCTGCAATACAGTCGAGGGAACTATCATGGTCACAAACTACGAGACGAGGAGGATTAACGACCACCAGCGCCCACGACGCTGGTCTTGTTTGCCGGACGATGGGGCATGTCTAGGTAGGTGCTGTACGGACTATTGCCTCATAACAGGCCAAAACATTGTGAACAAACCAAGCCAGGTTGAAGGTAAACAAGCAAGGCATACTCCTCCGCCTCCTCCGCCTTCTTCTGCTCCTTCTTCATTGTCGTCATGGTCCTCATCC